CAGTGAGAGGTATCCCGTGACTTCTTGCCAAACAAGGGGCAACATTCATCCTTGGCTCACCTACCAGGGACAAGGGGACACTGGGATCTTAAGAAGCCTCTTGAGAGGGGCCAAGAACCGGTGGGAGTAAATAAACAAAATCCAGTTTTGCTTGAAGAGAAATACTCCCCTGCAATTTCACATGAAACACAAAGAGGGAGTCCCCCAAGAGCAGATTCCTCCACAAACGGGTGCTTTTGTTTGGGTTCCATGTTAATCTGCAGAGTATTTTGAGCAACTCCCCTAACTTTGGAGGTGTGGTGGTGGAACCCTGCCCATGTGAACCCCAACACGCTCCCAGCCTTGTAGTCCGAGTCAGAGGCGTTGAACGATCGATTCTCCGACTCGGCGTTCGCGGCCGACTCGTTGGTCTCGTTCTGCGGTTCGAACATCCGGAGAAGTCTAAGGCCTACCCAGAGCTACTTTGGTGTTCAACCACGTCAGGAAAGTAAGCTAGTTACTACTAAGTTGACTGAACATCCAAGTACCTCCCCCCCCCAGCCCGCCGCCCGATTCAGGCCTTGACTGACCTCTGCATGACGCCAACCTGGCATCCAGCAAACCTCCCCAAAACCAAAAACAGGGGCCCGACAACAGGCTCTCCAAAGCAAGGTTCCGGGCGTTCCGAAGGCCCTGGTTGCCGAAGGAGGGGTTGCCAAAGACTGGGGGTTGATCAATTCTGTACGCCTCTTCGAGCCTGGATTCCAAGCAGGATACCATTTCTTGAGAATCAGGCCGCCAGAAGCCCATCCATCCAAGTGGGGTTGCCTCAAAATCGGGGGCCCAGCACATGCTTGGCTTCTGAACTGTCCTTTTTCACCTATTGACCCTTACTCCAAATACCCTCTTTTTTAGCTATGATGTCAACCCTTGACTCAAAAGGGGCCAGATTTTGGGGAAGGGAACCCGATGAATTTCTTGCCCCACCTCTCTGTCCGTCTCATTCTCCGCGGTTTCGTTCGCCTGGCGGCTTTGGCTTGACCAAACTTAAACCCCCGGCACAAAGTTAGCTTCTTTTTGCTAGTTGGAAGGAAAATAAAGAAACCCTAGAGGGGCAAACTGGTACGTCTGGCAATGTTGGGGCATCTTGTACACCGGGTGTACGGCCGACCATCGTTGACCTCTTTCAGTCTGTACAGGCTCTGAAATTGCCGAAAAGTCGCCACCCACCGCACGCGTTTTTTCTCCCGAAACATGCTCCATGGGCCCTGTGGTCATTGGAAGCTTCCTCAAGGCTTCGTGCTCGACTTCCTTTGGGTCATTTCCGGTGAGCTGGACTCAGAGACTCACGTAGCACGGGTGTCCATTTCGACGAATTTCTAGCAGCTGGTGCGGTCAAGGAATGTTGGTTTTGAGGGGCTGTGCGGAAATGGTCGGGGTTCTCCACTGGAGGGGTCATGACTGTTGGGGAAACGAAAGTCGAACCAAGCTGAACACCAGTGTCACAACTGGCAGGCCCCAAAACAGGATGGGTGTCCTTTTGGCTTCCCTTTAAACCAACCTGCAAACCGTTGAAACAAGCAGGCATCCATTCTCGACCAAACTGACCGGTTCAAAAGAACACCTATGAAAGGCTTGAAGCACTGACAATCGACTGCCTCGTCCAAAGGGCCGCTCGTGCTCCTCCGAAGGATCAAGGGAAACTTTTGCAACTCATCTTGCTGGCTCGACAAGCAGAGCTGCCTCGAGCTTCTCTCTCGGTTCATTCCCCAAACCCGGACCTGATTCGCCCCCTCTAAGCTTCAAACGGGTCCTCAAAAAGGCGTTCGTGAAGTCCAACCAAAACCTTCTAGGGGAGGTCCCTAAAACCCGCTTCAATGGAGGGTTCGACGATGCTTCATTAGGGCTACAAGTACAGAGAATCAGCATCTCAATGAGGTCGAGGAGGCTTGCCGGTGGAAACTGTTGGGGTTTCAAAGGGCGAAACTCAGCCTACCCCGTCCAATTACACGTGCTTCTCAGCCTCGGGGTAACTCCTTTTGTAGGGAAACGTTTTTTTGGGGAGCAGGTGTAAGTATCAAATGGGCTGTCAAAAGGGCATTTGTTGTGAGGCAGCCAAACTTTCCAAGCACCCCCTTCAACGAAGGGGTGCTATTTTGGGTCTAAAGGTGATATTAAAACAGCCCCAAAACTGGAAGAATACGGAAACAATGAATCCTTGAAGCTTCAGCTCTGGCTCCCAAGTTGGGAGGGAAAAAGACATCATCCCGAGTACAAGTGGCCACGCCATGGGTCAAAATCCAAAAATCGTACCCCCAGTGAACATCCCAATCCCCACTAAAATAGACTAAAATGGGTGGTGCACCTACCCCAAAATAGTACCATTTGTTTTGACCTCCCCAAACTTGTGCTGCCAGTCGTTTCAAGTCTTGGGGGAGTTTGCATCCCCGACAACTCGATCGAGGCGAGTCTTCCGCCTGAAGCGGCCTAAGACTCTTCGAGCATCAACTGGAAGTTTCTCAAAATGGTGGCTAGGGGTAGGGAAAACCCAAGATGTTCAAATCCAACCAAGGGCTGCCTGATGCTTCCCTGCTTGTCGCTGGGTCAAAATACCCCACTGGAACTGATGGGAATCGCTTCGACACCGGCCTGCTTTGCCTGACATGGTGGAGCTGACATGATTCTGGGAGCCAAGCAAAAACCTTCGCGTGACTTCCCTATGTTGCTTTTGAGGGCCATTGCGGAATTGCTCGGGATTCTCTGGACCCGAAGTGGGCATGCCCACTCCCCCAACCGATCTCTCAGCGCCGCACGTTGTGGGCGGATCCTGATAGCCCCACCAGCGTCCAAAAATGCGCAAAACTGTGTCCGACGCTTCCCCCGTCAACGGGGCAGTCCTCTTTAGAAACACCATGATCAATGATCTCCCAAACACCCATGATGTGTGTGTTTCCTTTAGTCCGGGCATGATGTCAACCCCTGACAAAAAAGGCAGGTATCTACCATGGAAAACCCTGATGAATCTACATGCCCGAAACAAAAGGAGGGCATTGTGTGGAATGCTGCACTAAACCCAAAGGTGGCAAAGTGGGCTCATGAAGACCCACACAGATCATGCAAACTTCAAAAGCCAGAAGATCATGAAGGCAACTGGTTCAACTTTGGAGTTGCCTGTCAACTCAGCTGCCAAGAAACACGGCCGTGAATTGTTTGATTGTTGGACATACACATCCCCACCTAAAACACCAGAGGGTCCCCAAGTGACTAAACATCACACCCAATAAGCATTTCCGTCTGACCCTAAAGCTTGGGATCGACTACTGGCCATGCCTTCAGAAAGGGTCCGGCTGAGCGTCTGAGTGGGATTTTGATTTGATCACCAGATTCCCGCGGGAGATGGTGTCAACGCTCGCCTTCCTAGCAGAATCGGAGGGCCATGGTTTGTCTGGTCGAAAGGCTTTGGCCAGAACAACGTCACACGGGGGTCTTCGGATCCTTTTCATATCTTGAACAAATACAGGACGGGCTCACAAGCAAATACAGCCATGGCCTTCCGAAAAAGCAACAAACAATTCCTATTCGGGCTGCAGGTTCTACTTCCGCCTTTTCAGGTCCCTTCCGATGGAACAAATCGATGTGCTTGATTCTTCGGGAACAAATCCCACCGGACGGAAGTCGCCAAAGCGCACCCGCGCCGAGCAGTTTTTGCCCAATGCAGCTTCGAAGCACGAGCCAAGCATCACTTCGGACCCGGATGCCTAAGATGGTCTTCCAGCACAGGACTTGTCGATGCTAGATGAGAGGGTTTAACTACCACCTGGCGCTCCATACAGGCCTTGTTTGCCGCTCCAACCCACGTATTTGGCTTGATTTAACGAGACTTGCTGCCCTGATGTCGAACACGCACTTGTCGGATTTGTCGCAATGACATTTTTCGAATGTCGCCTCTTAGGGCAACATTGGGCTCATAAACACCAATATTGCTTCTTAGGCCTACGCTCTCGAACATGGGTAAAACTTAGTGACATTGGAGTGTCTGGGTTTGCCCATTATGACCATGTGTTCCGGTTTGTTTGCCTGCATGACCGTGAAACCCGTTCTCGTTCACCATTATTAATTATTTTGGACAAAAGACGTAAAAACCGTGTGGCCATGTTTCTGGCCGGCAAACGATAAAACAGCAAGGCAATATGTGGTCCCAGGTCGAAGCGATCTATCTCCCACACCTTGGTCGACTTCTTTCCCCTTCAAGACGTAAGATTATTAGCGCATATCAGGGCGATGAACGCTCCTTTGGGAAGTATCTCTTGTGTTTTTTTTTTTTTTTTTCCGGCGTGGGAAAGATTGTGTGCCCAAATGTGGAGGGATTCGCTTCGGATCAAACCAGTGGACTCAGTCCCTCTTCCCATGCCGCAAGCCCATGGATCCCGCTAGCGAAGGGAAGAGCTAAGGCGTGTTGAGGTCTAAAGGTCCCTTTTCCCAGTCCTTGCTGCTTTGGGCATGGCCCAAATCCTTCCTACCGCCGATTCGGTGGAGCTCCTCGAACCATCGCACCACTGTGCAAGGCATGATTCGTGGCTGGGATGGCCGAGTGCCGAAGTGGGCTCCGTAAAATGTAACTTGCATTGCATGGGGAAATATGGGGAAATTCGACTCATGCCCCAAAAAGTGGAAGTCTTGAAAGATCCAGTCAAAATGCAGCCATACCGTTCATCCCTCAATCAGCACGTCCACCGGCAGCCAGCCACCAACATGGTGAGTCTCTCCTTTCCGCCAACCTCAGTCGTAGTTTCGGCTGAAGCTCAAAATCCCGGAACCACCCGAAAGGCGCATGTGAGCACAGCTTGGTCAAGAAACGGAGCAAAGGTACTGACCAACACAGAGCCCAACTTCTTACAGTCTGAGGCTGACCTGAGTTGACTCAGTTTGGTCCTGAGAGATGAAGAAAGCTACAGGGAGGAAACCGAAGAGCTGCCCTTAGAAGGGTCGGAGGAGCATTCAGACCAAACAAATTGAAGTTCGGATCCCGAAAAGATCTTCCGGGGTGATTTGTCGTTGAGACTTTGAGGCCATCAAAGGAGCTTGCTTCCCGGAATCCCCGGAAAAATGGACCTTTGGGCTCTGGACACCATAGGAGAAACGTGGAGTTCAGAACCCAAGCCCTGAGTCACTGAGCGCCTTGCCTGGGCAGCTTTTCCCAGAGAGATTCCCCAAGACTGGGCTGCCCTCAGATCCCTTGCGAAACGATTAACTTTAAGTGGGTTAAATGGAAACTACCACTAAACACTAAAATGCTAAGAAGCCAAGGGGATGGCTGGGTGCCAAGAAGAGAATTACCCATGTACCCCGAATGGATCCGAATGGATTGTTGAAGCCTCCCAACCCCCCCGACTCCGTGCGCAGTCGGATAGGCAATCCTGGGAGCGCGACAAGCTCTGGAATCGAATTCACACCAAACAAATAACCAAAAAGGTGTGGGTGTGAATCCCAGACCGGCCAGGGGACATGGTCGCCTTTGATTCTTTCCGCAAAAATGTCTCCAAAGAAGCAACACCCGACTGATGGACTGGGCCAAAAAAAGAAGCTCGAACCGCGCGTGCCTGGGGCTCTGGCCATAAATGTAGTCACACTGGTAGGTGTTGTTCTCCTGAAGGCCGCAACCCGAGGAACGCCAACGTCCCCTTGCAATCGGCCAAGGAAACCGCCATGTCAAGTGCGCGGGTCGGGCGTGTTCCCGGCCTCACAGGGGGTGCGGGAACTCCGCATGATCTCCAGCACTTGGCCCCTCTGCACTGTGAGGTAGCCCCCCTCCACCTCCGATTTGGCCTCATACCTGAGGAGGGCACGGGGAAACTTCGCCTTCATCTGGTTTTGGTGTGGCACTTAGCGATGTTAGATGGTTTCATTTGTTTTGGTGGGACAGCTCGTTAGCTGTCCTCATCTGTTTCTTGGCGGGAAAAATGAGCGACGCATGTTGCTCCCCAGACCATAGACAATCAGGAAGTGTTCTCGCGTCAACTTTCCGGGACTCCGCACGCCCTGGCCGCCAGCATCTCCACCTTGTCCGCGCTCGGATCGCCGCTATCGTTGGACCGAGGTCTGCTCACCTTGAAGCAGAGGACCGAGGCCTGCTCCAGCTGACGCGTCCTCGGATGAGAGACGTCGACCGGGACTTCCCCCCCTCTTGGGTCTTGGGAGCCTTTGGGGAATGAGGGGGCAACCAGGAAATGCCCTCCACCCCTCCTGGGCACACCTCAGAAGGCGTGAGTGAGCCTTTGGGGAAGTAAATAATGGCCACGATATCCGTGGTAACTCAGTTGATGGCTGAGGGAGAAAAAGAAGCTTCCTATCCTGTCTGCGTAGCGGGTCGCAGCAAGCTCTTTGTACTCTGTCTGTGTGTGTGGAGTCACGAAGAACTCCTTGAGACAAATCGGCCAAGGTGAAATGGATTGCGTGAAGGTCAATCAACCTGAAAAAACAGAACCACCCCCCCTTCCTCCCCCCCCTCGGGTCGCTGTCAAATGGCACTTCACAAAGCATTTCATTGCCGTTGGGGTCCCGGTCATGGTGGGAACTCATTCAACATGGCAACTGAAGGTGCATGCTACTTCGACACTTGGGTTTGAGAAAAATGCAGTCGCTGAAGGGTGCTAAAGAACTCATCCAAGAATGGCAAGATTTCAAGAAGTGATGTGTCTACCAAACAGAGAGGTTTTGAGGTGTCTTGGGTGGCTCAGTCCAGTACCCGTTGGAGTGCTTTCAAGGGAATCCGTCTGACTCTGTTCCATGTTTTGGCCAAGTACCCCAGAACATTGTTTGTTTACTGGAAAACCGATACTTCGAGTGACCCCTGCAATCAGAGGCGCATGTCGGCCAAGCTGGTCTTTCCGTTCACGGCCAAGATGTAATCTCCTGGGAAGCGCGAGCGAGGCTCAACTCGAGAATCGCGCACTGTCCTGTGGCCTGTGCCAACCCCAATTGGCCGACCCTACTGTGCATGGACCAAAACCATTTCGCACCGCTTTGAATCCATGGGGAGCCCTTACTTGTTGGTATTTACAGGGGAATCAAATCATTCCAGGGTTTCTTAGGTGGTGCGAAATAGATTTTGTCCATCCACGGTAGGACCTCACTCCATTTTGCCAGCTATGTCCACAATTCCCTGGTACAAGTTGCTTCAGATCCATGGATCCTTTCTTGAATGCTCACACCGTGACAATTGGTGGAACCTACATGCAATTTTTGGCGTAGGACACCCGGAAATGCACCTCTGGGTTCAGCCGTATTGGAGAGATCCCGCCGATGTCCCTCTCACGCAGGTATCAATGCTTAAGACCACTCTGCCGAAGTCAATCCATCGAGTCCACTATCGAACCGCCTACACCCGTGGTCTGCATCAACAACCCTTCCCAACCCGTGCTATGTGAGCCAATGAAAGGCAATGTTGCCACCCCCAACGCACAAAAGCAGAATCCACAAACCCAAGCAACTAGACCAACAAAACTGGATAAAGCAAACTAGACGAACTAACAAACAAAAGGCAACCAAACAAACTGAACAAACGCAACTAAGTCAATGAACAAGCTGACCAACCTTACGACTTCAAAATATTCAGATAAAACACAAACCGAACAACATGTAGTTCATGTAGATCTCCACCCTTCTGTCCTTTCTTCAACGTCTGCGTCTCTACCTCCGGTACCTGAAATCTCCTCGCGACCTGTGCAGGTCGGAAACCAAGACAACCGCCACGTAGGGCTTCCCAAAACGGAGGAAATAGAAAGAACTCGTCTAACTTATCTCAGATGGCAAGCGGGTTTCCATGGAAAAAAGGGGGCATCCTTTTTTGGTTGGTTGACTTAAAGAGGAAAAAAAAAAGGAACAAAGGGCATTCCGCCAAAAAACTGATTGTTTTCGAGGGCCCTGGAATTGGTCGCTATGGGTTCTCCCTTGAAAGGCCGGCCCTCAGCTCGGTGGAGACTGGCTTCCGCATGAGTCATGGCCATCTCCCCTCCCCAGAAAATTCAACTTGCGCAGAAAATACTGTGGATGGACGAAATCCATTTCGACCATAGTTTCAAAGTGGTGCAGGATTTTGTCCATCCACAGTATCACCAGCACTCCCCCCCTCTGCTTTGCCTGCCCGAAATCGCGGCTGCCCAAAAACGCGCGTGTTGTTTGTGGGAGGCGCCTCTGGTTTCCTTTCTTCGCAAATCCCCAAAACCGGTTCATTCCCAACACCCGCACCGGCCATTCCCCAGCCATCGCACCAGGTCAGCGGCCTCGTTCTGGCGCTCAGCCACGCTCCCCACGCGGCTCACGTGGAGAAACTGGAAGACACCCTCCCGCGTGTAGAGGGGATCCACCTTCAAGCCCACCTGGTCGTATGGTCGACGCAGAACCATGCTTCAAGAGCTAAGAAGGCGGCCGGGCTATCGTCCCTTACTAACCTTCACTTGCCCGGGTTTTGAGCACGTGGCTCACCTGAGCATATTAGTCGCATGGTTGTTCAGGGACCCCTGGAGGAAAACCTGGACATGGTCCCAAAAAGCCCGTTTTTTGACCCTATGAATGCCTATTAGCCCCTGACGGGCCCTTGACGACCCATAAGAACTAGGTTTTATGGCATAGACCCCATCTAAACCAGTGGAACCCATCTTTTTCCAACCGATCAAAGGACACGTATGCACCTGAGAATCCGGAGCAAACAAAATTGTGTTGCTCCCCCGCCCAAAGCAACAAACACATCACCCCAGAATTCACTGGTATTTACAATGCGTTCATGCTTTCGTGCCTTTTGGAAATCAGCAAACATTGGCCTTCCAAAGGTTTGTATGTGTGTGTGTGTAAACAGGGGGCCCCCGTATAAGGTGACATGTGTTTGCAATCTTTCAAGAGCCAAATCGATTGGCTCGGCCCCGACTCTTTGGACCTGCCTTGGCATTCTCAGATTTTCTTCTCAGCAACCCCCCCCCCCTCTCCAAAGGGCGCAGCAAAAGTGCGGAAAGCTTACGATGCTTGGCGCTTGAGCACAAGGAACAACGGGCTTTCCAAGGAATATACATTCACCTCCCCTTCAGGGTCAATTGGCAAAACCCTTCCAACTTCACAAACGCCAGGAGACAATTTCACGGATGCCCTGTCTGCCTATGGGCACTTCAACTGGTTTGCTCGAGACAGGCCCATCCAATTTCCCCTTAAACATCACCCGCAAAGAGGAAAACTCACCTACAATTGGTCCTAAAAAGTGTTTCCACTGGCTCAAAAGGGAACAAAGGGACTCCCGCAAAAGGTCTCAACCTTGACCATGTTGGCACCTGGTACGGAATGAGGGAATCCAAAAGCATACCCGCAAGGGAATGGGGATTCCCTTGCGACTGAAATTCCCTAGTGAGCGCCAGCAAAAACAAAACGGAGCCCTGCAATCTCATGTTGGGCTCCAAAACTTTCGAGACGGACGCAGCTTGGGGCTTTGGGATGTCCACCTTTTTTCCTTTAACACACCGGGGATGCTGGGAGTGGCGACCACTTGAGTTTGCTCGCCCCAAAGTGATAGATGGACCCCACTTCAAATAATGTCTTTTTTAGTTTAAGGGATGATGGCACATGGTGCTAGCCCCGGACTCGAGAAGCAGGCTTTTACCATGCACCTGGTTCTTTAAAAAATATGCCAACTAAAACCGCGGGTATATCCTAGTAGCTTTGTTGCTGTTGAGCCCTCTGCACAAAGTTTAGCTTTGTGTGGGTTTAGTGGATTCATTTCCCAAAAAGATAAAGTCTAAAGATCCAACACAATAGCAGTCAATGTAGGTCGACCTTCAAAACGGCGAGGCAGCGGGGAGCTTCTCCGAGCCGCAGGATCCTCCTCCGCTCGCCGCACGGCGAACAGGAACTCCACGCATTGGCCGGCGGTGCCCTCCTGGCAAGTACCACGCGGCGATTTCAGCACCCAACTTCGGCTTTCTGGACGGTGGGGTGGACCGAATTCAACTCGCAAACGGCAACTCTTGTGCGTCATGTTTAAGCTGGGCCAGGCCTAAACCTGCAAAAGCTGAGAACTTGCTGGTTGAGCCGCGAGAATGATGGAAAACCGAAAAAAGGCAAACAGTTACAAGAAGTACCCTCCCACCAACTAACATGGAAGTGCAAAAAGGCCGTTTCCAAGAGGAAAGTAGTCTTTCTACAGGGGTCTGTGCACTTCCATGTTAGCTGGTGGGAGGGTAAGCCTGGCATATTCCGGCCATGCGGAGTTACGTGCACCCCCGCCTCGGAGACGCACATCGAAGCCGCGCGGCCACGGGGAAAGCCCCAAAATTCCAAAACCGAGGGATTGATCTGGCGGTTTTTCGTGCCCTTTCCAGTGCCGTCGGTTTGGTTTTCCACGTGTGCTGCTGTGTGCTGCAGTTGAAATTTGGCTGTGTCAGAATGGCTTGGCTTGATATGTTTGCACTGCATGCATGTCCATCTCGATCAAGTGAGGCGCGCTTGAGCATGCGATTCTCCCGAAGTCCGGGGTGCAACAAAAACACGAGCGGGCTGGGTGCTAAATAGCCCCAAACCAAACACCACCGGCTGTTTGAGATGGTATGTCAAATGGGGGGGGGTGGTATGGACAAAGTTGAGAATCACATCTATGCCCTTGTGGCTTCTAGTCGAGGAAATGAACAATGCTCGGCTAACCTGATCTGCTTTTTGCCGGAAACTTGGCTCAGCCGCAAGAGAGGCTCGCATTTGTGGGGTCCAATTCAAACACCCCAAATGGGTTCGAAGTGGGTGCTACACACACATATGACAATTGACCAAGCTGAAACAAGGGTTCCCTGCCAAAGCAACCTTCATCATAGGTACGGTTACAACCCCTTTGTGAGGTCACCATGTTTTGCCAAGATGTGATGCAGGGACGGTTTGCTAGAACCTCAAAGCGCTTTGATCCAACATAAGCGGTACGTAGCAGGGTGGTCCGACTTACATCCCGGAAACAAGCAGGTATCTGTAGCGCAGAGGTACTCTCAACAGCACACCCGTTTGACAAAGACAAACAAGGTCCAGAGTAGTGTTTCGTCTCATGGATGAGCGCTGCACCGATCCGCTTGTCACAGGGCTAGAAAACTGGCCGATTCGACCCCGGCGGCCAATGGCTGGAGCCTCGGAGCTTCCACCAGTCCAAGGTTCGGAAGTCTACCTGGTCAAGCCTAGGTCCTCCAGCAGAGAGGTTAGAATAAGGGTACCAACTTTTTGCTGTAGTCTATGTTAGTCTGGGAACCCTCCCGGAGAGAAGGGCACTACTGGGGGACCTAGTAACTGAACTGCTGGCTAATGGAAGAAGAAGGACACCCAAAAGGAGCAAATTCGGTATGTCTTCAGAAACCCTTTGGTCCACAACGTTGGGCCCGTTTTTGAAGAGAAGGATCCCTGACACACGGAAAGGCTTGAAGGCTAGGCAGCGGGCCATACAGAGTTCCACGCAGTCGTCCAAGTCAGCGTCCACGCCCAACCTGAGCGCGGACTTTCCGACTCTCTTCCATGTCCTCTCAGGACCTTTGCTGAAGTGGCTGTGGCTAAAAAACACATGGACCAAAATGGCAGCTTGGGAAATGGAACCAAAGACTATCACCTGCGTGACCCTAGCTCTTTAATTCTGAGCCACACCCAAGTACCCCATAGCGCGGTTCTGAGATTTAGGCCCTTCCACCCTTATACCCTCAGGCTCCCATCGAGGCTTCAAAGCCACATGGCCCAACTTTGGGATTCTCGACCAGCGTTTGGAGGGCCAACATATCCATCAGACCCGGGTAGGCAGCCTCTTGGAACAACCCTTTCACTCCACCCTATCCGATTCGACGGTTCTTGAGATCAAACATGGGACGTCTGAGGGCCCGAAGCTGTGGCTGGCCCATCTGCAGGCCCAAAGAAGCCAACTCCAGTAGTGACCCTTTGAAATGCCAGGCAGTCGTGGTCTCTGGCAAACTCCCCAGCAACTCCGAAGAAGATTTGGGTGTGGCTCAGAATTAAAGAAGCCTAGGGTTAACCAGGTGATAGTCCTTGGTTCCATTTACCAAGCTGCCATTTTGGACTCCATGTTTTTTTGAGCCATCTGGCCATGGGGCATAGCCTATCGCTCCATTTTGGGGTGGATGAACATCCACTTGCCACCTATCTTGATGTTCACCAGGGATTTCCTGGGTTTTGACAGCCACCTCTGAAAAAATCGTCGCACAAACCCTCCATTTGCTTAAGTCCACTGGAAAAAACAAAAAACAGTAGTGATAGATTCCCTTTAAAACCAACAGGTTTTTCTTGTTAAAACAAAAACAACAACGGAAATCACAAATATTAACCAAATGGAAGAAACTGACACCATCTCTCAATCTCCTCAGCCCTCAGCTCCATAGAGCAGCTCAGCAGGCATTGCCTCGGAACCGTCAGACCCTTTTTTGGCCCACGGAAAAAGAAGAGGAACAAAAAACCGTTGTGGAGCCGAAAAACCCGAAGAATTCCGTAGGGGCCCTTGAAAACAGTCCCGATTTTGAGGGCACCCCCCCCCCCCCACAACCTGGGTGACCAATGTTGGGTATAAATGGGGTCTTTAGCTGCCTAATTGATAGAGGGAAGTGACTAGTGTATTCTTGTATCTGTGGAGCTCCTCCAAAGGAAAACCCTCGATTTCCAAAAAGTTAAAGTCTAAAAATACTTCAACCCAAGAATACCAACTCAGACCAGCAGAGTTTCCCCTAGATAATACATTCCTCGAAGGCAAGTGACACATGGCAACGTTTGTTTCGCGCCGAGCCGCCACAGCTCGTCTTCCGAGCTGTTGCCTGGCGTGGAACGCACTTTTGGCGTGGAAAGGGCCGCATGTTTTGCACGCCACACTCGGCACCGAACGGCCGACCTAACAGCAGACACCCAAAGGGTCCGATCCCAAGAAGGAGATGCCTTCACAAACGGACCTGCAGGTTTTGGATCTCCAACCGCCCAGCTGTTGAGGGCTGTGAATTGGCAAGGCTGTGACGTGTTTTTTTCTTCTACAAGTCGCAGGATCGCTGGCTTGGAACGGAAAAACTGAGCAACATGCCGAGTCTCCGAGTTCGGCACAGCCACAACCCCAAGATTCGTCATTTTGATTTATGATCCCTGCAATGCAGATCCCCGGACACTCAAATCAAAACGCCGGACCAATCTTTCGAGGGCCCTCAAACACAGCCCATTTTGAGGACCCTTTAAAAAGATGAGATTCTCCTTGGAAAGGGTCTGGGGAGCTTCTATGCCGAAAAATACGTAAGCAACATCCGTAGGACAGGGCAAACAGTTTTGAGCATTGCCAGGAAGGTCTAAAGAGGCATAGTCTTGCATACCCACCAATTCTGGTGTTCCGGCACCCGTTCGCTCCGAATTTGCAAGGCCCCCAGAGACTTAAAGTTTTCTTTTCTCAAAAAGGAAAGCACCGAGTACCAAGCAACCGGCCCCCCAAGTCTACCTTGTCAAGTGGAACCCTCCAAGCAACCGCCCCCCCCCACCCCACCCCCCCCCCCCCTACCCACGCGCCGAGTGGAAGCGCTCCGAGCTCCTGTGCGGCGAAGCGGAAGCGAGACCTGGCGGCTTGAGTTGAGCTCTCAGACTCCAAAGTCCACGGCGAATCGATCCAGCGGCTGTAGATGGAGATCGGGGGAAGGGCGGGGGGGGGGGGGGCGGCGGCGGCTGTGTTAGAATTCACAAAAAACGGGTGGTTGCTTGACTTTTGACTCACCTGCCAAAAAGAAACAAACAGAAGCTTCGGAGCTTTCTGTGTATGTCCAGACAGTGTATCTGGACCCTCAAACTGCCCTGAAAAATAGGGAATTCACTCCATCATTTTGGGGCTATGCCACATTTTTGTATGGGTAGCAAGGAGGGAGGTACACTCTTGGGGAGTTGGCTCAAATGGAAGCCACTCGAAAAATCCAAATCCTTGGGGCCCGAAGGGCTGGGACTGTTCCACTTCATTGCGGCTCACCTGTCTACGGGTTGATTCAAAACTCTCTTCACTCACCGCTCTCCTTGAAAGCCACCCATTTTCCCAGATTGGCCGATCTGTTCAGAAGGATCCTTGGAGACAGTACGGCTGGAATCTTGGGGTGCCAAATTGGGACTGGCAAAACAAAACAACATATCCATGCCCTCCGGGAAAAATACAAACTGTGAGCCATTTAGCACCCAACCCAAGTGATGATGTTGATTCTGGATCAGTTGGGAACATGTTCTTTGGACAGATACCCCGTCTGCAGACATGATGCTCCGTCCTTGGGACCTGTGTCTTGCCCCCGATCAATGAGCTGATGTGCGATCCATCCCTGAATGGGTCTCGCCTGGGTTCTGACGAAAGTCTCTCCTGACATTCAGGAAACACCCAAAATCAACGAAATGGGCACAAACAAGCCAATGGTGTGTGGTACTGATCCTCTTCATTGGACGAATCTGTTTGCCGCTTAAGGAACCGGTCGTTTTCAACAGGCTAAGCACTGTGCCAAAGAGCAACAAATGATCTGACGCTTCTCTTTCACAACAAATGTTGGCCTGATCTGACAGGCTGACACAACAACTGTGGTTGAGCCCTGATTTACAACCCCAGGTTCTTCTGTTTCGAAGGGGTTGTCATCTCACTTTTCAAAGTGCATCCACTTGAGGGACAACCCCATCAAATACTACCCTCCCGTGCAGTCGCATGGCAGACACGGGGTCCCTTTGAGAGGAACACAAATGCCGTCAGTTAGTGGGATGAAGTGCAACAAAAATCTTTACCCAAAAAACACAGGGGACAGCCTCGTTCCCAAGCCTATAAACTCCCCACTCGAACCCTCCTGCCCCCAACCCCTAACAAAGGTCCAAAGGTTGTCCCTAATAACCCTAGTTTTATCCAACCGGTTTGACAACCCAACCACCCAACCCACCTCCCGCCAAAACCAACCCCACACCCATTCCTATTTTAAGATAGGAAACAAGCCCTAACCCATACCAACCATCCCCAAACTTCCCCTCCCTCCCTCCCTCCCTCCCTCCCTGCCTCCCTCCCAACAAACCACCCCCCGGCTCCGCCGCCCCCTCCTCCCCCCCCGCCCCCCGGACGTTCCGCCTCAGGCCGGTTGTCCACCCATCCTCGCAAAGGCACAGCCCGTAGGAGCTGCACACCCCGTGGTGCGAACAGGTCTCCTCCGGCGTGCAGTACACGTCGCAGGCACCTGGTGGCGGCAAAAATCTCCGAGTCGCGGCTCCGATGGCTGGCTGACCCGGTGAGGCAAAGCAACTCTCTAGGGGAAGAATGTAAAAGGCTAAGCTGTATTCTTGTCCCTCTTGGATGCGGGGGCTGCCAGAAACCAAACATGGGAGAGGTTTCCATGCTGGAGCAGTTCTTTCCGGCAACGAATCTTATTTCGGAACCCCCTAGATAGCCAAGTTGCTGTTTTCTTCAGTCACTGTTGCTGGTTTTTGGGATAAAGTGGATGGAAAAAAGCAGCACCTGGCGATCCCGCCCGAAATGGTGGACAACAACTTTTGGCGGGGACTTCTGCCCACCAACCACTTTCAAGGGGGTTCCTGATTCAAAAAGACACTTCCGTGTGGATGCCAAGCCCTCACTCATCAGGACAACTCACGAAACCCCCGCAAAACGCTCCAGTGATCCCCAAAGGAAGCGACCCAACAAACAGAGCCCAAAACGGCATATCCTTCTTTTGAACAAGCCTCTCTCGGTTGCTTTCTGCTCCCCGCTAAAAGTTAAAAGCGCACTAGATGGCAAAAAGTTAAAGTCCTAACATCCGAGCAAAATGCAACAAAGCTGCTTGGAGTTTTCTTGTTGGACGGGAACACCCATACGCCCTCAAGACATTTATTTGCGCCTTTCCGCCCCCAAACCGGTTTTTGGGCCAAACCACAAGGTGAAATATATTCAATGTGGAGGCAAAACAACAGATTCGGGGTTGAAAACAGGTCGGCAAAATACAGCTCCTAGACTGGCCTTGCCGCAAAGTGATGTTGAAAGCCATGAGGGGGATCTTCATTAAAAACCCTGCCCAATCAAAAAAGCAGAGATTCAAGAAAGCTCGACACCTCCCACAAGGCGTCGGACATCCAGTTACCTCGAAAGCCTCCGCACATTATTTATGCAACCTGTTATTGCTGAGTGGGAAAATATAACATGATCCAAACAAGTTGGAGCTTAAAGATCCATCTACAATACCAGCCAAGTTATCATTGGATGTCAAAAATGCCAGTCCTCGTCAACCCAAAGCAAAAATATGTTTTGACAACTGGGCCTCCACAGCCACACCAAACCACTATGGCCACAATTAGAACCTTTTTTGGGGGGAGGAGCCTCAGTCATGGATAAAAGGGCAGGCAGGGCTGGGCGTGTGACCGGTTTTTCCTTGACCTATCCTGAGCTTTTCGAGGGACAGAGCCCCCCCCCGCTTAGCCCCCATGATAGAAGCAATTCAAGCAGATATCAAGGAACTTGTGGTTCAACGACCTTGAATAGAAATCCTTTTCTGGGAGAGCCCATGACAAGCAGGCAAGCTGTTTCGGTGGTGCGAATTGTTAAAACCACCCAACTCCCCCCCCCCCCAACCTATCGCAGAATTTTCAGACAGCTTTGTTCCGTGGCTCCAAAACAAAACGCCGCTGGCACCTTCTAAGGGTCTGCCTGAAGGGCCCAGTTGAGAAGTCCTGTGGGGAAACCCAGAGCGGGGCCACTTCGAGAACTTAAGCCGACGGGCCTAAAGGATACCAGTTCTCCTCGCAGTGGTCACAGTTCCTTCCCGCCCAGCCTCAGCTTCCGTTTTGGGCTTGCGACTTGACGACTTGTGGCTCACTCCACCACTTTTGGGCCCGAAGAGGTCGTTTGGAGCCGAATCAGTGGTTTGGAGCTGTTCTGGGAGGGCTTCCCATTTGCCCACAAGAGCCAAAGGTTCATCCTTGGTTGCTCTTGACCTCCATGCAAAAAGATTAACTTTTTGGGGGGTTAGTGGAAAGCCCCCCCTATTTCCCAAAAAGTTAAAGTCTAAAGATCCAACCCAATAGCAGTCAAGTATACACCGATGTCCTGAACAACTCAGGCGCCAACAAAAAGCCAGCGGTGGGATTGGGCTTGTGAATTGGTTTAGGCTTGTTTCATTGGATGTACGGGACACGGCATCAAAAATATTGAAAGATGTTGCAGGCCGAACAGGGCCCAATCCGCGCTGGTGGTTGAACAGCTTCTGAGAAAACAGGAACCCAAACTTTTGGTGATCCATATCGATTTTATGACCTATTTGCCACTACCAGCCTTTCCAAGAAAGGGTTTCTTCCTGTTGCAGACCTGGGTGTTCTAACACAACCTCTCCTTGTTCAGTCACAAATCACCATGAACAGGTGGGTATTTGGAGCTAGGGGTTCAAACCCTGGGGTGTTCAACGTGTAAAGCGTTCCCGTTCCTACGACTTACCAAGCAGCAAAAACTGGACGAGTCAGTGCTTCTGGATTACAATGAGCAACCAAAAGACACCAGGCTTCACACGGGGGTTTGGGTCGTATTTTGGTTGGCTGTCTTGGGTCACCAAAATCAAAACGAGGCACACTAGCCTCATTGACACTACCCTGCCCTGGCTTTAAATCACTGGATGTTGATGTACATGAAGCTCATTTTACCCCGAATCAGTGAGCTTGTTCCAAGTTGCCCAGACATCACAGGCCTGAGAGGAAAGCGGTGTAAATAGTGGCTATATGTCCATTGAACCCCTGGCAGTATTTGGGGTCGTGGAACCATCTATAGATTGGTCGGTCGGTCGGTCGGCCGGTTCAGTGGGCTGGCTGTGGTTGTGAAAGGTCATCAAGGTTTTTTGCGCGAAGGAAGCAAAGACTGGATGACTTTGTGTCGCTAAATGTCAAACTTCTAGTGGAGTCTACATGCATAACATGTCATACATATGATGTAAACATTTGCCATGGGCATGGACCCTTTCTTGGGTGTTGAAAAGTTAGTGGGTTTTAATCATGTTTTTTTAGAAGGGGCCTAGACCCGGTTACCCCACTTGTATCCATGGTCATAACCCACTTTCTACGTAAGTTGGCTTGACCATTCCAATCAGGGAATTGGGGGTTGATCAGGTCCTTTACGTAGGATGATTTAACCAAAGCCGCCAAAGCGATGATCTGTCCCAGCTGAGAAAAGTGACCCATGGCTCAACTCCGGGGGCCGACGGAAGATTGATCAACCCCCAAAGGGCTTCAACCGGCTCCGAAGTGGTGCGGGTTTGGAGTTCGCAGCCATCCACAGTATGTCCCCCACCCAAGGTCCCGGCCCTGGTCGCATTGGCAAATGCCGAAGGGATTGCAGGTACCATGGCCACCGCAGGTGGACCAGTCCGAACCTCAAAGAAAAAAACAGTTCAAGCCGACACGGGGAAAAACATACAAATAAATAAACAAATAAATAAACAAATAAATAAATAAATAAATATATATGTATATATATATATATAAACTACTCCCTAGTCGCATCAGACAGGTTCTCAGGGTTGGCCATGTTGAGGCAAGAACCAAAACCAATGGAGGTCCCCGCGTGCTTCACACCCAAAGCCTCGGACAGGGTCCCAGGGTCTCCAGGCTGCTCTTCGATTCACAGCCGCCGCAGAACGCGAAAGCCGAGCGAGCGCGTGATTGTCTCTACAAGTCGGTAAGCAGAACTTGTGACGATTGGAACCACAGAGTGGAAATCCCTCATGCTACTGTCACAGTCAACCAAATTCCCTCCAGCCCGATCGATCCACAGGCCTGGCCAAACTGGAAGACAGAATGGGGCTCTGAAGTCCCAAAAGCCATACCCATGGGTGTGACATATCCCCTCTACAAGAAACGCAGGGGCCGTGAGAAAGAATGGCACCTTTCTGGTAAACATATTCAAAGGGTTTCCCCCTGACAAAACAACTTGTCGCGAAAGAGGGATACTTCACCCCCAGCCCCCCCGAAAAAAACAAAAACAAAAATGAATGGAAGTTCTTCAGGTCCCATTATTCTTCCCACCAAAAAAACAAAAAATGAAGTTCTTCAAGTCCCATTATTCTTCCCGAACAGAAGTGTTTTTTCAGGTCCCAGTATTCTTAGGGTGGACCCTGCATACCTGCAGCCGCAGGGGCAAAAGGTGGTGCAAGATGGCGATGCCGTGGACGGAGCTGGGAAGAAGCCTGCAGATCCCACGTTCGCTCTGATTTTGGCGGTTTCTGGTCTGCCCGTTTTCAGATCCCGCGCTACAAGTGACGAACTTTTAGTGGCTTAAATGGAAATCCCCACTAAACACTAAAAGGCTAAAACCTAAGGGGAAGGCTGGGAACCACCAAGGTTTGGAGTGGCCATTTGGAGATTTGGGCGTTTACCATCCACAAGAACCAGAGGTCCAACTCCGACTCCAAACCAATCGAAACCAAGCAGGGCTGAACCCTGATAGCTATCGCCACCCGACCAAAGTCATATTCTGGGTGAATTACAATATGAAATATGGTGGTTGGGGGGACTATTCCCCACATACACCACCATTTGGGGTGAGGTCGTGTGAGGTCGCTCTGTTTCACCCAGATGCTTCATACTGCTCCATGCGTGAACAAATTCAGATCGGATCCCCCTCGAAGGCCTCAACTCACGGCCAGCTCGTCTTAAGACAAAGAACGGGATGGTTGTAAGGGAACGAAAAACCCAGGTTATACGCACTTCCTGAGCGGACTGGCCAGAAAACGCTCATACATCCTGTTTGATTTATTTGTCACTAATATGGTCTTCCCAAAAAAGTTTATAACGTCCAGGAACTTAGGAAGCGAGTATAACCATGGTTGCAATCGGGTATACCGGCCTTAGGGTTGAACATCCGAGCACCGGGGATGTAGCGGAAGCCATGCTCGACTATGAGAGGAGGGCAAGGGGCCAGAGGACTCCAAAACCCATATGATCCACGTTGCCATGGACCCCACCAGGAGGTCTCTTGAAAGAACAAATATCCGAACCACGACTCTGATAGGTTCCATGTTTGTGGTTGGGTGGGTATAGTCCCCTGCAAAAGAACCCAAAAAAGATGTTTTTTTTCAAAGGGGGGCTTCCTCTAAGAACGATGGCCGTCCCATGTTGATCTGGGAAGCTGTTTGGTTTCATTTTTGGCTTCCAGGAAAGCGACACACCCATGTACTTGGTCAAATGTCATGCTTAAAAAACTTTGCGCCAACCATCACACATTGATCCTCGTGTAGGAGTCCACGCAAAAGGGACATCGGAACTAGCGTGAGAACCCACCCCCCTGCTTGTTGCAGGTTCTCACGGTCGTTCGCCATTGGCATCCAATCACCCTCGAGTGAACTGAAAAAGCCTAAAAAAGTGTCTCATTTCGAGAGCCGCTTCCCCCTGTTTGACAAAAATGAAGGGTCATTTGTTGCAGAAGTGCCTCACTGTGGGTGTGCCTTTCTGTTGCGGGCACTCCCTAAAGAATGGCCTCGTTTGGCCGTGCGCCCTAGGGTTCAACCGATTCTCATTAGATTGGCAGCCAAGGGGGCCCCATTCTCGCCGCTCGCCTTCAGCGCAGAGCTCGCAGTTGTCGCCACCCCAGCCGCTGTGGCACACGCAGAGCCCGTCCCCCGTGCGCCTCAAGAAATGCGCGCGGCTGGCGACTGGCCCATGTAAACCCTCAAAATGTCCAAGCAGTCTTGGGGTATGATGTTGACCTCTGAGTACAACCGGAGGTATTTACCATGGAACAGCGATTCGATAACTCCAAGTGGGATCTCTGGCGGTTCATGCAAGAAAGGCAACTAAAGGCCAACGACAACCCAAAACTCTGAGGTTCCTATGCCGACGAATTCTTCCGTAGGGCTTCGCTGCCTTTCCCCGAGCTCTTTCTATCCATTCGCCAAAAGAGTGCCAGGCACAAAGGAGGGAAAGCTCACTTGCCCAAAGGACCCAGAAATAAAAGGTGATCACCTTTTGGCTCCACGAAAAATGGTGGCCAAAACGGGAAAACGTCAAAAGGTCAGATCCGGTCGATTCGCTTTGGGCAGAGAACGACGTGAACACCGCATCGGAGCATCGGGATGGAACGCACCTTCGGAGCTTCGATGCGAGCGAGCAGATCTCTTGGGGCCGCGCCCCTCGCGGCAGAAGTGGGTCCCAGGGGAAGTGCAAGTGCACCTCAGCACTCGAGAGAGAGAGAGAGGACAAAGAAAGAACCAGGTGGGGTTTTGATTGTCTCGAGCTTGCTCCCTTTTTGTGTTCCGCGGAAAAAAAAAGAAGAAAAAAAAAACATATCCCCTTGTTTAGTGAGGAGCTGACATCATGTGACATCATACTTAAAGCAAACCGGCCTTTGGAGTAGGGGGTGAGCCGAAACCGAGGCGAACCCTTTGAGCATGCGCCCATCCTTGCATAAACCCGCCCTTTCTCCTTCAAAACGACCTAAGTTCGCTTTCAATCGGCCCAAGGTAATGCTTAAACCACCCAAAGAGGAAACCTGGGCAACAAAGAAACCCAAGCAACTAGGTAGGCGTCAAAATAAAACGGAGGGGAATTTATTTTAGTTTTTTGTTTTTTTGTGATTTGTTTTTTCGCTTTTGGCTTCTTGGCTTCTTGGCTTCTTGGCTTTTTGGCTTCTTGGCTGTTGGCTTCTTGGATCCTTGGCTTCTTGGCTTTTTGGCTTCTTGGCTTCTTGGCTTTTCGGCTTCTTGGCTTCTTGGCTTTTTGGCTTTTTGGCTTCTCAGCTTCTGGGCTTTTCGGCTTCTTGGCTTTGCGGCTTTTCGCTGGTGTAGCTTTTTGCATCCTCTGCTTTCCCGTGGCTTCCCGCATCATCAGCATCACCAGTTCCTCTCTATTTGAATCATCACTTCTGCAAACATCATGGGGGGGGCTGCCGCCTCCCCCCCGCTACTTTTTGGATTTATTTTACAGAGATTGAATTGCACCCCTAGTTCAATCATCACTTTTCGAGCGTTCGAAGAAGTACATACATACAGACATACATGGATTACCTAAAATGTCATATTTTGCAGCATTTTCTCGCGAAATTGGACATCATAGGGGAAGCCACCCCCGCCAACCCTCCCGCTGCCTTTTAAATTCTATCGCACCCTTTCTTGAATCATTGCACCCCTACTTGAATCATCACTTCTTCCGACATCATGGGGGGTGCCCAAACCCCCCGCTACGTTTTAGATTTTCTATAGAGATTTAGTTAATTGCACCGCTACTTGAATCATCAATTCTTCGAACATCATGGGGGGGCTGCCGCCCCCCCCCCCCAACCCCCCCCGCTACTTTTTATACTTTTTGCAGAGATTTAATTGCACCCCTATTCAGATCATCACTTCTGCAAACAACATCACCCCCCCCGCTACTTTTTAGTGTTGTTGATATATTTTTTTTACAGGGATTGAAATGCCCTCCTATTTTGAATCATCGTGTTTTTCTATTTTTGTTGATTTTGTTACCCACGATTTGTTGGTGATGCTAGGGATGTTGGTCGGACATGCGGGGGATGTTGAAAACGATGCTGGGGATGTTGACGGGCTTGTGCAAATCGCGTCAATTTCGCGAGAAAATGCTGTAAAATACGACATTTTACTGGCCCGGACGAAAAACAAAAATAAATAAATAAAAGATACCCCAAAATAAATCCGCACCCAAATAAAACTCCCAAACATGTTGGTGCCAACTCAACCAACAAGAAGAAAACCACATCCTCAAATGAACCCCCCCAATTTTGAGGTTACCCTATTTTTGACACATAGCATCACTTACCCATTTCGATGTTGCACCTCTTCGGAGGTCCACAACCCCAAATGAACTTTCAAGCCTATTTTGACCCATTTGCAAAACAACTGATTTGTGCAGGCCCCTACTGAAACTGAACAGAACCAAGAGACCCTAAAAACCTTAAACATGTGAACAGCAGTGAAGGGGATCCATGGACAACCAAGGGGATCCCGTTTGCCATAGATGTTGAACCCCTAGGTCCCAAACCTTGCTAAGAATCAATTTGGGAAAGCTCGGGATCCCCTTCGACACAGCAAGTTTGGATGGCTCAGTTCGGGGTCATTCCGACTCATTCCTTGCCCATCAAATCAGCAAGACATGGCTTCCCTTTCGTGCAGGGGTCACTGGATGTCCCAATTCAAAGTTGGTCGATCTGGCGGTTTTCATTGAAACGATCGCCACTTTGGGTCCAACGGGTTGGACGTTTCAGTTCCTTCCCGTTTTCCCCCGTCTCTGCACCCAACCATCCGATTCAAGCGGCTGCTGGTGGCACTCCGTGCGAAAGGCTGCGCCCAGCGGCATCACGAAGTCGCAATCTGAGTGGAGGAAATCCGAATCCCCGCAACGCCCCAATGAACATATCTTGGAAACGGGCGGGAAGGTAATCATTGCGAATTTGGTACTGATGCCCAAAGTGGACCATCCCCATAGCTACCCGACCTTAGGCATTCCCTTGGCAGGCTCGAGCGACAGGAAGAAGTGGTGCCCACTCTGCTCCATACTTCGTCTACCCTAAAACATCAAATTGTCCTGGAGGAGAGCCCAATACTTGTTTCCGGATGTGAAGAACCAGTTTGTTGATGGTGCATACCTCTGAGTCAGGGACAGACACCATTTGACAGAAAAGTAGGGTTGGGTGTAGGGGGTATGGGCCAACCCCCAATGAGGCGAAATGGGTTTGTCGTTTTTCGAGGGCACCCTTTGTGGGGCATGTTTCTGTGGATCGAGAGACCACAGGAAACAAATCGGTTTGGGGGATTTTCGTGAGAGACCTGTACGAGTGATAAGCCTGGACGCGCTGACATTTTGTTCCGGGTGGGAAAGTAATCGAATTGCAATTTTAGGGGTCTTGTTTTACAAAAGACCCCGAAGCATCGAAGGACCCGAGGGGTTTCATGCCATACGCCATGCATCTGAGCAGCGGCCAAGACTCATTGACCTCAGTTGGTTCTTCCAACATAGGTATAAAGCTAGGTTTAACTATAGGAGATTCTACAATCCTTGCCAAACCAGGGTGGAAGAACCACCTACTAAAAGTGGCTTCTCGAGGTTTCAAGGCTGCTCGCTGTGTTTTGCTGAGGCTCGGTGCCCTTTTTGCTGGGCCAAAAGGCAACCAAAGGAAAACCACAAATTCGAGGTTGCCCTGTTTGACACATACCCATATGATCAAACTCCAAAACTGTGGGCCATGGTCATGGTTCGCTATGTAACTGCAATCCTTACCCAGTTCATGCAGATTGCCCGTCATCTCGTCAAATCTTTGGGGCGCGTTGGTTCCAATTCCGGTCAAAATGACTTGTTCTCAGCTTCGCCCAAATAGAACTTTGTGGCCGTCGAATCTCAATTTCGACCGAACCAGTTGCTTCTTTCTCGGACCTCAACCTCCCAAAATGACTGCGGTTTTCCATTTGGCTTCCCTTTGAAAACACAAGGTAGACAGGCCACTCCATTTTAGAGACCATTGGAAAGTCTTGGTTGCCTCAAACCAGATAGAAGCCACGAACTCTACGGCAAAAAATGGCCTTGGGAATGTGCATTTTGTGTTGTGTGTGTTGTGTGTGTTGTGTGTGTTGTGTGTGTTGTGTGTGTTGTGTGTGTTGTGTGTGTTGTGTGTGTTGTGTGTGTGTTGTTTGTGTTGTGTGTGTTGTGTGTGTTGTGTGTGTTGTGTGTGTTGTGTGTGTTGTGTGTGTTGTGTGTGTTGTGTGTGTTGTGTGTGTTGTGTGTGTTGTGTGTGTTGTGTGTGTTGTGTGTGTTGTGTGTGTTGTGTGTGTTGTGAGTGTTGTGTGTGTTGTGTGTGTTGTGTGTGTTGTGTGTGTTGTGTGTGTTGTGTGTGTTGTGTGTGTTGTGTGTGTTGTGTGTGTTGTGTGCGTTGTGTGTGTTGTGTGTGTTGTGTGTGTTGTGTGTGTTGTGTGTGTTGTGTGTGTTGTGTGTGTTGTGTGAGTTGTGTGTGTTGTGTGTGTTGTGTGTGTTGTGTGTGTTGTGTGTGTTGTGTGTGTTGTGTGTGTTGTGTGTGTTGTGTGTGTTGTGTGTGTTGTGTGTTGTGTGTGTTGTGTGTGTTGTGTGTGTTGTGTGTGTTGTGTGTTTTGTGTGTTGTGTGTGTTTTGTGTGTTGTGTGTGTTTTGTGTGTTGTGTGTGTTTTGTGTGTTGTGTGTTTTGTGTGTTGTGTGTGCTGTGTGTGTTGTGTGTGTTGTGTGTGTTGTGTGTGTTGTGTGTGTTGTGTGTGTTGTGTGTGTTGTGTGTGTTGTGTGTGTTGTGTGTGTTGTGTTGTGTGTGTTGTGTGTGTTGTGTGTGTTGTGTGTGTTGTGTGTGTTGTGTGTGTTGTGTGTGTTGTGTGTGTTGTGTGTGTTGTGTGTGTTGTGTGTGTTGTGTGTGTTGTGTGTGTTGTGTGTGTTGTGTGTGTTGTGTGTGTTGTGTTTGTTGTTGTTGTTGTTGTTGTTGTTGTTGTTGTTGTTGTTGTTGTTGTTGTTGTTGTTGTTGTTGTGTGTGGTGTGTGTGGTGTGTGTGTGTTGTGTGTGTTGTGTGTGTTGTGTGTGTTGTGTGTGTTGTGTGTGTGTTGTGTGTGTTGTGTGTGTTGTGTGTGTTGTGTGTGTTGTGTGTGTTGTGTGTGTTGTGTGTGTGTGTGCTTGTGTTTGTGTTTGTGTTTGTGTTTGTGTTTGTGTTTGTGTTTGTGTTTGTGTTTGTGTTTGTGTTTGTGTTTGTGTTTGTGTGTGTTTGTTTGTGCTTGGGCGTGTTTGTGTGTTTGGGCGTGTTTGTGTGTGTGTTTGGGTGTGTTTGGGTGTTTGCGTGCTTTTGCGTGCTTTTGCGTGTGTTTGCGTGTGTTTGCGTGTGTTTGCGTGTGGTTGCGTGTGTTTGCGTGCGTTTGCGTGTGTTTGCGTGTGTTTGCGTGCGTTTGCGTGTGTTTGCGTGTGTTTGCGTGTGTTTGCGTGTGTTTGCGTGTTTGCGTGTAAGGAAGGCGAAGGAACCCCAAAGGGGGCTCCCTTTTTGAAGGAGGGTCCGATCCTCCACAAAAAAGCTTTGGCAGGTTCCGGTTTCAATTTTGCAGGAAGGTGCTTGCCGACATTGCAACAAAATTCCGCCCAAGAGCGAAGGACAGTGGCTCACTTCCGCAACCCTGCGCAAGGATACCTCCGTCAAAACAGGAGCACAAAACAATCGGGGCTTTCTTTTTGGCTTCACTTTGAATACCCAAGGCAGACAGGACCCTCCATTCAAGGGGGGTATAGGAACCATTGGAAAGTCTTGGTTGCCTCAAAAAAATGCTTTTTGGAGTACTTGATCCGATTTTTAACCAACAAGTCCAGCCAGCGTAAACAACACTCTAGCTAAAAGGTAGTCCGCATCCATTTGGGTCTGTCTTCTTTAAGGTTGGAACCCCCCAACATGGCTACGGTGTTCCTTTTGGTTTCCCTTTAGAACCAACTCCGACCACTTTTTGTAGGGGACCCCCACCCCAAAAGAATTTCCCTCTCGGTTTCCCTTTGAAGCCACGAAAAAGGGGAAACCCTCAAAAAACGACACGCCCATTTTGATCAACTCTATCCCGCACCTGGCAACGCAGGGAGGCTGCGGTACCACCCGCGCAGGTCCGCCAGGGCTGCGAGGAACGCTGGGAATACCCTGTGTTTCGTTGGCCTGCTTTCTTTTTTTGGGGGGGTACCCATCAAAAAGGGTTGGTTTTTGCAAGGCACCTCCAAGGTTTGATTTTGTTTCAGGGTTCCCAAAAAAAGCGTTGGTTGAAAAGGACACCAAAATGAAACCAGCCAATTTGGAGGGTGCCCTATTTTGAGACCAACCCATGTTTCTTTGGTTGTTTGTACGTGGTTTGGCTTCACAAGAACACCAACCTTTGTTTTCACTCCAACCTCCATACTCTTCTTCGGCCTGCCCCCGACTTCCCAATACCCGGCCGTCGTTGAGAGTATATGTTCAGAATCTAGGCATTCTAAAGTGGAACACCTTCCTGCTGGGTCAGGGGTTAATACGGATGCAACGATGGCAGCGTGACAATGAGCAAGGTGCTCAAAATCAAATCATGATGTGCCTGCCAGTCGTGTGGGAAATAGCCCTTTAGGTGATCATCCCATGACGAGCCGATTGACCTTGCAAAGGATCCCCTTGCCACTCAAAACTTGGCCCACATAAGCCCAGGTGATATCCCCACCAGCCTCGGGACCCTCTGGAACATTCTGCTCCGAACCACTCTGGAGCTTATATGGGCCGAGATCCCAAATCGTCCAGTTGTCTGGCAAAAAAGGGAGCACTGAACATTATATGGTCTGATTCTGTCCCATTAGCCTACAGTACACCATCTTTGGCTTGGAGACCTCAGAAAAAGCGGCCACATGCTTATAAACCTCGAAACGCGGCACCCAAGGTGTCTCTGGACTCCACACCTCCAGCACCTCAAGGGCTGGCAAATGATTGCGACGAAAAGTCACTGTAGGTGATAGCCGTTGGGGGGTGCTGACTTATGGTCTTCGGGGTCCCATGCTCGACAAAAATGTGTTCCGAAAAGAAAAAGGAAACCGGGTACTAGGTCCTCCAGTGGAGAGGGTAGAATAAGGGTACCCTTTTTTCTTTAGTCTTCTATAGTAGGGGAACCCTCCCCCAAAAACGGGTAAAATGCCACTACTGGGGGACCTAGGGTAAGTCAACCAACCCCTGTCCCACTTACCCTGGATACGGCGCCACTCGGTTGAACATCCCAGCAGTCTCCGCCGGGTCCGCCTGCATCCCAGCAGGCCACAGGCCTTGGAATCCGCGCGGCACCGAGTCGGTGCCGAAAGCTTGAACGCGTCCCCGGTGTACTTGGAGAAACACACGGTTTTCCGTGGGAGATGCGTTTTGCTTAACCAGTGGTTGACATCCGATTCGAACACCCAACAATTGCTGGGTGCTTTGGGCCGGTAGGGGGCTACTGGAGAAAACTCGAGGTGCTCCAGTACGAATCGCTGGAGAACTAGTAAGAAGGCCGGCGTCTAAGGTGCTGCAGGTCCAAGCCATTTGGAAGGACCCTTTGCGGCGCTTCACATATGGCCGTACCCCCAGTGAACACCAATCCTAACTAAAATAGGTTCTAAAATGGGTGGTGCATCTACCCCAAAATGGTGCCATTGGGTTTGACCACCACAGCCATCTCTCTTTGCAGGCATGCCCCACCTGTCCTGAATCGGGGCGTGTTGCGGGGCGGTGCATGCCAACAGACCCAAGAATCACCGCTCGGTTCCGGGTTTGTTGCGCGTTTTGCAGCTGTTCGCAATCGGTTTGCTGCCAACAAACAACATCTTACCCAAAACATGTGCCTAGACGAAAGTTGCCCCGATTTTCGTACCACTCCCGCACGCAGGGGGGTTGATGGAGGGAAGGGTTTGAAGGGTATGTCGAGTTCAAAAGTTGCAAAAGATTCGATCATCTGGTTTCGTGGACAACATCAAATCGAAGAAGAGAGCAAGACCTCTGCAACAAGGAAACATCCAACACTTCCAATGTCTAGGCCTTGTAGCCGTGCAGTGAAAGACGAATGGAAGCGGCCGCAAAAGACCAAAGCACATGCTTTTATCTCGCCGTTTGAATTTAGGCGGTTTCGGCACCTTCCAGCGGCGCATTTTCCGACTTTTGGCCGCAGCCTAAGACGCCAAGCAGCCAGGGTAGAAACTTGACCGGCAGAAACCCACGTGGAAACCAAACAGAATGTTCTACCCCGCTTTGATCATGAGGCTTGGAGCAAGCCTGAACTTCAAGGTACCCTGTTGGCCTCAAATGTCCCGCCTGTTTTTTGGCAGGGGAGACAGCCTTTCTTCAGAACTCCCTTGCGCGTTTTTGACCAACGGGTGTCTGCTCTTCGGGGCGCTTTATTACGATGGTCCTTTTTGGCTTTCCCTTCAAACCCGTCCCATTTCCCTTACGATAGTTCCCAGTACCATTTTGGTGTGGGTTTAAAGGGCCACCAAGGGAAACCAACCTAGGTCCTCCATTAGCGAGGGTAGGATAAGTTGGTACCCGATTTTTGTTCTGTTTATTTTAGTAGAGGAACCCTCCCAACCAAAAAAGAAACGGTAAAAGGGCACTGCTGGGGGACCTAGAACCAACCAAAACAGGGTTCGCCCTAAAAAAAAAGACCCGCCCCAATGGATGGCAAGAGAAGGTCTGTCTCAAAATGCACGCAAAGCCAGGTCGACGGCGTCCAGGGAACACTGCGGCTCTTCGCGCAAAAGCAGTTACCACACAGCAGCAGCCTCTATGCCAGGCTCTCTCTCCAGAATGGGCACCCCGTCGCCCGGAAAAAGATCCGGACATGCCATCGCCCACGTGGGATGGCTCGTAGATGCTAGCTGGAGCATTTGCAGATGGAACCAGCAGCTTCATAGGTCCTACTTCGATCTGAACTTGTCTCCCCTGCTCAACTTCACCGCCTCCATTTGCTTAAGTCCCCTGGAAAAAATGAAAGTATTTCCAGTAGTGATAGATTCCCTTTAAAACCAACAGGGGAAAGTAACCAATATTCTTAACCAAATGGAAGACCAGCAGCGACAGCCTAGATCTGCCGCAGGCGCCTCATCCCAAGCCCTTCGACAGTTGACCCTACGTGAAGGTACTGCCTGAATTGGTTGAATTTTGTGAGGCCTATATATGGGTGTGGGGTTGTTTGAGAGTACCACATCTTTAGGTTGCTTTAAAGGGACACCAACAGTAAAACTGCCATTTTTAGGGGGGAACCCGTACTTTGTGCACATATCCAGCGCTATGTTGACACTGGAGACCCTTATGATTTCCTCCGCGCTTCCTTTGAGAAACTCCCATCACCTTTCAAGTGAAAGAGCATCGCCCCCCTCAGAAGAGACATGCCCAAGGTTGGCGTTGAATGTTTGAGCGTCCCCAAAGTTTTTTATGTGTAGAAAACACTCTTGAACGGCTCCCTTTTTATCTTTACGTCGGCCCAAATGATTCTAGAATCGAAACAAATGACTTGAAACACCAGGGGCAAAGGGATTTCACATCAAACTTCCACACCATCGGGTGACGTGTTCGGTGGTGTGGTGCCCCCTAAGCACACAAGGGGTCCGTTTGGAGGCAAACACCTTGCAATGGAGCTCTCTTTCACTCCTAACAGTCCCTGCCATTCCAACCAACAGGAAAGCTCCCATCCGGGTTTTGGGGCACCCTCCCAATTTCATCCATCAGGAACCCCTTTTCAAAATTCCAGGTTTCTTGGATATGCGCCTCAAGAACGGAGGGCATCACATATATATATATATATATCATATATATATATCCCCACGGAAAGTAGAAAAATCGAGTTGCACCTCAAAAAAAAAAAACGCCGCGGTCCGAAGTGTCTGGAGTCCCCCTACCAAAATATGCGCTTCCCATGGTCATCAAGTCTCGGTTAAACCAATCGGGGAAAACCAATATATATTTTTGCATTCCTCACTTCCTGAGTGAGTGGGCCCCCCAAAAGAAGTCACACAGGCACTACCATGGTCCAAGCCCAAACAGGTATCATGTCCTCAGGAACTGAGATTCGCTTCGGAAAACGGCTTTCGCTTTTTGGCCCTGAAGCTTCTCTCTCGAGGCTTTGGCCCCCCGTACCAGCCCGGGTCGCAGTCGCAAAGCCCCACCTCCCGTCGAAAAGCGAATGCACACGCCCCAAAACACCGGAGAACGTCCGAAGTGCCGCCCGAAAATTTCTAAGTTCCCCCGAAAAAGGCAACATGTTAGGGTGTGATTTGTCAGGCAACCAAAAAGGGGGAAAAACACGCATTCGCTGATTCTGTTTTTACGTAAACTGCCCCAAAAATAGAAAACCCTGCGATTTCTGTGCTTCTTGCTCTCGGTTCTTGAATTTAGAGGAGCGCGATATACAACCTGATGGTGCTGGAATGCGTTCTCCGCAGAAAACGTGGACCGGTCCTGCAACCGGTCCCAGGACGGAAAATGGGATGGGTTGCACGCGCTGTGTTTTCTGCCCCTTGATTCGCGAAAGAAATAGGACGCATAGCTGAGCTTGCTTGGACAGGTTGGGTTCCGCGTGTTGTATTGCAAAAGAACATGTTCCATGGCGGCCGCTAGGCGCGCGTCTTCAAGTTCTCAGTTCAAGGTATCACAAAGGAACTCTCTTCCACAAGGGAACGAGTGATGCGTTCTTTGTTTTTCGCATTTGTTTTCGGGGGACATCTAGAAAACCCTGGCATTTTTGAGGCACGGAGTCCTCCTGGTGCAGATTGGGCGAACATGGAAAGCTTCTGACTTGACGATTTGGTTGGCTGGCTTCCGCAAAAGCACGCGGGAACATTTGGGCCCGCTCCCCTCCCTCAAACAGCAGGCCAATCCCCTTCACGGCCATGTAACATCCAGAGCAACAAGTCCTGGTTTCCCTGCCATGGCTTGGACTCGCACAGGGCACAGTCGCAATTTCTGGGCATGGAGCCTGGTTCTTGAAATTTGGAGGCTGGTTCCCCCCTCTCTCTTCCAAGACCAACAAATCAGAACATGACGACATGGAGCCCCTATGGTGCAACCTTCAATGGCAAGGATCCAACTTGGATGAAACTCCTTAGGTCAACCACGGTGGCTTCTTGGTCGGCCGTTTTGGCCGCCCTCCAAATGCACTCAGAGTGCCCGCTCGTGTTTTACAAGATTATGTCAACCCCTGACTCGAACGTGAGACGTCAAAACTGGTGGCTCTTCAAAATTTGCCCGCAAAGGAAACGCGGCGCAATGGGCACCCCGGATTGAAAACCCCTGGTTGATTCATAGGGGGTGCCCCTGTTTTAGTGGAGAGTCATCTCTATTGGAGGTGAGCACCCCTCTATTAAATTGATCCGGGGTCAACATTAGTGTGAGTAGGTCGGCAAATCTGGACACTTCACACCCCTCTGAGGTTCGTAGAGGCCCCGACGTCCGTGCAGGCGCCGTGGCCGCTGCATGTTGCGTCCTCAAGCACGCGAATTCTCCAGGAACCGCGGATGTGGTTTTTATGAGCGCTGCCGTGACTACCCATCTAAGCTAACAAGCCAGCTTAAACCACAGTATTGAAACGCTGAAATAGATCTGAACAAGCGCTTGGGGTATAGTGACCCACGTGCAGGAAACGGCACAAACAGAGCAGGCTGAAACACTGGCCTACCGGTGGGACAGCCGCTTAAAATTCCCCTTCAATGTGCCCGGGTGTTCTCCCTATCGTGTGCGGGCAAAAACGCCCAATCCGGCGTCCTGAGGAAGGTATGGTGTCAAATGCTGTAGCCCCCACTACAAATGGAGGCATGCGCTGTGAGAAATCAGGCGGCTCAAGCTGGTATTTGGAGCAGGTGGCAAAATGATTTGAACCCAGCGGTTTCCCGGTGCCGTCGGTTTTCAGCCCACACGAACACCTATGCCTGTACCATGAGCCAGTGGGCCATGCCCTCTATGAACATCGTTGCGAGACGGAGGCTACACTCCCGATCTTCCCCTGGTGGGATAATTGGAAACATAATAGAAAAATGGACTCTGCGCGCTCAAAAGACACCCGGCAAATGGGTCGCTGCATGTTGAAATCCCAAAACGGCTCGGTCTGTTCGCCGAATCCTTTTGGAAAAACTACAGCATGCCTCCAAGAATGGCTACCCTTGTAATGTCCAAATATCCCCTTGTTTTAGGGTATGATGTCAAATGATGTCAGCCCATAACTAAAAATGGAGGTATTTACCATTAAGAATATGGCTCTTCAAAATGTACACACGCAATGCCGCAACATGGGTATTGAAGTAAAAAATAAGCTTCTAGAAAAAAAACAGAGAGACTTCATCCTTCTTATTCCATGGTCCGACACTTGCACTGTTGCGCTGAGTTTTCTGAATCCTTGACACACATCTGCTTCCTATCCAAAGTCATCGACATTCATGTACTTTGCTGGAAGCAGCATATGCCCAAAGTTGAAACGGCAAGGTCACATGGATCGAATGCTAGGTAGACAGACAGTTAAATAGAGATGGATACCTAGATAGGTGGGGAGATAAGTAGATGGATATAGCTAACTAGTTAGATAGATCGCTAGCTACGGGTAGATGGATAGATGGATAGATAGATGATAGGTCCCCGACAAGAGCTCTCAACCCAACTGCGCCCGGGTTTGGACTCCCCATCTCCCGGCAAGGAGCGGAGCACCGGGTGGAGCACGGAGGCATTGACGGAGGCATTGAGCTGGTGTTGTCTTCCACCTGGCGCTCAAAATCGGTTTTGCCAAGCCCATCGCACTTCGGTGAAGCCAAACTTACATATAACCAAAGAAACAAGGGTTGGCCGTCCTCAAAAAGGACGCCCTCCAGAATGGTTGGTTTCATGTTGGTTTCCATTTCAACCAACCTTTTGGGGCAATGTTGGCCCCAAATGAATCAACCCGCTGCTCGGAGTCTTGGCGAAGCCCGGCTTGCAAACACTGCAAGGCCCAGTGGAATTTGTGTTCTTACAAGGATTCACTTCGATGCGCCCAGGAAATGGTCAAAATGACCGTCCCGAATTGGTTGGGTTGTAGAGGTTCCTGTTTCTTTCCTAGGTGGTATCGCTCAAAACCCAGAATTCAGTAGGCAACCGTTATAAAGAACCGTATAAACTAAAACCTTCATAAGAAATCCATCAAACGAGCCCTCGATGAGGAACAACAATACTTTGTGAGAACCCCTTGTAAAATCTCACACCGAGGAAGGGACCGGCGTGGTTTACCATTGAACTACGCGCAGGCCTGGCTCCAGCTCAGCTGGGCCAGCCCTGGGACAAGCCTACGTTGTGGACCTCCCAGCCATCCCAACCATCCCAACTGCACCTCACAAGGTTGGGGTTGGCAACAGTCAGGCGTCATATATCGCCCAAAGGGGCGCATGCCTAGGCTTTGCCTTCCGACTGACGGTTGCTGCCGCTCACCGTTCGCATCGTTTTGATGCCCAGCGTCTTTGGTGCATCATCACCGCCCGCGCGGCCATTGGAGCTCGAGTTGGGGGAAGGCTCCAAACACTGCAAGTATGCAGCAACCCGGCTGCACTGCCAGCATCGCCGACGCTTTCGGAAGCCTCTCTGTTTTGCGTGTCGCCTGCATCCCTTGCATCACCCACGTTTGCAGCCTTCCCCAAGACATTCCTGATGACGCGCGCACGGCACACACGTACTTGCGCAACGTGCCAGGCGCACGCACCAAACCAACCAACCAACCAACCAACCAACCAACCAACCAACCAACCATCCATCCATCCAACCATCCATCCATCCATGCCATCCATCCATGCCTTCCATCCATCCATCCATCCATTCATCAATCCACCCGTCCACCTGTCCACCCGTCCACCCGTCCACCCACCATCCATTCAGCCAGCCAGCCATCCATCCATCCATCCACCCGTCCACCCACCATCCATCCATCCATCCATCCATCCATCCCTCCCTCCCTCCCTCCATCCATCCATCCATCCATCCATCCACCCGTCCACCCGTCCACCCGTCCACCCGTCCACCCGTCCACCCACCACCCATTCAGCCAGCCATCCATCCATCCATCCACCCGTCCACCCACCATCCATCCAGCCGTCCATCCATCCATCCACCCGTCCACCCACCATTCATCCAGCCATCCATCCCATCGCGCACGGCTCGGTGTTTCCTGGACTTTCGCTGGCACGCGAGGCCGGTGCGCGGAGCGTGAATATAAAACCTTAAGCTGAGAAACTGGCATTGATTTTGCTTAGGGAATCTTCGGTAAACATCAATGTCCACCATCAAATGGTGGCTTCCTGATGTTAACCCCGGATTAATAAACCCCTGCTTGATTCATGGGGGGTGCCCCCTTGCGGGTTCATCCCTTTTTGGGTGACACCTATTAATAGGACCAGTTCTACTTCGATCCTAGATCCGGGGTCATGATTGAAATTTGGGCAGGGGTCAAAACTAAACCTCCAGTAGAGAGGTTACAATAAGGGTAGCCTTTCTTCTAGAGTGTTTAGTAGGGGGAACCCTCCCTCAAAACAAGTTGGCAAGAGGGCACTGGGGGACCGAGTCTTGTTGACGCGACCCTGGGCTCCACCGATCGCGAGCCGGCGAGACTCGCGACGAGGGCAAGTGCCTTCGGCAGGCCATCGCCGGTGCAGAGAGTGCAGCCCTCGCCTCAGGTCTCAGGGCTTCAACTCAGTTGTTCAGTGGTGATAGATTCCCTTTAAAACCAACAGGGAAAATAAACAATTGTCTTAACCAAATGGAAGAAACTGCCAGCTCTCTCCTCAGTTGTTCAGTGACCCGGGAAAAAATCGGGAACCCTTTTGGGGAAGTCTCCATTTTTAGTGGGGCCACCAAAAAATGGAAAAAGAATCGGTGCCACTGAACAACTGAGTCAAGAAACCCACCAGGGGAGAGACATCCACATAGGTTGGGTAAACAGGGGAGGTGTTTTCTCACAAAGGGTGGCAAGATGTTTGTGAGGCTCCCGGAAATCATTCATATACACCCACCAATTTGGAGGGTGTTCCCTGGAAAACACTTGGGTGTGTGCTTTCAGGGTACATCCATCTATGGTTCTTTACATGAAAACTAAGAGCACATGTTGGGGGGGGGGGGGGGCGATTCCTTTGAGGCTAGCACACATGTCATCAATTTGCTCTCTGCTTGCAAGTTTTCTGGGTTCTCAGGTGAGCAACCAAGACCACACGGTCCCTCGGTTTTCATGTTTATGATACCCTGCCCTGACATCACAGCGACATTTGAAAAAGTGGACACCTGTTTTGTTTTCAATATATATATATAATTATATACCCTTCAAGCAAAGAAAGCACACAGCACCTTTGAGCTTAACCCAAATCCCAGGTCAGGGCACCTGCGCCCTTAGAGGCCGTGAGATGAGCCAATAGCCCCGAACATCCTTGCGAGGCTTCTCCGAACATCCTAGGCAAGGATCGTCAATACCATTGGACCCATGCTGATCCTTGTTGCCTCAGAATGGATTCAGAGCAAGACGAGTCACTGCAGCCCAATGGTGACGAATAGTGACTACAGTGCCTAGGGCCACTAAGGACATAATCTCCCCATTGCTCCCCTTCTCATGGCTCGAATTAGCCTTGGATTTTTTGAGGACTCACTAGCGCAAAAGCCTTCCACATGACACATGTTATCTCGTGTCAGTGAATTCACAAGAGTGGTGGTCGCAACAATGCTTCTCAAATCCAATTTCCCCCAACTATATCCCAAATGCTCAGGATAAGGTAGATGAAAAAAGATTGAAACCCTGTCATGACTCCAATTCTGAACCTTGATCTGGGTGATCTGGATCATCTGGGTAAGTTCAAACAACTCAACCACCCATCCTTTGCAAGCCCACCATGTTTGCTTGTTTACCAATGGGAAAAGTAACTCCCCTTGTTCAAGAAGCTGGCAATGTTCTTCCCCAAACCTTGGCCTACAAACCAGGCGCACACAGAAAATATGTTTTCTTCAGACGTTGTTTCATATTCAGCCTACGCCCTACCACTTCGTCCTGTGTATATTTAATGACAAATCATTGGTTTCCCATGGAGCAAAACACATCCTTGTTTGGTCAGTGGGCATCATTCCACATACCTCTACAAAAAGATGCTTGTTCTACATTCCCTTAAAGAAAGAAACTGGGCTACTTGGAGCGCACGTACGGCCTTTGGCTTTGGCTGGGCTTCCGGCCGTCCCACAGATCGTTGCACAGACAGGTGCCCTGCGGCCTCGACCGTTTGACTCCCGAAGATCCGGGAGGGGGGCTTGCGTGCCGGAATTTCGCGCTGGGTCCCCCATTTACCCTCTGCAAAAACCCAGGGCTTCAGTTCCCCAAACCACCAATCCAAACCGCCTTTTTCCCGGGTATCCTGAGGTGTTCAACTCCTTTCACGACCTTCCAGGCAGGCGCCCTCTTGCCCTTCGTCCGAAATGGAAAGACCTTCGCGTGGCATACCCACTTTCTTAGCATCCCAAACGACTGTTTTGGCAACCTTGCCGAAAAACATCCAAAAACCCAATCCAAAAAGCATCCATTGCCGGGTGGTACGGTATTTGGTTTCAAGTCGGTTTTGCATTCGAAGCTTTGGTCAGATGTCAAAAACCCTGCGGCAAGTGCCTGAACCAGTCGGGCCGTTTCGCTGGGCCGGAAGCTTTTGTCGCGGCCATTGCAACCCGATCTGGACAAACCGTTTTTTTTTTCCCCCCCATGGTAGAGACCCTCCCATTAACATAGCACCTGTGGGAGGGTACCTGGAAGATCAGTTTCCTCTCAAAGGAGCCCCTGTCAGGTGCCATAGTAGTGGGAGAGAGGGTACATCCATTTTGTGTCAGGGGCTGACATCATTGGACATCACAGCCTCAACCAAGCGGGTATGTGGTGTAGGCGGTACAATGACCAGGACACCCCAATGGCTGTCAAACAAACTCCTCACCCCAACGGCCCGCAACCAAGAGACACTGATTGGACAAGGTTTCATCAGAGAGCAGCTCGTAGCCAGCACGTCCTTGTGGAATTGGCAGGTGCAGATTGGAGCGGCTGCAAGGCAACACGGAAGTCAGTTTCATGTGGTGTCATGGAATGGCATCACGACATCGTCAAGGACGCAGAAGTCTGCATCTCTGTCTTCGGACAGTGAATGATAGTTCAATGCAGCAATCAACGCATATCGGGATGAGACACGGAATCAATCCTTCATCTCACGTTGCCTCCTTCATCTCACCTTGCCTCCTTCATTTGGGCAACAGAGGTGACCATGTGCAACACCATTTTGATCGCGCCTTAATCCGCCTGACAAACAAATCAGGTATATGCGGCATGTCAGCCCATGACACAGGAGGTTTTTACCCTGGAGAACCGTGTTCTTCAAATGAGGTAACTGGCAGATGTTAAGAGGGGCCACGTGGCTGCGGATTCCTGGAAATCCTAACACCAATTTTGGTGATGATCTGAGCCCCGGAGCCAGCTTCTGTTTCGGGTATACTCCATGTGATCTATTTTCCTGTTGGGGTCATGACCCCACCAAAGGGCCCTTCAATGCAGAACCCCGATCCGTCTTGAAAAACCACCGCTTCTGAAAACTCGAATCGGACCCTGGTTGGAAATACAGGCCAAATCCGCCAAAAACACCTGAGGTGTACTGAGAAACCAGCCTGACTTTCCCAGCCTTGGCAGCAAAAAACGGGGACTATTTCTGGCTCTCCACGAAAAATGAACAGAACCAACAAACTCAAACTTTCGTTCCTTTGGGATCCGCTTTCGTTTTTCTGGGCCGAAGACCCGCCAAAAATCGCCTCAAGTTGATGGGAATCTCATCGCCGTGTTGGGACCGAACCGTAATCCGCAGGTTGATTTGGGAAAAGACAGGTTTTCCCCACGTGGTGCCGTGCTGACATCATTTGACCTGACGGGCATTGGTGTTTCTCCCGACCCTTATTAATTATGGTCAAGTTTTGACTCGAAAACCAAAAGGACATCAGCCATTTCGGCCCAAGTTGCCGAGATGGGAAGTCGATGCCTCCAAATGGGCGCCCGGGCCCGCAAATGCCATTCAAATGGCAGGTGGTTCCGAACTCAGCACGCTCGGTGCCCAACGAAAAGGACATTGCTGGGCCCTACATGTTGATGTCCCTACATGTTGATGTCCAAAGAGACCCTAGTTAAAAATAAAGCCCACGATGTAAATTTGCAGTAAGACTTTCGTAACCAACAACGCTCTTTGCGTTCATTCGTGGGGAAAATGATCCCCGACTCCAAATACCCGCTTATATGTGGAGGATCTCGGTTTTCAAGGGCAGATACCTTCTCGCTCAGTCCGGGACTGACAGCATGTGACATCATACCCGCAACAAGCGGATATTTGTAGGGGGAAATTCGATGATCATGGGGGTTGGGGGGAGGGAGGGGAGGGGGAGGGAGCTTAAATAAGGGCCCTGATTTGGTGCTTTTTGGGGCTCCCCCCCCCCCTCCCTCTCCCCCAGCCCCCATGAGATGAATGTCCCTTCAAGGCAACGGGGCTCAAGAGCTTCAAGCTCCGGCCGAAAACTCGCCAGTCCCTCGTGCAGATTTCCGGCCAGCCCATTCGCCCGTTCGCCCTTTTGAGGAACTCGAAAAAGCACTTTGCACCAGGAAAGTGAGGCCCAGAGAGGCCCAAACACAAGCCTGGTACGAACCTGAACTGCTAGAGTCAGTGGTTACCAGGACCAAGGGTCCCAGCACATGAACTTGCCCAGAGGGGCCGGTTGGTCGGTCTTAGGGAACAAACATACACATAGACATAAACACAGACACAGACACAGATATAGATACAGATACAGACATAGATCCAACACAGACACAGACACAGACACAGACACAGACACAGACACAGACACAGACACAGACACAGACACAGACACAGACACAGACACGCCAAGCAAGTTGGTTTTTGACGGCCCCTGACCATTGGATCTGGGGGGCATTGGAGGGTCATGGGTCATGACAATTGGCAGCTTGGGGTTGTAGGGAATCGTTTGAGGGGTCTTGGGAGATCAAGGGACCCCCTTATGCAGAAAACCATTCCCTCACTCCCTCATGTGCTTTGGATTGCCTTTGGGGGTTTGAACCCCTGGCTCTTGAGGATAAATGGAAACCTCAAACCTTACCACCAATCCCAACCACCAGTAGGGAAGATGCGTCCTTGCCAAGAACCAGACATTCTAGGGGTAGCGTCCCCATTTTTTCCAGCCAGGAATCCGAATCTTTTCAGGAAACCATCCAACACCAAGGGCAACAGAATGGGGAATTAAGCCCTGGAGACATAACACCCACCACTTGCGAGGTCCTTAGCCACTCAGCTCCCCGCGTCACACTGCACATCGCAGGCCCCCTCGGGGTAGTAACCTGCCAGCGAAGTGTTTCTTTGGCTCGAGGGGCCTCATTCGTCGTGGGGTGCTCAAACATCCCCAAGCAGACAAGACCCTCCATTGAAGGGGTCGAACCGGACTGCTGTTGTTGTTGGTTGCCCCAAACGGGATTTGCCTTTTTGAGGACCCCGTTTGATTCTTTGGGATGGTTTGAGTCCTTGGAGGGCACGAATACCAACTTTTCGTAGGGTATGGTGTCAAATGATGTCAGTGTGACCAGAAAAAAAAGTATCAACACCATGGAAAACCGGGCTCTCAAGTTCCGTAACGGGCACCAACTCAAGAAACACACGCAGCCTGCATTCCTGGTCCATTGCGGGGGCCTCAACCCACTGGTTGGCGGTTACAACCACTCTACACATATGCAAAAACCAGAACAAATGCCCATGTAAGTATCCACTGCCCAGGAATTCGACAAGAGAAAAATTCGGAGATGGATTCTAAGGGTGAAACCCTTTCCCCAGGCTGTTCTGCAAAGTCTACAGGAATTATAAAGTGTGAAATGTGGGGTCCTCAAGTAAAGGATCTTCAACTCGGTTTAGCCCAAAGTATCGCCACATGCCTGCCGCGTGCATGGTTCGATATAAGTGCTTCTGCGGGCCTTCCGCAGGCAAGCTGCTTCTGGAATCTGAGGAAGGAGCTTCCGCGAGGGACCCGCGGTTTTGTAGTAAACATGCTTGGCAACAACCACCCAAACGAAAAACTTGCCACTATGCGCAAATCAACAACGTCCCTTCCGCGAGCTTCCACAGGAAGAAACCTTCCTTGGGCGAGCCTTCCGCAGCCGCAGTGCGGTGCTACTATTTTTGTTGATATGTCAACATCCATACATGTTAGCTTGAGCGGGAAAATAAACCGCCACACATGGAACTTTATCTATTATCACTTCGGGGCGTCACACCCTTGACCAGAAAAACCCACTTGCCACGACCAAGAAAAAACGGTTTGTTTCTGTCGGGCCAGTCTGAGCAAGGAAGCGGACCAAATCGCGCGTGCTCGTTGGGACTTGCGGGTTTCCTCTTCGCTCCTCGGGACTCAGAGGACCCGACATTCACAACCTGCGTCTTTTTCTTCGGGGGGGGGTTCTACAAACAGACGCTATAGGCCATACTATGTAACCCATGCCAAATGGTGGAATCGCCGACCAAGCTGTAATTATTAAAAAGGAAAACACAAAGATTCCCCATGGCCACCTCCCCCCCTTGTTCGTCAAGGGCTGACCTGGCCTGGACCTCCTGCACTCGTTGGTAGGCGGCTGAAGCGCCACAACTAAAGTGCTGTTCACGGGAAAAGTGGGGTCCGGTCCATCCAGAGCACCCTCGTGGGTGAATTCTCCCGTTCGGGCTTCGCCTGGAGCGCACTGCTCGCAGTAGACGCCGGCCCAGCCCTCTTTGCACTCGCCTAGGGGGCCAGGAAAGCTGTTTTGGGGACCCAGACTTTTTTGTTAAGCCAATCTGTTGTTGCGACAAATCAGCTTCTGTCCGATTTGCTGGTCACTTGAAAGTGCTGGGCGCTTTCCAAATCACCCTCCACAAAAACCAGGGGTTCAAATCCCCAAACCACCCGTTCGAAGCGCTAATCAAGGCTTACCGGAACAAAAAGGCAGAAGCTCAGGCAAAAAATCAAAGAGCTCTAGAAAAAGTCCACTGCCTTTCGCACCCTGGGTTCAGGAGGGGTCAACCCTCCCCTACACAATTTCAAAGGTCCCAGGAAAATGGGACGGGGTTCTGGTCCTTGTCAGGGAAAACCATGAGCGCCGCGCGCTCCTGCTGCCATGTCGTGCCAAAACAATTGTAACACAAGCTCGCTGATGAATCATTTGCAAATTCTACTGTACTCATTCCAAAATCTGAAATAAGGGATCCGCGAGCAAAGGACCTACATCATGGTGCGCTCGTGTTATCCCCAGCAATACAAGTTTGCCCTCGATCTTGACTGCTTGACTGCGCGGGGAGCGGTGATAATCAGGGAGGAAAACCAAGGCAAGGGGCGAAATTAGGGATTCTCAATAATTATTTATTTTGGGCATCCAAAGCAGGGAAAAAACGGGCCAACTCCGCTTTGGGCAACTCAGGCAAATCCCGAGCTGTCGCATAGGGGATCGCAAAGCTGAAGATCTGTCCTCTTGCAAAGGGGCACCCAATCAAAATCAAGGTTTGGTTTTTTCAAATTGAGGACCCCCAAATTTGTTTCTCTTCAAACCAACATGACACGGGTACTCTCAACCAAACAAAGGACCATTTTCCAGCAAACTTCCACGCTGGGCCCCCTGCATTGCCCAGTCTGCATGAGACACTGCCTTGGGCAGACTGACCCGATCCGAGACTGAAGATTTCCGTGCATGTTCAAGGGACATGGTGCCTTTGGGCAACCTGGTTTTCAAGGTAAACCAAGGCTTCCATTTGCTTAAGGTGTTTCCCTTGAGGAAAGCACAAGGCTGAGCGAGTCGCGCTTTTTTTGTGGATCTGGTTCCCCTATATTGAGACTCACCCATGCGCGCCGACCGGGAGTCGTAGGGTGAGCTACAAAACCGATGCAGGGAGAGGGCCGCAGGTGAGGGGTGGGTTCCCCTCCCAAAACCGGTGCAGATCATCAAGCCACGAGATTCTTTAGACTGATGTTGATGGCTCAACTGTCTTTGACTTGTCCATAAATTCAGCTGGATCTTTACAAAAAAAAGGCGGCTCATCTTCACCAAGGTGACCGAAGGGACTGCCCACCCACCCCGCCGTCATTTGGAGGTGTCCTTTGAGGCTCAGCTCTGGACTAAAGCGGGGGGGGGGGGGTTGGAAGGCCCAAGGTGACGCTGGGTTTTTGGAACCAGCGCCAATGGCCACCTTTGGGCTATGCTAAGTCGGCCACTGGAGACTGGCAACAGCCACCCATAGAGGTTGTTTTTGTTTTCCTCTTTTTTATGAAGACTCCTTTCGTAGGGTTCCCTTTTGGAAATTGGTGGATTATTCAAAAGGGAACCCAAGGATGAAATAAGAACTAGAGATAGACATTTCTTGTGGGACTTTCCTTTTCCAACAGTTATATAGAAATTGTGAGAAGTCACCCAACGATTTCTCTCAGAAAAGTGGCAGATATGTTCCGCTCGAAATTACCCTAACGTCCCTTCCTCCAACGACTGCTTTTTTGGCAGCGCTTGAGGCACACGCGAACAAGCAGTCGTCGGATGGTTCTGGCATGGTTCTTAAGATCAGCGCCTCCATAATCTATAAACACCATTGTTTTGGGGTATGACTTGTCAACCCCGGACTCAAGCAGGTGGTTACCTTGGAAACAGAGCTGATGTTCAATGGGCTGAACATTGGTTTGGTTTGCTTTCGGTATTTGGGCATCTCTTGCTTGGGAACCCCCTTTGGTTGGTTTTAGAAAAGCAACCTTTTCGGTGGATTAACCCCAGACCCTGCTACATGCCCCTTGGATAAATGGCCACAAAAGGCCTTGCTGTTGTTCATACCCCTCTCCCAACAACCGGGTAAGAAAAATGGTTGGTAATTAATAAGTACCTCTGGGTTCAAGTTTGATCATCCGCCAAAAAAAAAACTCCGAAAGAAGGAATTCTTTGGGCCCCATGTTCAAGCTTTTGACCTTTCCCGCGACCACCCCAAGCCAAGCGGCTTTGAACCTGCCCGGATACAGGCGCACGGTCGGCTGCAGTCCTGGCCTAAGTTGCTACTTCCGCGGAGCCCAAGTCCACACCGGGGATGCCACGGTCCAAAACTCAGTTGTTCAGTGACCCTGGAAAAAAAGGAACCCTTTTTGGGGAAGACCATTTTTAGTGGGGCAGCCACCAAAAAAAGGGAAAAAGGGTGCCACTGAACAACTGAGAAAAAGAACGGGCTGGTGTCAAAGCGGGACCCCAAATATGGGGTTCAGTGTTCCTTCTGTTTTCTCTTGGAGCCAACACGTAAAAGGGGTGCCATCAAAATCAACACATACACACCTACACACAGCCAGATGTGTTCCACTTCCTAGGCCTGGGAATTGCCATAGTCTGAGGGGAAGGATGCGAGCTATCTGAATCCAGTGTCATCTATGTTCAACCGAAATGACCAAAACGGACACCTATGCCTCCCGTGCTCTCCAAACAGGGAGTGATGTCAACCCTGACTAAACACGGAGTCGTCAGTTCCCTAGCAAATAGGAACACCCATATTCTCAGCAGGGTTCCCATTGGGCTGTAGCTATGTAATTGCTATGGAAAACCTGGCGCCTTGACGGGCAAGGGATGGCAAACTCCATTCCACGTTGAACTCATCTGCGGGGTCGCTGGAAGATGGCCTTCCATTGCCCGGTTCCGACGGGAAGGTACAGACTTCCCGAACCCCCATGACTATACTACTTCACCAGCATCAAAACAGAATCCCGCGGGGAATTCCGGAAGCCGGCTCTGAACCCCCCCCCCCTCCCAAGAATGTGCGTAAACCCACATATGCAGGAACTTGGTGTTTGTTTGCCTGGTTCCGCCATTGTTGCGGTCGCCCTGGTTTGATACACACACACACACACAACCACTATGTGAGTAGGTCATGGCAACGGGATTAGTTTCCTTGCAACATCGCGCCCGAGCAAACACGCAAACACAAGCACACACACACACACAAGTTCTAGTGTGTGATTCCCCATTCTTTTCAACCATCGTTCTTTTCGAACACCGCCCATTTTCCCTGCGTTTAGTGAGGATTTGTGGAAAGAAGGATCCCTAGAAAGAATGGGAAAGGTGCCCCTAGACAAGTGGCTGAAACAAATCCTTCAAGCCACTGGGGCCCAGGCCCCACCACCACTCTTCGCCTTCGCTGCGAGAAGCTCAGCTCAAAAAGACACGAAGATGGGGGGGGAGCTTGGGCGTGTCTGGCAACAGGCGCCCCCCAAAAAGAGTTGGGTGGCCCCTCTGTTTCCAGAAGGGGGGTCCCCGAAAAAACAGCAAGCCCACGTGTCACGGGTGGCGTCCCTTCAACACATAGCCTTTTGGTTGGTTTTTGGGGGAGAAAGCCTTAAAAAAAAACAGAGCTCATGTTGAGGTGCGCACCAATCTTGTCCGAACACAGTTGCAAAAGGACCCGCCTTCCCAGCCACCGGGCTGTTTTCTTTCTTTTGTGACATCCTCGCAATTTCTCTTGTGCTTAGGCTTGCAGAGAAACAGCCGCCCCGCAAAGGGCATTTTGAGAATCCAAGAGGACTACCATTTTTGAGCCTCAAAGTTCCAACAGAAGCAGTTGGCAAAGGACAGCCCTAGAATTTTCCTCGGCCGAACCCTGTGTATCTCATCTTGCCCTTCCTGAGTAACATCTTGCCCTTCCTGAGTAAGGGCACCACCTTTGCTCACCTTATGATTCTCAAAAACTGGTTCAGCGTTACATCCCCCCAGATGTTCAATCTGTTCCACCAGCGTCCCTTTAGTAAGAAGGCATATGCATAAAGGGTGTGTCTTAAAATAGGGACCTCGAAAATGTGTGGTTCTCCTCTTGGCTTCCCTTTCAAAGCACACAAAAGGGGGTACCCTCAACAAAATACACACCCCTATGTCAGATGCCTTTTCCTTTTGACCCCAAACGGGCACCACACAAGGACCCGCTCCTGATGTACCCAAATGCGGTTTAGCCTTGGCTTCGAGGTTCGGAGCAATCCTGTCCCATGGGTAGAGGGGGCAAACATGGAAAAGACGATGCTCGTTGCTTTCTGGTGAAGCATTGTCGCTGTTTCTCCGCGATAGTTCATGCTGCTCCAAGGGATCCAACTATTCTTGGACCCTGAAACAGGTTTTCATGGGCCCCAGACAGGTTGGAGTCCCCCAATGGAGCGGCCCATTGGAGGGCTCCGCGTTGGAGGGATCAGCACCCCCCAAGGTTAGCTGTTTCGTTTCTCTGGGTACTTGGTCGGTTTGTTCTTCGCGCCGGGGTGCAATAGCACTGCTCCACCTGGCTCATCACGGCACATGTCCTAGCGACGGGTGTGCATTGGATGTACCAGTTGAAGTAGGCTCTAGCATTGGATATACAGAGCCCTTTCGGATGGAATTTATTGCTTTAAAGGGAAGCCAAACGCACGCCATCTTGGGGAGCCACTGTCTTGAGAAACCTGAAACTGGGGCTAGGCCCCTTTCCTTGGTCTTACCTTAGTTGTCTATATAGCCTTGCGTTGGGTGTTTCCTTCACACCGATCCCCCGGAAAGAACGAAGAACCAACAAACACATTCTCTCGACGCCCGTGGAGTTGACGGTTTGGTAAAGGGAAACTCGGTCGAAATGGGTCGAATTCATTCCTCCTACCTGCACCACCGTTCAGAAACCCTGGTGTCTGATGACCCCCCTGTTAATACCACGAAGAAATGGTTTCAACCACGGTTTCAAAGTGGTGCGAAATGGATTTCGTCCCTCCACAGTATCACCTCAGTTGCACTCATTGGTCAAGTCCTTCAGCTCCATTTGGATGTTCCACTTCAATTTCACTCAGGTCCTTCACGCAACAAGCGGCGTTGTGACGTGGAAAGCGTTTGCCGGACCCATCCCGAATTGATAAGGCCCTGGAAAGCAGCTGCCATTTAGAGGAAACGGAAGAACTGCCGTGGTACTGCATGAACGCGTGTGGGGGGTTGATCAAGAGGTCCTTGACATGGGATATCCCGGCCCTGCGTTAAAATTGGAATCCGGAGGACCGTACAATCAAAAATAGCGCTAATCGGTGGGTCACCTTTCAGTAAGAACATGATCTATTTTGGGAGGTTCCTCTGACTAGTAGGGTATGGTAGGGTCCTCCGGAAGAATCCGAGGCCAGCATTATTGTTTGGCAAGGTTGGATCGGTGAAACCTTGCCAGAGTTTGGCCCGGTCGAGGTTCCAAAACAAGTAGCGTTCTTTGCGTGCTTCCCGCGAGATCGACACTTAAAGTGGTTCAATAATTTGATGTCTAGACAAATGCAAAACAGGTAGATAGCAAGGCAGATAGGTAGAAAGACACAAGTGGAACTAACTGGCCAATTCGCTAGCTACGAAGAAACTAGCTAATCAGCAAGCAAGCGCACTAGCGAACTAGCTGACTAGCTAACTACCGCGCAAGCTAACTAGCTGACTAGGGAACTAGCTGACGAGCTAGCTAGTAAACTAGCTGCAAGCTAACTCGCTAGCCGATTTGCTAGCTTGCCAATTGCCTAACTAGCCAATTAACCAGCCAACTTGATGCCCACACAACTGAAAGAACTACCTACCTAGCCTAGCTGGCTAGCTGGCGAACTTGCTGGGCAAGCAAACTAGCAAAAAAAAAGTGCGCAAGCGAACTAGCGCGCTAGCAGACCAGCTAACAATCTAAGGGAACCAGTGAGCTATATGATTAGCTATCGCGCTTGACTTCACCCATGCATTTGACGAGGCAAAACCTCAGAAGAACCAGCGCGCCCGTATGTATTCACATGGCCTGCACGCAAAAAAGGCTTGAAACTCTGAGGGTTCATGCAGTGTGTCATGCCCTATGGGTCCAACCCATTTGTCAGATCCTCGCGCAAGTCGGGCGTAACGGTAAAACCAATCCGTCCATACGCCCCGTCAGTCGAAATCCAAACTGTCAAGTCCTGGTCGTCAAGGGGTTGCAGCTGGAGCAAAACACCTGGCCAGTTCCCCGAACACCCAGGCTCCGCATCTGTCATCTCCACTCGGCTGATTTCTGCTCCCCTGCTAAAACTTTAACTCTTAGTGGTTCAATGGAAAACCCATTACCTGACATCCAAGCAAAATGCAACACAGTCCAAGTGCAGTTTCTTTGAGGCTATTTGTTCCTCAAACTAGGGGTTCCCTTCTTATATAGTCTTCCCCTAGTTGGTTGTTCAAACCACCTGGTAAGCAGGTTCTAACTAGGGTTGTGAGGGACAAATGCCGAGGGGTTGACATGAAGAGCTGTGCACATGTTGAGTGTGGGTGGGCGGTCCTAAGCAAATCACCTCGGAATAAATGGCTAAGTCACTCTCCAAACCAGACTCACTGCCTGGGTAGGTTGGCACTTCTTGTCAACCGACGGGAGGTGAGTCAGGTCCAAAACTGGTAAAGAATCCAACTCCTACACTGTCCTAAGCATCCGAAAAGCAGTCCTTGTGCTGTGTCAGTGTGTGTCCATATGCGCGCGCCCCCTCCCCTGCGCACAAAGTAGCAGAATTGATATGGCTGTGGGTCAAAACCAATGGTACCATTTTGGGGTAGGTGCAGTCTATCTTACTGGGGATTGGGATGTTCACTGGGGGTGCGGGCTTTTGACCCATGGCCACCAGAGAACTGATTGAGAGGCTAAGGGAAGATAAGGACATGAACTCTTTCTGCTTCCGCAACTACTGCTACTGCTTCTGCTGATACGAAACTACTGCGAACACCATAAACGGCACTGATGCTAATACACAAGTGCTAATACTGGCCAAGCACAATAACAAACACTAATACTAATACTAATACTAATACTAACGCTACTAGCGGTGCAACAAAAAACACTGCCACGAATACACACATGAATGCATACCAGTACTAATGCTAATACTAATGTTAACTAACACTCGTACTAATGCAAATACCAAGTGTACTGCTATATGATGTTTGACAAACACTAGCAGAAATACTAATGCCAATACCGTTTGAAATACTAGTGCAACACCGATACTCATGCTTACCACAACTCTACTCAGCGAGTCGCTTTCTGGTTGCGTGCCTCACAGTTGTTGCCGTAGTAGCCCAGCTTCTTAGCGCAGCTGCAAACCTTGGAAAGAGATCGACTTTTTGGGCCCCAGGACTGTTGGACGGTCAATTGGTGCCAAAAATGGCAACCACTGATTCTTGCATTTGCTCAAGTAACCTAGGACAAAAAAAAAAAACATATTTCCCAACAGGGGGGAAATTAAGAAGACATCTTAAGCAAATGGACAGATTTTGGCACCTCAGGCACGAATGGACCAATGTAAGGCGCGGTTTGGGGGACGTGTGAAACCAATCAACATGGTTTGAGGGGCTGGTGAGTAATTGTTTACCCAAACATAGCATCATGGAAAACATCTTCCGCAAAATGCAAGACCGATAACGGTGGTTCTCCTTTCTTTACCCCTAACAGGGTACATCAAAACACAGTTGTTCGGTGACCCTGGTAGAAAACAGAAAGCCTTTTTCGGGGGTACTGAGTTTCCGCGAAAACCGTCCTGCACTGTGGAACTGTGGGCATTCATGATAGTCCTCACATTGACCCCAACCAAAATAACTCCTTACTCCTCTCCAATTCATATGGAACCTGAACACCGTCGTTTCGTAGAGCAAACTCTGATCGAATCCCAGGTTGACTTGTGGAGCGGTGTGTTCCCATTCTATATGTATCTCCCTGAATGATACACGGCAGAGTTGCAGGAATTGATAGCTTTCTTGGACTTCCAACAGTGATTCTACTGTCATCACTAGGAGAAGGGCATTCAAATGCTTGGTACGAACACCTAAAACCCAACCCGTACTCGGCAAACATCGGCAACGCCCAATGCGGAAAAGTCAAATGACCAAAGGCCCTGATGGAAAACTTGTTTTTTCTCCGAAAAACCCTGAAACTGCAGATATTTGGAGATTTTGGGGGCAGCGGAAACTTCTCCAGAACTCCGCCTGTTTCAAGAGGGGGCCATGTTACGCTACGAGCCGGGTTCCCACCTCCAACCGCGGCCAGGTGGTATCAACAGCCCTCAAAGCTGCTCAAACCTATTTGGCGCAAAGACCCCAAGGCTTTCAGCTGAGGAAAAGCGCACTGCTGGCCATCTCCATCTCAGGCGCTGGCAAACTGGCTGCTATCCTGAACGCTCTCCTGGCGGATGCCGATTGCACTGCTTTCGCCCCTCATTCTATTGGCTACCTAGGCAGTACGTGTGTGTTGTGTGTCCTCTTTTGCAGAGTTGGCACCTTCTGTTTCTTGCAACCTTATGTGGTTCAACTCAAACTGAAACATGGTTGTGGGAAATCCCTCTTTCTGATACCAAAAGTGGCCCCTCCCTATGACAACCCTGTCACTTTCAAGAGGATCCCCTTGGTATCACAAACAGTGGCCTTGAAATTCCTTGAAGCCCATGTTGTTTCCGCATGCAGTCAAAACGCACACAGAAGAGCAGCACCTGCTTCTGGTTGACTTCGCATCTGGCTTCCAACATCTTCGACCTTCGACCTTGGCACATGGCCTCGACGCAGATGCCGTTGTTGTTGCAGTAGGGGCCTCGGATGCCGATCGTTTCGATCCGGGCGCCGGATGCCGAGGAGTCAAATCCGCTTCGCTGACTGAGCGCGCAAACCCCAGCTGGCTGCTGATTCGACCCCCGGAATCTCCTGTTTCAGGGTATACTTTGGAAGAGCCCGGTTTTCCATGGGTAAATACCCCCTCTTCAGTCACATCGTTGACATCATACCAAGAAAGTGGCCATTGGGTGGGGGACTGGGATTAGTTGAGTCTGAAGCTGGGGCCTGTATCCGAGAAAAAAACTGTTTTTTGACGAGGGAGCGGGACTCGGAGCTAGGAGGCTCGGAGTTCTGGCTACGGACATGGTAGCCAAGAGGGCAACGGTTCTGTACTTGGTTGCACAAGTTGGGCTGAAGCCCGTCCGCCCGGACAACACCAGCTGTTGGGCATGGTTGTGTCGTGAAATTAGGGGACTCCTGCACATGGCTGCTTCCTGTTGGTTCCCTCTTTGAAACCAACCCCAGCAAGGGCAAGTACCCAAGGCTCGCTTGCTTTTGGGCCCTCAAAACCGGTTCTGCTGCTCCAGCAACTGCCAGGAATTGGTCGCCACCTCCATTTCCGTTGGCCCCTTGGAATGTCTCCGTTGGGCGGGGTCCGCTTTCTTGGGGAATTGCTTGGGAATCTCGATTGGAGGGCCCATCAAACCCTCAGACCCTCAAACCCCTCAGACCCCCAGACCCTCAGATTTTTCTGTCCAAAAACCGGGCACCTCAAAACACAAAAAACAAAAAAAGCCCGCGGGTTCCTCGCACGCACCGAGCGGCAGTCCGCTTCCGCCAGCTGGTAGGACTTGGAGGCGGCGCACTCCCCCCCGTCGAACCTCTCCGCGCGGTGGCTTTCGACTCGCCGGAAAAACTCGCCGAAGGAATCGCCGGGGAAACCCGAGGGGATTGGAGAGGTCTCTGGAGGGGAACCGGGATCCTTACATGAAAACCACCTGAACATTGCAACTTGTAAATGGTGGTGTCCTTTTATTTTCGGTGGGAAAACGCCCCATGTTTCAAATGGTGGCAAAATGGAGATCTTTTAAGGAGCCCTGGGGAATTTGACCGGTTTCTGGAGGCCGAATGTTTTTTGGGGGATGGATTGGAGAGGTTTCAGGGGAATTTGGGGATTTGACCGGAGTGGGTGGCCGAGGCCCGCTGGAGGAATGGCCCAAAAGGACCCAACTTGGAAACTCAGCCAAAGCCCCTGGAAAGATAAGATACCTCCAATGATGGATTTCCCTTCACAACAGGGGATATTAACACACCTTCATGTCGGCAAAGGGAAGATGGTGGCTGTAACGCAAGCCATTGCTATATGGTTTGGGATTCCCATGTGGTTTGATTCTACACACCAGGTAGGCTTCCAGTTCTACTTCCCCCCTTTACGGGTGATTTTTGGTGAGTTGCATTGCGAGGTGATGTTCAAAAGGGACATTTCAGCATCGGACTTCCTTGGCATGGGAGCCAGCATGGGATCCACCAGTATTTGTTTGAGTCTTGGGGGGTTCTTAATCTTATCTTCATGTCTTTCTTTAGAAACATGTTTTAAATTCCTTGGGGTTGCCATCGAAATAACATTCCGCTAGGGGTGACACCTCCAACACAGACCCCAGGCCTTCCAGCGGAGAACCCAGAGTGGCCAATTCCCCAAGCGCCCTCAAGAGCAACGTTGACAATTTTTGAGGACACCGAATCGCTTCACATAGGCGGGTGTAGAAAAATGGTTTCATTAAATCGCTGAAAGACAAGGACTAGAGCCAGATGAAATATCATATTCTTCTTCCCAGGTCCAGCCGCGGAAACCGAATTGTGCCAGGTTGAAGCCAGCTCACGACTGATGTGAACTCAAGCGGTCTGTACACTCCAGCCAATTATTGGTATGTACCTCACCCGAAAGGGGAGCTTAGTTACAACAAGAGGGTTTTAAGGGTCTGAAGCAACCAGGCCAACCACCCACCCAACCAGCTTGATCCAACCGAATCGGCGCACTACGTTCGACCCCCGCCTCACGTCGCAAATGCAGGCGCCGTCAGAGGCACAGAAACCACGGCCACCACAGGAGTCGCCGGGGCCTGGGGTGAAAACCGCAACCTTCAGGGCTCAGGTGTTGGCCACGAATTTCAAGGGATCCTTTGGCACCGGAATTCATGTCCAACCACTCCCAACGACTTCCCAGTGGGTTCTGTCTTGCAACTCACAGCAACACATGTATATATATATACGCATGTAGATACGCCCTACTCCAAACGCCGCCCTCTTTTTTTGAGGGAATGATGTCAACCCCTGTGTATGAAAAGCAGGCATACAAACCCATGGAACACCCTTGTTTTTGTTCCTTTGTGCCAACTAAAAAAACATGTCGGGTACTTGGCCTTCGTGCACATGTTTATAAGATCCCCCACCTCAAAATGTGGAGTCTTCCACAACCGCAATGCACGTTCGACCACCAAAGGCAGGGCCAACTGTCCGAACCTTTGAGAAAAAGCCAACCTGCACGGCCCAAAAGAAGCCTGTGCAACAACCAAAAAGCCGCCCGAAACTTTGGTTGACCTCGAGGGCCGGGCTCATGTCCACGGAGCATCCGCAGTTGGAGCCCTCCCAGCCCACCCTCGGCGCGGCTCGGTGGGTCCAAACGTGTTCCTGGACCCCACCTGCACGGAGTGTCTGTTTTTGAGGGTGGTCTTTTGAGGGAAACCAAAAGGAAACCGGTTCCCCTGAAAAAGGCACACGCCCATGTGGATCTTTGGGGTGTGCAAACTCGAACTATGAAGAATCTTCACCCCTCTCCCCTCAAAACGTGCCCCGGTTTCTCCTAAAACCCGCTGTGCTCAGTGGTATATTCTGCAAAACATTGTTTTCCATAGTTCTATAGTAAATGTTGGTCAGAGGCTAACATGATACCCTATATTAAGATCCGGCAATTTCTTGGCTCGTAGGGCACCATCGACGATTGCTGGAGGCCCCAGCTCGCACTCGCAAATGCCCGTGTAGGGTGTCTGGCCGGTCAGGGCAGAAGGAAAACCCCGAGATCTGTGATATGGATCATGCTGGTCATGCCCCGCCCAATACCCACCTCAGTCCGAACCATCAACCGGGTTCTCGATATTTCCCCTTCAAACATTACCCCAAAGGAAACTCGCTGCAAGGGGCATTAAAAGGTGATACGTCAAAAACCAAACCCTGAAGGGGACATGTTGGGCAAACCCCACCAGTCCAATCCAAACCATTCTAGGGCGATACCCATCCATTTGTCAACATGCCGGGATTGCGCAGGAGCCCTGGAAGCAATCCACGCCCTCCTCGCACCGCCGGAAGCATTCCCCCGGAGGGTACCTCTTGCGCGTCGCGAGGCACGCGCGTCGCGAGCCTCGGTGAGCCCGCGGTTTGGGTGAGGCATCCCCCGACAAGTTGTGCCGCATTCAAGTTGTTGAACTTGACAAAGGCAATAAAGAGAGAAATTTGAAATTCTACTCTTTGTTCACTCACGCATTCTTTAACTTGGTAGAAAATAGAATACCCTGAGGGTGAACGCGTCTGGCTTGTCAGTTGAAGGGGGAACCAAATCTGAACGTCAGGGTTATTCTCAATGTTTGAGTTGTGAACGTGACAACAAAGAATACCCTCAGACTCAGACGCTTCAATCCGCCGAAGCTGGTTGGTTAAACGCCCAAGTGACACTTACTCAGCATGCAACCCGCTTTCAGCACTTGATTGGGAAGAACCACTTGCCAAAGGGTAGTCATCTAATTGGAAAAGAAATCAAAGCAGAGTTTCCCGATCCCAGGATTTGTTTCAGCACAGGGGCTATGATGGGAGTACGGTCCAGTGCAGTGAAACCCGTCCCAGAGTTGTGCCCTGAAGATCGTCCTCCAAAAATAACGGCACAAATTTCATGTAACATGAACCAACAACTCCTCTTTTCGTAGCTTTCATGTGATCTGCCCTCTTAGAATTGTGGGGTTCCCGTCCCAAAACGCAGGGTTTGCCTGAAGAACATACAACATCACGATTGTGGGCTCTCATGGATATGCCTATATAGACATCCGCAACCTCCAAACACCCTCCTTTGAAGGCTGTGATGCCAGCCCCTGACTACGGCGGTAAACTTACCATGGCAAACCTGGTGTTTCCAAATATCTGCAACAGCAAGGACTTTGGAGAGGGGATATTAGTTGTCTCAACCAAACTTGGTGCGTGTTTCTCTTCAAAACCAACCCAAAAGGGTCGCCTCAAAAATAAAAGACGCGCACATGTCCCACAGTTCCTTTGTTCCCTCAAAACGTCACCCTACCAAGGAAAACTCACCTCAAATAGGCCAAACAGGTGATGCTTAAAAACCACGAGAAGGAGAAACATAATGTGGATGGACGAAATCCATTTCGCACTACCTAAGCAACCATGAGACACCATTGGTTGTTGGTATTTACAGGGGAATCAACATTCCAGGGTTTCTTAGGTGGTGCGAAATGGATTTCGTCCATCCACAGGGGCCAATGTCTGACGTGGCGCCCACTTTCGTGGGATTCCCCAGCGACCAGCGGGTCACATGTACGCGGCACAGCTGTCGCAGGAAAAGCCGATGAAACCGGACCTGAGCCGTTCAAAAGTCTCGGCCCACATTTGAGGTCCAAAAAAGATAGATCTTCTGATCTGCTTCATATTGAGATGTTTGAACCACCCCAAAAAAAGGACCTCGCCTTTCCACTGCCCTACTGATACATCTTCCTTGCAGAGAACTAATCTTCACTACTATGTTCAACCAGCTTAGCTTGAAACTATATTAGTTGGGGTAGCTGAGACTACTCCCCTTGTAACTATGGTGATAACCTCCGGATCAGGTTGGGTGACGAAAACCCGGGTAAGCTCCAATGAGGTGGGCCTTGGCCCTTGGCCCAGCAGAATGGGCGCAACTCTCGAAATGGCGACTCTCGAAATCGCTGGTTGGTTTCCACACTAAGGGCCTAAATGATGGAAATGAGGTCGTAAAATACTGCTAAAGAAAGACATATCCTCCCCATTTTAGTCTATTTTAGTGGTTGGATTGGTCGATGTTCCCTGGGGAAACCGGACTTTTGACCCATTGATAGTGCAATCATGGGAGATGGTTTACGTGCAGAAGCGAACCTGATGGAAAGAAACGTGTCGACGTTGAGATGGAGCAAACAAAAGAATAGGGGATGCAGCTCCCCCGAAAGCTTCGACAAATCCATTGAAGAAGAAAAACAACTGCACAGAAATCCCATGAACTTTCAAGGACAAAGAAAAGAGCTATGAACCACTAGTCTAGTCACTAGATTTTTTGGGAAAACGTACCCCGCACTCCAAATGTCCGCCTTTTCCAATATTATATTTGGACGAACCTGTATATTTGGACGATCCTGGTTTTCCATAGCTTTTGACGCCTCGTGGTTTAGTCAGGGGTTGACATCACTTGACATCATACCAACTAAACAACGTGGGTATTGAGTAGCGAAGCATGACCCATTTTAGTATCGCAGGTTTTGGCATACCAAGTCGTTCCTATTCCAAATGCCATTTTTTGTCCAGCCCCAAATTGAATCACAAGGTATCAACACCATGGAAGACCTGGTCCTTCCAGAAAACAGCCACCGAAAAGAAATGGCATTTGGAGTGCTAGGTTCTCAGTAGAGAGGTTGGAATAAGGGTACCCTTTTTTCTGTAGTCTATTTTAGTAGGGTAAAACAAGCACTACTAAGGCACCTAGAGTGGGTGTCATCTTTTTCGGAACTCAACATCCGGGCCCGCCACTTGCACTGGCACGCGCCATCACCGGTGGAGCCGTCGTTGCAGCGCAACTGAGACGAGGTATCGATCTGGCGACCCCTGCAGGGTTGGAGAACCCCTACTCCCAATACCCACATTCAAGGGTATGATAAGAAGGAGGTCAGCCCTGACCCTAAAAGGTATCAACGCCATGTGGGAAACCTAATGTTTCAACTAAAGTGTTGGTCAAGGGGTGACTGCGAGTGTGGATGGACAAGATCCTGCACCCGCTGACATACAGGTGATCTCATAGGCGTCATCCATCTTAACTGGTGCGAAGCGGATCTTATCCATCCACAGCCAAAAAAACAACTTCCCTTGCAAAAAGTTGAACATGTCTTGCGATGTGTCATGCTCCCCTGCATTTTTGACAGGAGTAATTCCCTCTGCGTACGGCCAGGAACCGACAAGCCAGACTCTTCCGCACTAGCAGATGCTGTCTTTCGAGATCAACAACCACTAAACGTATTGGAATTGTAAGGGTGCTCGGAGTAAGCCAACCATGTGCTGGAAACGAGCCGGGACTATGCTAGACATGTTGTCGTTGTGCTATCCATATGCTAGACGTATGCCAGGTACATACTAGAAATATGTTACACATGGTTGCTGTAATCATGGGCATGTGTTGTACATTATTTGTCGCCACTATGATAGAGCTGTACTGGACACAAGCTAGACACTTACTAGTCATTGCTAGAAACATTCTAGAAATATGTCAAGCATTGGCTAGACACATGCTGCACAACTACTAGGAACCTACTAGGAACACCACTTAATCATAGACAAAGCATGCAGAAGGACCAAGCTACCCACATGATAGAAATATGCTGGGAATCGCCTGCAATATCTTTGGATATGCTAGACATATGCTAGACACGTAAGAAAGTCAAAACAGACGTATTCTGGGAAAGAAGTGGCGCATACTAGACATACAGTACAGGCATGTCAGAGCTATGCCAGCAGCCACACCGCACGATGAAGGTATGCTAACACACTCTTACACAACTGCTTGAACCGAACAACAAGGGATCTGATACATACTGTGGGCGGACAAAATCCTACAGTTGGAGGGGTGCATAGGGCTTCACCCATCCCAACTGGTGCATGACTTTGTTCACGCACTATAAACGTGCTACGCATTTGCCAGGCATGTACCAAATGCATGTTTTCGTACTCTTGCAATGAACAAAAAAAGGACATACTGCGATTTGCACGGCGGTCGATGTTTGCATGGACTCCCAGGGTCCCCTGTCTGAGCCTCATTTTCCGTGGTGTACACTGTTTTGTTGGTCAGGGGCTGACGTCGCTTGACATCGGCCCCTAGCAAAAGTGGGAGTTTGGAGTGGGGGGTACAGGCACTGCCGCGGAAACCGATCTCCTTCTTTCGGAGGGCTTTTCTTGAGGGGTAAGGGCTGACTCCAGCCAACCGTGTGGAATGGGACAATCGACCAAAAACGGAAACGGAACTGACACATCTACAAGCTTTCACCCAAACCCCCCGGCCAAAACAAAAAATGAAGAGGGCATGTTGGGTTTTCAATTCACGTACGAATATGCTTTCTCATTTGCACACACTCAAGCGAATTCTTAGGTTACCAGCAACACAGAACTCATATTCGCCCGGAGGGGGACCATTCCACGGGCGTCCTCGTCCAAACCTATGGCTCTCCCATCTTTCCAGGCCGGATAATGCTCAGAATTGCAGCTTCCAAGTCAGGCTCAGCTAGCGTGGAAGCCGTTGGGCTAAGAATCGCGAGCACAGAGATGGAATGAAGCCCCCTTTGTCAGCTTGTTGTTCATCCCCACCGACCTCCGAGTTTTCCCAGGTAGTCCCCAGGAAAACCGACCAACATGCTTGACTTCTACGTTAATGCCTGCGAATTGTTTTGTTGTTTGCTCAATTGTGAACGTGGAACCCAAACCCAGCCTTGGGCGCCGTCAAGGTGGAATAGAAACATCGTCGGAGGAATGGAAAAACGGCCGTTCTTATTTCGGGAAAACCAACTTTAATCGGTGCGAGAGTCAGTTCACAACCCAAAGAGACCAACCCCAGCAGTTATCCTCCAAAAGGACGCGAAGCCCACCCCAAACCCCCGCAAAAAAACCCACCCCAAAGCCCTCCCTCCGTCCCCACCCCAAAACCCACCCCAACCCCGCGCCGTGCCAGACTCCGTGCAGGAGCAGCTCCATCGGCCTTGGAGCCGGAGGGTTCCTTCCCCCCTGTGCTTTTTTGTTTAATCATTAATATTGTTTTTGTGGTTACTGTTTGTTTTTTTTTGTTTTGTTTTTTTTTTTTACTGTTTTTTTTTTCTGGTTTTGAGAGAGAATTGTCTGCATGGTTTTGATAGCTCCCTTTTGTGGGCTGATCATGACTTGACATCAGACCCTTGAACTAGTGAACCCGTATTTGGTGTCTATGGGCAACCCCCTTCCAACCCTGGTCAAAATACCCTTAGTGGCCCCATACGGGTGTGCATGTTCATTCGGGCCCAGATGGTGAACCTAAGGCGAGCACCTTTCGCAATAACTGGATGGACAGAACCCCACGATTCTTGGAATAACCCTACCAACTACTGAGTACTACATAGAAGATTTTGTCCCTAAGCATCAACGGGTGGAGGCTCAAAAAAGGGGAAACCTTTGTTGAGGCAACCACATCAGGTCCCCTACTCCCCTCAAAGATGCCAATGATGATATCTTATGTCGACCCCGGATTCGATCAGATGGGTGCCAAGGTTGATCCGATCTGAAATGGACTTGGGCGTGTCTTAAAATAGGGGGACCCCTAACATGTGTGCTGTTCTCTTGATTTCTCTTTCAAACCACCCAAAAGCGGGTGCTGATCCCCAAAAGACAAACCTTGCATCAAGTCAAGGGCCCGTTCGATCGATTGATTTATCTAAGTCGCGGTTTAGCCGTGGGCGAATCCACATCTGGAGAATTTGCCCACAGGACCCAGAAGCAAAAGGTGATCACATTTTGGGGCCATGACTGAAACTGGACCAAAAAGGGGAAACCAAAAGGTCAAAGTAGGTGTGCTAAAGTCTCGATTGGCACATTTGAAAGAAATTAGGGTAGACTAGACTCTACCCTGAGACCGACTACAATCGTTGAGCAAACCCCCAAATCAGAGAGAAAAAGCCGTTGACGACTTGCATTAGGGCGCGGGCAGTCGCTGTCCCAGTACCCAGGCCTGGCAGGGCACCAGCAGCCGATGGAAAGACAATGTGTGTGTGTGTGTGTGTGTGTTTTGTGCCGTGCGTGTGTGCCGTGCGCTGTGTGTGTGTGTGTGCGCGTGCAGTGTCAGTGAGAGTGTGTCTCTCAGTGTCAGTGTGAGGGTGTCTATATGCATACATCTACATATCTCCCGGGCACATCCCTGGAATGGCGATTTCCCTTTAAACACAAATGGGGAAGGAACAAATCGACACAAAGAGGGGGAAAGGAATGACTCGACACATTCATCGAAAGACAATTTCCCTTCAGACTGTCACTCAGGAGGAAAAATCAATGCCTTTTGGTGTCAACCTTTAAAAGACAAGTACCCTCAAAAGAAGACACCCCCCCAATCAAAATCACAAGTTCTGCAGAGCCCCCTAAAAATGTCCCCTTCTCCAAAAATGCCCCACTCCTCACGCCCGCTTGTTATTTTGTATGTTTGTTGGAAAACCTATGTCTTGGTAAACACCTCCTTTTTGGGGGATGTTGCTCTTCAAACCTCTGAGCCTCCGAAATGGGCGGCGTCCCCTCAAAACAGAGCCCTTCAACTGCCAAGCTGCCGTGACCCATATTTCAACAGAACCAAGGAACCCTGACCAGTTCCCTTTAACACCAAATCCCCAGCCAATCATGTCCCTTGGAAAAACACAAGAAACATGCTCAGTGAACACGTCCCTTCAAGACCATGCCCACAACCCAACAGGGTTAGAGTTGTGATTCACTCTGTCATTTAAAACAAGGCGGGAACACTAGGCCCGGTCGGCTTACTGGCATTGTCTTCAGAAGCACAAATCGCATGTGTTGTCTTCCCGACAGCAGAACAGCACAGCTCACCTTTTCTCTTGAACATGGACGCCCAGATAACGCTGTTCTTTAGAGGAATCTCCGGTTTCGGAAAATTGGCCCCGAATTGTTGGCTCCATGTCAAATTCAAACGAATGTATGGTCAAAAAAGGTCTGATTCGAATCCCCGTCCTTCAAAATGGAGGGTTCACCAATCCTTCCCTAGTGAGAAATCAGAAAGGCGACCCCTTGGATTGAGGAGTGCTTTTGAACAGCGTATGTCACTTTTGGGAGGGAGCAAAAGCAACAGCCAAAAGAACAAATCAGCGCTTTACTTCCAAACCAACTAGGAAAAGAGACCACTCTTCATTGCTTCGGATCCCAGAACAGGCGGAGAAAAACGGATTTCATGACGATGTCCCTTGCTCTCGGAGAACAAACAAAACACAGCAGGGGACAACAAGACATCGACAGGGATGCTCCAAGGCCACCATCCGGCTGGCATGAAAGCTCAGGGTTTCAACGGAAGCCGTCAAGCCAAGTTTCCAGATGTGATGCTGAAAGTGAAAACTGTTAGTGGGATACGGATCTGTCTCTCTTGAGGGTAAAGGATTGCTTTTCTGTTTTTCGTGTTCCTCTTTTTCTGGTTTTTCTCTTCTTCTTTTTTTTGCGGGGGGTCCTCCAAAAAAGAAACACCCATATGTGATACATCCAACTCTAAGCTCAAAGCTAAGAGCCCAAGGAAGCGTGTTTCTGGTAACCACGTCAAGAAAACATGCCTTCAGCTGCTTCTTCAGCCTTTGTGACTCCATTTCGGTGAGGTTGTTGACTGTGGGCTTCTGTGGCTATCGAGGCTTGTATTATTTATGTGTATATAGATACACATGTATATATATATATTCATATGTGTATATATATATACATATATACACGGACATGGCTATAAAGGTGCAGCTCGAATCTGGCGTCGGCGCGGCTCGGCGGGGGCCTGCAGGTGCACACTGGCACACTTTGCCCCTCCGGCAGGGCACAGGTCAGCGTGCCTGAGCTCGGATCGGGTTCTTGGGCCCCCCAAAGGATCTTCGAGAGCCGGACTTCTGGCGTTTGCGTGGTCTCTCCTGTTTTACTGGGGATACCTTTTGTGGGTGTCAAAGGTTTCTCGTGGTTCTTTTTTTTTGGGGGGGGGATACCTTTTTGTGAATAGTGTCAAAGGTTTCTTTGGGCGGGATACCTTTTTGTTGAGTACAAAAAGGATCTAGCGAGCTTCGTCTGGCCTTTCAAAGGCCCCAAATTTGGGCCTGGGCCCCTCGAAAGAAAGAAACAAACGGGGGTCAGAAAATCGGTCGCACCCTTGAAACTCACCACACCCAAAAGCCGGTTCTGGTGAGAGCCCACCCAATAGTGCTGGGTGAGGAACATCTATGTCGATTTTCTACCGGACGAATTCTCAAATGACCACCCTGGCTAGAAGCTCCATTTTTCCGACCGCTGGTTCTGAAAGGAGGATGTGGGATGATAGGAGATTGAATCCCAAATCTTGAAGAAGATGCAGGTTCAGAGGGAGACTCAATTGCTACCTCGAACTGCCCAAACAAATCATGGGCCCAAAGGCACAGCTGAAGGGGCGGCTTCCACTTCACATTGACCAAGGCCATCTGGTTTGGACGTAGGGCCCTGAACTACTTCTCCTGTTTGAAGGCCCAACCAAGTTGTGAAAGAGTGAGTCCTGAGTGGCTCGGCGATCCCTCAAATCCAAGGTATTGCATTTAACTCCCAAAGTCGAAGGAACCGCCAAGAAGTGCCTTCCTGGATGGCTCCATCCCGTGCTGCAAGTATCTGGCATGGAAAAAATCGGCGCATCTAAACAGAGTCTAAAGATCCCATCGTAGAAAGTCAGCCAGAGTCCCCATTGGTGAAAACGAAGCACTCACACGACCGACTTCTGGATAGCTTAGACTTCTGCCCACAATCTGCTTTTCCCGCCTGTGACGTCGCAGTGATCGGAGCCTCAGCAAAAAACTATCGAGCGACATGAAAGGCAACCTCCAAAAACGGAAAGGACCTTTGCAAGTCGGGTGGGGTGCGAAGCACCCCCTCCACACTCTCCAAATACCCACCTTGTTGGAAAGACCTAGCTTTCCATGGTAAATGCATCCTTTCTTGGTCAGGGACTGACATCATTTGACATCATACCCAAGAACAATTGGATTGTTTGGTCGGCCGTTTTTCGTGACCTTTCGGGCGAGGTGATGTTGACCACGAGTCTTGACATTGCTGTTCATAGAGGTGACTAAAGTTGGCTCAGACTTTGTAGGTGGTCCCTGTTGGTCAACAAACATGAAAGACATATAACCACTTTAGGTGTCCCGTTGGCCACTTTCGGTGTCACAAACATGGGGCACACAGAAAGCTATGTTCTGACGTTCAATCAAAGACCTCTTTGGAGGAGACCCCAGTAACGTCGCAGGACGGTTCTCTACTCCAAGCAACGGGCTCGTGGGGTTCCTCCCCTTTCGAAAGCTTTTTGTCGACCCAATGGGTTCTAAGACATAGGTTCTAGGATCTTCAGTGTTTGACTTCAAAAAATCCCTGCACCTCCTTTGTTGGGACTCTGCTTCACATTTACTCTACCCCAAAACGTAAAATAGTTTTGGTCTGGAGACTCCAGACAGACAGTCCACTATTTCTCACCTCCTGACTGGATTGGCCGGAAAAAGTCCCAAACTTGCCGTTTACAACCAAATTGGTCTCGAAAGTCCAGAAACTCCAATTGAAACACTTTGGACCAGAAGTCCAGTAGTTTAAGTCTTTAAACCTTGGAAACTCGAAAAGCTGAAAAAACTCGGGACGTGAGATGTCCAGAAACATCCCCACGCATTTTCTCACCTCCCCCAAGGCTTCGGCAGATGCCGCTGCAGTCGGAGCTGAAGTGCTGGCTGTCGCAGATGCACTCCGCTGCTGGCATGTGACGGTTCGCGGGTCTGCTTCAAAGGAATCGCTCGGGCTCTAAATGGGTAGGTGTCAAAGAGGGGAACCCCAACAATTGTGTCTTCCCTTTTTTGGCTTCCCTTTAAGCCAAACCGACGATGTGGTTTTTTGGGTACTTACTTTTTAGGTCGGTTTGCGGGGAAAACGAAAGGAAACCACTCTTGTTTGGGTCCCCCCATTTTGACAAGTGCAAGGTTCCCCGAATCAAACGGAACCCACAACAATCGACCTGTTCAACTAAAAAGTTGGGACCCGGACTGCAAAATCACCCCATGGGCGTGGCTTTCATTGGGCGCTTGGACGTCATTTAGGTGTTCCCTTTTGTCTGACTCTTCCCCACATAGCCACAACTTGGGTTTAAGTAGGCCCCCCCCAAGAAACAAAACACTTGGTTGTCATTCTTCTGGACCCCCCGAACATGGTGCTTCTCCTGTTGGCTTTCTTTTGCAACCACCAAAAACGGGACACCCTCACAAACAAAAAAAAAAAGACGCTCCCACTTTGTTCTTCAGGGGCGGTCTTGCCCAATTTGCTGTTTGAGTCTTGGGTCTTCGGAAAAATCCAGCTCCGGTGGCCGAGCACCTAAAGCGAGGGGAGGACGCCCAAAAATTCCGACGCGTCATTCGTCAAGCCAAAAGCAAGCCATCAGTTTATCCGATTCCCCGAGTACCCGCTTTTTCAAGAGTACACGTGCGAAAGCCAGGTTTACCATGGTAAATATATTATATATATATACCAGCTGTTTTTGTGAGAGGTTAAGCTCTGAGGGGGGCGCAAAACACAACCAACACAGGGCTCCCGAGATTTTGCCTTTGAACATCACCCCGCCGAAAGGAACTCACCTCAAATTGGGTCAGCAGGTAATGTTTAAAACCACCAAAGGGAGAAATATGGAAGTGGGTCTTTTTCAGGGGACCCCCCCAAAAAAATGATGGAGTTCTTTTGGTTTCCCTGTAAAAAACCAAAAAGAGGGTTCCCGTGTTCCCCCAAAAAAGACAGACCCATAAGGAGGGCCCAACCACAGGCCGGTCGTGTCGGTAAATACTTGGGGCCCCCGACTGATGGGGTCACACACCCCGTTCCCCGAGCAGGTGGTGGCTGGATCACAATGACCTGGCGGACAACGAAGAAGCCCATGCATAACTTGCGATCGGTGCGGGGTAATCATCGCCCTAAGCATCATGACCCCTAAAGGCAACATTCTTTGAGCAATCCTTAGGAGGACTTTCATGTGCAACAGTCTGTGGCCCCTTGGAATGGAACAAAGTTTTGGGAATGAACCCACTGTTCCCCTTGAAGGACACTCAAAAAGTTGGATGGCTTGGTTCGGGGCCACTCCATGTCTCATTCCCTGCCTATCGCCCCGTCCTGAGAAATGTTTGACACCAAAATAGTCGAATTGAACCCTTACAAAGCCACAAAAAAGAGACGAGTCAGCTAGAAGTGCTCCAAAAGCTGATGGTTAAGCCATCCGCACATCCAAACAAGGGGGTCCGAAAGTGCTGATTTGCTTGCGGCTTCGCTAAAATGGAGAATCCATTTCAGAAGTTTTGGAGATACCCAAAGGGAGAAAAGAAGATACTCTTTAAACAATTAAAACATCAGTCCCAGTCGGTATAATACAGATATCCAAACTATTGGAAAAGTACCTGGAAATTGACTATTGCCCAAAATGGTGAACAGAAGAAATGCAGCCGGAAGAATATCCACAAGCGTCCCAAACCTCTCTAGAACCTCCTTAACAAGGAACCCGCCCAGGCCGCCCAAACCTGCCAAGAGTACCCCATCGAAACGTATCCACAGGGTTCCGTTCTGTGTATCTTGAGGTAGTCTTAAACCCGGTGAATGTCAAAAGGAGAACTTCTGGCTTAATCGTTGGTGGGGGGACAAAATGCCCCTCATCCTCCATTTCTGCCTCCTCCCCTCCTCAACCATTTTGGACCCTGTCACGGGTGCGCTTCCCATTGAGCCACCATGAAGTCCAACAAACTCTGGGTGCATGCCAAGTGTTCTCCTTTCTTCGCACCCTCTGTGGATACCCCCTACACAATCCCCACTTCTTAGGAATCTGTTGAAACCCCGGGGTTTTCCCACAAATCCCTGCTTTTCTCCGCCATTGGCAGCCTTCCCCTCAAGCAAAGCTGGTCTTTGAGGGTCCACTTGACCAGAGGACTCAAGAGGTGCCAGGGGCGGCGAGAGCACGCAGGGATCAGCAGCCTGAGCCGGCTGGCGGAAGGAACCGCTTTCATTCAAACGGATGTTGCCTTTGGACCGGCCCGTCTATCAAAGTCACCCCAGGTGGCAGGTGAAAGGGAAACCGCCCCCAGAAAATGACTTTGATCACCCCCAGAAATGGAGGGCCTGACCTCTCGAAGTGTCTGCATGCGCGGGGTCACCCTTAGGGCGGCCAGCGTTCTTCCAGACACCCCACACTCCGTCCAGGTGGTTCGTCCCTGTTGGAATGGACACCCGAGAAGTTCGGATGGATTCCCCCCATTGCTCTTGACACCGAAGCCATGCGTGGTCGCAGTGTGGTACGGCTGTATGGAGCCTTTTGGTAGGTTCCATGAAAAATCCCCTGGAGATATTGCCTGTTCGCCCCAAAATGCACCGAGAAACCTACAAAACCCGGGCGTTGTAGGCATGCCCAGTCTTTTTGGACCTCTGAAAGTGCCAGATTCAAAATGAAATTAACCCTTGAGTCACCCCTGTGGGGCACAGCGGCTCAGAACAACAAATTGACCCCCAAAACCCTCGAATCGGACCCTTTCGGCGCCGGAGAAGTAAGATCTGCTTTTTAGCCAGGCTGCCCACTGCCGCAAGTACGATTTGACGGCGGAAATGCGGTTGTGCCGAGACGTCGAACCCGAAATCAGTCGAAGGATCCGGCTGAGCATCGGTTCCAAAAAGGATGCAAAGACTGGAACCTTTGCAGGGAAATGCAGTGACCCCAAAAGGACCCATTCCAAAACCTAGCGAAAGGGCTTCAGAACGGAAGGTCGATCTGATTGCAAGCACCGGCCAAAGTCGGCCTAGACCGTCCTGCTCTGCGCGTCAACTCCAGTTGTAACCAGTCGGTTCTAGCCGGGCATTCTAGACTACTGTGGATGGACGAAATCCTGCACCACCTGAGACATGATTACCCTGTAAATACCCACAAACAAGGGTTCCATGGCTTCTTAGGTGGTGCAGGATTTGGTCCATCCACAGTATGGGCAGCGGAAGCTATGGCCCGCTAACGTCTCAAGAGGGTGTTGCCAGGGGCGAATCAATAGCACCCACATGACAGGTGAAAACCGAGACCCAGCCGTCTGCCACGCTCGGAAGTAGCACCAATTGAGAGCCTGAATGTCTGGGCTCGCGGCAGGTCAGGCTCAACCAGATCTAGGCGCAAAGGACGCATGTGCGCTTTCTCGTGATTTGTGGCTCTTCCTTTTTCTGTTTTGTGGTTCTGTTGTCGTTCATGTATGATTGCTTTGCTTTCGGGGGGGACCTATGTATAAAGACATAGCATGCTTTATAATACGAGATAGTGCTTCTGTATCCCAGCCCGGCTGCAAAACCACCGCATTGTGAGGACGCTATACCAGTTCATTGCTCCCCTTGGCCAATTCAGGTTCATACCCATCTCATGAAGGGTCCTTTGTTTTCCCGACCAAGGGCAGTTGGGGAATTGAAACCCGTTCCAGGCTAAGGAATCCCAAACAATTGTATGTAAAGAATCACCACCTCTTGCCGTTGGTCAAGCACCCTGTATTTGCGGTGTCTGAGTTGACTTGCCCCGCGTTGTTACCCTCCCAGGAGGGGTGACTTTTGGACCTCTGGGGGATTTGTTGAGGTCAAACTCTTAGCCCGGCTCCCAGTGGCGACTATCGTACAGTCTTTTTGTGTTTAAAGGTCAGGAAACCCCTTCCCTTGCATACCTACAAAACCAGAGGGCATGAAGGTCAGCCCAGTGAAAAGGTCAACGCAGTGAAAACGGCATGTTTGGGAAATGTGGATTGGTCTCAGAGCAAAACAAACGATCATCTTGTAGAGAAAGGCCGTTGTTTCCAAAGGGTCTATGTGGGTGTGTCTTTTCAGGGGACCCAAATTGGTGGTTCTCCTTGTTGGTTTCCTTTTATCCCACAAAAAATGGTACCCTCCAAAAAAGGCATGGCTAGTGAGAAACGGGCTTTCTCATACTCATTTCTCAATTCTAGGGGTTGCCCTCCGGGCACTTGGTCCGGGAATTGTCCATGCGGCTTGGTAATTTTGAGGCTCGGAGCAAATCTGCAATCCCCCCGTACTACCTAAAACCCAGAGCCCAAAAACACCCTTCGCGGACCTAAAAGAGCCTAACCCTATTTTTGTCAGGTAACCCTTAGTTGGTAGCCGCCCTATTTCACCACCAAACCAAACCCAAGCCACTAATTGGGAAGCTGATACCCTGGGGTCCAATTTGATGGATTCTGTTTTCCACAATGGCCTTGGACCCTGCAAGTGGTTCATCGCTTTGGGTTCGCCGTTGGGGCCACTCTAGTGGGTCATGACCCGTCATGACCCTTAGGTTTACCTGGCCCTGCTGTGGATGGACACAATCCTGCACCACCTGAGAAACCCTGGAATGATGATTCCCTTACACAAACCAACAAACAAGGGTTTCCATGGCTTCTTTGCTGGTGCAGGATTTCGTCCATCCACAGTATGACTTTGACGCGGGCATAGGCGTTGATTCAACCAAAAACCAAGCGCCATCCCCCGCCTGTGGTGTTCACCGACACGTTCACCGTCATGTTCACCAGGCACCTTGGGACTCCTGCCAAAGTTCGCCCGGATACACGTATCCCCGTAACCTCCAAATACCCGCTTTGCTTAAAGGGTGTGTATATATATATATATATCTTTCCATGCTTTCTATAGCTTTGCTGTTGATATATGTGGGGAAACCCCTGGTTTTCCAGGTTTCTATGCCTTTGGTCAGGGGCCGGAAGGACCGCACAAGGCGTCCCCAACGACTATCCCCTCCTCCCTCCCAAAAAAAACAAACCTGAAAGAGGGCCCCGTCAAAGGACAAATATGGCGTTTAGGGGGTCCTTTAACAACTGCCATCAAAATGGTATCCGGTTTGAGGTGCAAAACCTGACACGGAGGTCTTGAGCCCTTGAAGGAATGCTTGGGTCCACGAACGGGTACCCTGGTGTCGCAGCACGGGCCTCCAGCAGCGCTTGAGCCTTTTGAGTCAAGGAAGCTTTGCAAGCCTGTTGATGTCCAACCAAAAAGGATCTTTCCACTTCCTCTTGAAACCTACTTTTAAATCACACCACACTTTCCAACCAACATCAAGACTCAAGTAGGCCTAACACCCCGATTCGGCTTCTCTTGAAACAATCACATGGACCCCTCAGCCCTTCTCCCAGGCGCGCATCTTGAGTCCTGATCCGACCTGGGCGGGCGCGAAACTCGCAGACCCCATCCGCCCTCCAAGGGAGAACCCATCAAACCCCTCAAGGGGCCCTCACAAACAATCTGAGGCCCCCCCAAAAAGGTCGAGACTTTTTTTAGGGCCCAAACCAAGCATGCGAAAACCAAGCAAGGCTGGGGAGAGCAACTGATGCTGGGCCTAAGGCAAAACTTCTCGGGTCAAACGGTTTGATTGGCCCGTTCTACCATCGTTCCCTTCAGAAACCCTCCATGTCACCAGGCTGTCCCAAAAACCAAAGAACTAAGAAGGGTCCCTGAACAACAAACGGAAGGCACGACTAATGGAACGAAACCTCGACCTTCCGAGCACCCTCGGCGCCTCAAATGGGTCAAGTGGGAGCGCCTGAGGTTGGTATCCAAAACATGGAGTCCCGCTTCACTCCCAATAAGACTATAAGGACCCATGGAAAAGGCCTAAAAGGCGTTTTGCTTTTTTGTGAATTTGGTTTGACGGAGTTTCTCTGCTTGACAACCAGAAACTAAAGGGGAGACTAAAGGAGATACGAGTGGTATTGCAGAAAACATATTTCTGACACAGGGCAACCAGGGCCTTTTGTCGGAGTTCAAATTTTGAAATAAAGATCTGGCGCTACGAATTGCCCACTCCCCACCATTCCCTGCGGTTTTGCCCAAAAAGTACGAGTCTTCTCCTGGCGATGAGACCTCAATCTGGCCGTGATTTTCTTCAGAAATCCCAAAATGGTGGGTTTTCCTGTAGGGTTTCCCTGCTAGGTCTAAAGCCAGGCTGAGGTCTCAAAGCCGGAAAGGAATCCGAATCTGGGAGTCTGACCCGGGTATCTGGGGCACAGGGCCACAGAGCACAAGACAAATGCAGACCCCATCAGCCCATCGAACCGTCTAGGGTGTGTCTTTTCTTTCGGTGATCACCAGAAGCGTGGCTGTTCTTTTGGTTTTCCTTTTCAAGCCACATTAAAAAGGGGAAGCCTCAACAAAAATGCCGACACACCCATATGGTGTCAGGAGCCCCGGCGCTGCCATTGGAGTCGTTCGAGGCATTGGAGGCATTGGACGCGTTGAAGTCGTCCGAGTCATTGTCATCGTCTTCGCCTGGGCCTCATCCCCGGAACACACACACACACACACACCACATGTTTTGCTGGCATAGGGTTGTCCGCTTGTTGCTGGCGCAATGTTGACCCCATATTTATCAACGGTATGATTTCCAGGTGACTTAACAATTTGACAGCTGGGGATGCTGGTACGGGGGGGGGGGGGGGGCGAGGGGTTCCCAAAATAGGGATACCCCCAGGGTGCCCACCAAAACAAGTGGTCTCCTTTTGGTTTGCCTCGCAACCTCAAAAGGCCACCTCTGAATACCAAACCATGCTACATCTGGCCTACTCAAACCGATACCCTCGCATGCAGGAACACCCACATAGGAGCTGGGGGAAACATGACAGGGCTGGGTGTTACCCGTTTGAACAGCCTGCTGGCTTCTCTTGAAAGGGATTCCAATTGTTGGGCAACTCAGCAGAATCCAGGGTTGTCGGCTGAACCCTTTTTTCATCCTAGTTCGACACTAAAACTAGAAGGTGTTTATTCAATTTAGTTCTAGGTTGTTAACATTAGTCGTCCGTATGATCCCCTCTCAAAGGAAACCCCACTTAACATTGTAATACGGGCACGTGCCAAAATGGGGCGCTTCAACTTTAGCAACGTGAATCAAAACCCGAGAATCTGAGGTCTCCAAACCAAAACTACTTTCTGCTGGGTAGACTACATCTGGCAACAGAGTCTGAACATATCATTTTGTGTAGAGAGCCAAGGACCCTTGGAATAGCTCAACTGGCTGGTCATTGGAAACCTGGCTGGTCATCCATGTCCTCGTTTGCCATCCTCCCCCCCCCAGCCCCCGGAGAAAAAAAGGACAACCAGCCTGCGAACCGCGAAACACTTGCCGATGCTCAGGGAACGACCGTTCTGGGTGTTGGGAATGAACCGTTTGGGGATTCCCGAACAAAGGAAGCCACCAGTTGGATGGTTTACAAGCGCTATTCTAACTCATGTACCCATCGCAGCAGAAAGAAGCCGTTTGAGGTTTGGGGATGAGCCGTTGTAGGGGAATCCCGAATAAAGGAAACCATAGGATGGATTGTTCTAGGGGTCATTCCATTTCTCATTCCCTGCTGAGAACCAGCAAGTTCATATTTTGGTGGAACCAAGTGTTCGTTGTGGGCGCTTTTCAAGTGACCTTCTTTTTTTCCCGGTTCTTTGAGTGGATTCTCTCCATTCCCTGAAGGCCTGGGCAGTCCACTTCCACCTCCCGAAGCTCCTGGAGGCCGAAAGCTCGAGCTGCCCGCACTTAGCTTTCCAAGTGCCCCCGTAAGAACCAAAGGTTCAAATCCCAAATCCCATACAAACCATCAGTTCAGGGATACCTGAATTCTGAATCCCCCGCTCCTCTCTTTGGGGGGGGGATGTCAAATGATGCCAGCCCCTGACTGACCAAGGACCCCCTTCTGAACCCATCCAACTTCAACCGAAGCAAAAGAAAGGCTGCTTTTCGATCCAATTCTGTCCGATCCATTTTGGATCGAAAACCTCAGAGACTCCACGCGTTTTGTTGTTGACTAGGAGCGGTTGAAGAACATCGAAGGGATCCAAACCCTCAGGCTCTCTCTGACTAGACCCATAGACCCCACTCGACTCGAGAGACCATGGCGGCATGGCTCCAGTTCGAAGCCCTTCAAGACTTCCTCCCGAAACCCGCCTCGCTTTTCTCGGCCTTTTCTCGGGTACGATGTCAACTGGCACCCAAAAAAAAGGATGTATGTACCACAACAAGCCACGTTTTCCGCACACACCCTTAAACAAATGGTAGTTGCCGGTAGAAGCAAGCCCAACCCCCCGTAATCTCCAACATCCCGCCTTTTCTGGGGAATGATGTCGACCCCTGACTAAAAATTGAGTCGATCTGGAGATTGCAGGGCTTTTCTTTGCCGTGGAATCGGTCTAGCTTCACGCTCGGACGGGTTTGTGAGCAAAGAGATGCTGCACCATGCGCTAAACAGAGTCTCAAAAATGGGAGGGCTCTCGCTAATCCCCGAAATGGTAGTGTTCCTTCCACAGAAGGGGGTACCCTCAGAAAGACCAGCCCTAGTTCACCTTGCGGGTAAAGACATCCAACACCCGGTAGGGTCATCCCCATCATATGGTGGAACATAGAATAAGGCCATCTTAAACTGCACGGTGTCCTGTTGGTTTCCCTTGTAAAGGAGACGTACTCAGCATGGGAAGCCACGTTCTTGGACATATAGCCTTATCGCGGGGTATGTGCAGGGTACCGCTTCTAAAAGTCCACCTATAGAGGACACATGGGACAGCAAGGAGGTAGGTCCAGAGTCCAGAGTGCAATTTTTTGGTGTATTTTTGTTGAGTGCCAGTGTTTGGTGGGTGTTTTCAGGAGAATTCAGAGGTTGTCAACTCTGGGACCCCTTCTGTGCAGGGGGTCATACAGATTCACACCAGAAAGTTGCAACCGTTCAGTGATTGGATCAAAAAACACCCCCTTGTTTAGTGGTTTTAGAGGAAAACCCACAAGAACCATCGTTTGTGGGGCCAAAAAAAAACAGGCACCCTTCATATTTCCAATAGAACCTACAAAACAAGAGGGTTGGATGCTCTACAGGAACCAAAAGCCGAGCCCCAGAAGGGATCCACGTCTTATGAAGTCGAACACGCTCACAAATTGGGCGGAATCATGCAGATGATGTCTGAAGGGTTCCCAATTCAATTGCTACCCACCAGGCACACCCCCTACTCCAACTACCCTTTTTTCGTCAGGATCTCTTTTGCTTAAGGGTATATTTGGGAAAACCCGGTTTCCCATGGTAAATATGTCCTCTTTTAGTCAGGGCTTGACATCATACCCCGGGTATTGGGCACACTCCAAACCAATATTCGGTGCGTTAATTATTCTTGTTCCGACAAACTGTGAAATGTCCTCATCGCTGGTATGGTTCGAGCAATTTATAACTTGGCGCAGAACTTGTTCTGGGAACCCTGCAGTTGTCTTTACTCGCAAGCATACAAGAAATGTCGGGACCGACCCCTGGCTCTTGCGACACTCTATGAATTTAGCATTTGCCAACTTGCGCGAGACGAGACATGAATTGGTTACTGACTCTCCCGTGCCTTGAATGCCCCGAACATCTATGGGCAGAGCGCCAGAGAGTAAGTCGGGCTTACTGCCAGCAGCATGTGGATCAAACCTCCAAATTGATCGTATCTTGGAGTCCCCACCTCACCTCCAAAAGATGGCTGTACCTGCAACGTCTTGGCGGTTGCACGGGCACCGAGGGTTGATGTTCAAAGCGCCCTGGCACTTTCCGTGAAAATGCGACAGATCGCGGTAAGCAAACACTTTCACACTTTCCGAGTTGTTTTTCCCCAACGAAGAGTCAGGGGCCATGGGTGTGCCGTTGTTTAAGGCTACCCCATTTTTGTGGCTTAAGGGAAACCAAAGGAAAAGCCCCGAACAAAATCCCACCCCATGGACGCAAAACCGGCGCAAGGTGGCCTATGGTGTTTGGTTTGGACCCATTCTTCGAGTAGCTCCCAAAACCAGACGGAAACCACCAACTCCAAATCCATCACCAGCTTAAAGAGTTTGAGGTCAAATGAGAATCAAAACCATTCGAATCGGTCTCCTACAAAGAGACACACCCAATCGAATGTTTCTCCCAATAGGAATCGGTCCACTCAAATGGTTTTGCTTTGGTCTTCGGTGTTTTTGGGACCGCTTTGAGAAGCCCGACAGCGGCCGCTCCTCCACGAAGATCTCCGGGGGATCAGGGATGCCCAGAATCAGCGTGGCTTCCTGGAATCGTTTCTTGGGTGGACCCATTGGTAAGCATATATCAGGGAAAACAAATATGGGTATATAAAACATGGGTATCATATAACATGGGGTGTACAATTTGGGTATGTAAAACATAACAAGGGTGTACAATTTGGGTATACAATATGAGTATGCAGTATGCGAATAGAATGTAGGTATATGACGGGTATACAATATGGGCATGGCTTCTTTCATCCAGGACCCGTTGGTGGACATCGAAAGCGAGTTTCCTTCGAAGTCTCAGCGGCCAGGTTTGAGACCAAACCTCAGATGGGCTTTGTGTCTTTAAGTTTTTGGGGGTACCTTCAAAAGACACTGCCCCAATGCGTCATGATCAAATCCTCGCATTAAAAGGGTCTACCCAAAAACGCGTAGTAGAGGTGGGTGGGTTCCCCAAGCTGTGAGACGCATTGGTTTACCTGGATGGCCCAACTTCTTGTGCCCCCTCCAAATACCCACTTTTGGGGGACTGATGTCAAATCAGGGACCAGCCCCGGACCCAAAACATGAGGACACCTGACCCTCCAATCCTGACACCACACCCGAAATCCATTTCGCACCACGGTGAGTCCACAAGATACTATGTTGGTAGGCGAAAGGGGAACCATCCTTCCAGGGTTTCTTAGGTGCAGAATTTCCTCTATCCACAGTATGGCTGGGATTCTCCCACACCGGGTGTTGATGACTCACCTGCGACCGACACCACACGACTTCCGTTTTTTTTGTTTTTTTTTTTTTTTTTTTAATCAATGGTTACGAAGGTGTTTGTGGGGATTACCGTAATCCCCATCGAACCAGGTATTAGAAACCTACTAAATCTTGGCCCCACATCTTGGGCACACAGAAAATAACATGTTCAGACTCTGTTTCATGGACTAATTCTGGAAACGCAGGAATGAGTGCTTTTTTTGAGGGCCTTTGCCTGGAAATCAACGGGAAGCCACCAATTTCGGAGGTTCCCCCATGCGCACCCAAATGGCGAATCGGCCACATGGCGAATCGGTTTTGGGGGGGATAGCTTCCACTTGCTGAATCCCCGCAGGAAAAAAAGAAAAGAAAAAAGTATGTCCAGTAGCGATAAATTCCCTTGAAACCAACAAGGGAAGACACCCCCCGGAAAAACATATGTCCAGTAGCGTAAATTCCCTTTCAGAAACAAACAAGGGATTTTTCTTATATGCGTATTAATATATATATATATATATTCAATTCAGCCAGTGACGAGAAAGCCGCACTCCAGCCGCATATCGGTCGCCTCGGCGGGGTAGTAGTGCGACAGACACGTCCGGCAGTAAGATTCCGCCGAGCGGGAGCCGAAGCCTCAGCGGAGCGCGGTGCCCGTTTTTGGAGGGGTTCAAAAGGAAACCCAAGAAAACAAGAGTTTGATTTGTTGTGTTGGGGGGGGGGGCAAAAAAATAAGAGTTTGATTTTGTGTTGTGTAATAAGAGTTCGATGTTTTTCTGTGTGGGGAGGGGGGGGGGGGGGGGCCGATTGAAAAACCCATACTTACTAGGTTCCTAGCCATTTAGCTACTTGGTTGTTGATTTACCACTTACTAGCCATATGTCATAATGTAATCATGGTTATAAGGGGACTATAATGTTTTTGTGGCCGTGACTAACAATGGCCCGGAAAGTGGAAACCACAAGGTCCAAACGTCGATTCGCTTTGGGCAAGCGAGTGGTTTGGAGCCCGGTAGTTTGGAGGGGGAGGGGTTCCCAGTTACCCACAAGAACCAGGTGTCCAAATCCCCACCAATCCAAAGCCAATGATAAGAATACCCACAGTCTTTAGTCAAGGGTCGACATCATCTTGCATCACATGAAAACATTCGGCGTCGCCAAGCCAGCATCTAATTTCTGGGGTTTGGGGCCCAGGGATTCGTGGCAGCAACAAGAGGTTCCAGTCACCCCCCCCCCCCCCCCCAACAAAAAAAACAACGACAAAAAAAACCGCGGTTTTTATCTGAAAAAGGAAAGGACCAAAGATCTGAGAGTCAGAAGCTGCTCTCTATTCAAACCAACAAAGCAAAATGAAAAGAATCATCAATTCAGCCAAAGTAAGGGTGTGTGTGTGTGTCCAAAAACTATCCGGGATCTTCGAAAATGCACATCCAAAAGAGCCTCAATTTGTGTGACGAGAAGTTCAACTCTGACCCAGGAAGCTTCCCCTTCAACTCTTCTTCTAAAACACGAGCTGCTTTGCTCTACATGCCATGAGAGCCCCCAATCCAAACGGCTTGCAGGTTCTCCGGGAAACCCAAGACATGGGGCGGATTTGCCCCATATTGATTTCGAGAGCTATGCGACACATAGATACCTCAACAGCGCCCAAAACCCCTTGACATTTGGCTCAACCATCATTTTAAAGTAGGCCGATAATGTTGACCCCACATTCATCGACCCCGGTGTATTCCACATAGAGGGTGCTCCCCTGTTGGAGGGGAACACCCTCCTATTCATAAACTGGGCTTGATAAATATGGGGTCAACATCAAGTCCCAAGCAAGGAGGTAGTACTCGATGAAGCCCAAAACACCCATTGGAACCGCCCTACTCACAATACTCACTTGTTTTAGGTGCATGGTTCCAACCCCCTCCTTTCTGCGTCATGACATCACACCCTAAAGAAGGCGGGTATGTGGAGCAAGGGAGGGGTGATTTAAGATTGAATCCAGAATAGGTTCCCAGGTTTATGGATGAATCACGATTTGTTCCTTGCCATTTTGATCAACCCTAAGAACGTTTGGTTGAAAACAAGATGGGCCTCAACCTCTTTCAGGTTGCCGCAATTGGTGGTTTTGGGCGGTTCGGGGATTTGGAACGGGAATCCTCTCAGGCCACTCCTGCTGCTCCATCGAGTCTGCTCACTGGCCACTGGTTCCGGGTCATGCAATCTTCCTCTACACACCAAGCTTCCCAAGGTCGATTTCATCCTTTTCAGCCACAAGACTGCGAAAAACAACATCTTGAATTGGTTTGGATTGGCGGTTCGGATCGGCGAATCTTCTACAAGAAGCAGGGCTTCAACTCCCCAAACGAACCGAAACCAAAGGGTTATCTCCTCTTTGGCGCCCGAGAGCGGGATCTCTTTTGCACTCGGCTCCGATGTTCGTGGGAAGAGGTAGTTTTCAAGTTGGAGACGGGTCCATGTTGCAACCTTCTAACAAGGTATACCCTCTCACCAATCAACGTGGAACCTGACAGGGAGTCCCTTACAAGGGAAAATGAACTTCCAGCACCCCGGAACGTCAGGTTCCATGCCAACTGGTGGAGAGGGTTTTTGGTTTCTCACGGCGCTTTTGCAAAATCAAAAAATGATTCGGTGCCCATGGGCACCCACAGAGGAAGCATCCTGGAGGTCGTTTTCTCCCACTGAGCGCGGCGCAAAGGCATGCGCCCTCGTCATTGCACCTGAGGCGATCTTCGGAAGATGCACCTGTGCCTCCCGAAACGGACATGAAAAAGGTCCGCTACGCTTCCCCTGTGGCTCTATCAGCTTTCAACTTTTGGGCAAGGTGAGGTTCCTGTGATTGAAGGGGAAATCTCGGTGTGCTTCAACATATGTCCCGGAAGATGGTTGGTTTCGAGTTTCGGTTGTCCACCATTTTGAGAACCCCACCATGTAGCCCAACTTTGAAGGCTGGCTAAACTTGTTGAACCAGGGAGCCCCGATATTTCCCCTGTTCACATCAACCCCACCCACCCTCGCCCCCCACCCAGGATGGAAGCTCCCAGAAGGCCCTGTAAATGGAACCAAGTCTTCCAAAGGGGTCCTGGTGGCTTCCATGTTCGTCTGGGGGAGGGTAAGGGCGTGGCCCGCCAGGAAATGGCGAAACACGCCAGGTTCCAACGGCTTGTATGGTTCACAGAACCCTGACCCCTTCGATCAGGTGGGAAACCCTGGTACGTTCAGCACAGGTTACACTCCTTGTGTTTACATAGTCGGGGGTTGACAGCCTCGAGAAAGGACAAACCCACTTGCGCAACTTAACCCACAGTTGGCCCAGCATCGGCTCGATGCCCGATGCCGCGGGTTCCTGAAAGAACACTTTGGGAGGGCCTGTCGTCAAACTCATATTCCGAGGGGCGGTTTTATGTTGGGTGGCATTCCCCTTCAGAAAGGAATATGTCCCTTGGAAAACTTGGCTCTTTGCAATACACAAAACATATTGGAGCCGGTGACCCTGCTTTTGGGGGATCTCAACCGCTGCCCCTGACTGAAAAGGAAGTTGTCCGCCTAGGAAATTTGGAGGGTTTGAAACAAATGCAAGGAGAAACCGTACTTTGACCCATATGGGGCTTCTCCAAATAGTGCCGCCCTTTGTTTTGGTGGCTGAAGGTGAGCCAAAAGTTCCACCCACTGTTGCCCCCAAAGGTAAACCCAACCGAGGACCACGATTTCGAGAAACCCTTACATGGCTATGAATGAGAAGCCACCTCACTAGTTGTTTGGTGGACATCCTCAGGGATTGGCCTACTGTTGGTTTTAGGCAGGATGGGAGGGCTTAGACTAAACCCCGCCAAGAGGGGTGTGTCTTATTTTAGGGGTCCCTTTGTTAGCGAGCAAACAAAGGGAAACCAAACCGGAGCCAGCTATGGGTTCCCCCTTTGAGACAAGCCCACATGTGGGGTGTCTCTCTCGCCTTTCTTGAGGGTACCTTATTTTTGTTTCTGTTTGACAGGGAAACGAAAAGGAAAACCGAAACCATGTGAGTCACAACCAAAACCCGGTCGTATGGTTGACCCAGAACCATGAAATACCAAGGCGGCCGCTGATTCTGGCTGGGAGTGGCCCGTTTTTCTAACCTTCATCTCCCCCCGGTTTTTTGTGAGTGAAACCCTGAAAGGGAACCCTCAAACAAGTCACAAGCCAAACGAAAAACCGAAGCGCCAGGGCTCCAACCTGCCAAAAAAAAAGGAGACGACGCCACCCCTCCGGTCGATCCCCCAACTTGGCCCGCCGGCTCGCCGAAGCCTCCGCAGGTGCTGGAACCTTCGCCTCGGGAGCCGGCGGTCCTTTTTCTTTCTTGAGGAAAGTCGCCGCCCAAAAGTCGAGGGGCTGATTCCTTGTCCATTCATTTCTAGGAACAGATGGCAACAGGTTACAGTTCTAGGGGTTGATTCCTTTTTCCCTTCTTTTCAACCATGGTGCTTTTATAAAACCGGCCGCTTTCCCTGGGTGTCCGGAGGTTTTCTAGAACAACTGGGTTCAATTCCCCAAACCACCAGGATGCCAGACTTGCGGGCTCGAGTTTCAGTTGGGGGACACATTTCCCCCACATCGTTCGCAAAGTGCCAAGAAAACTGCCACAGGTCGTCCGGTCCTCACAATTTGAGACATGGAGTTCAGGGCAAAAAACTTCAACGCAATCACATTGGCCACGGAACTGAGGCAGGGGGTACACAGTTTGTGGTATCCGGATCACACCAACCAAAAGGAAGCTTGGCCCACAAAAGGGCGGTACACCGAAAATGTGGCATAGTTCCTGCAGAAACCCTTGCCAGACCTAGCCTTGGCCCTCCAAAAATGTGTCATAGTTCCTTCTGCAAACCATGTTTCGTCTTAAATCTCAGATCGTGTTGGAGGAGACTCACCTGAGGAGCAAGAAGAAAGGACACCCTGTCCCCAGGTATTGGACCATGGTTGCGGATGCGCAGTGCCACTGCCACCTTCCATCATGTCCCTCACAACATGGTACCCAAACTGGCACCTTGGTACAGGGAAATAAAGACTAAAACCTGGGTAACTCTTTCAGGGTTTGATGTCATGACCACAAGGAAAAACTTGCTTTTTGCAAATATTCCCCACAGAGAGTGGGGATGTGGAGGGGAGCATCCCCTGCGGGAAAGCAAACAAAAACCAAATAAAGGGAAGTCGCGCACCGAAAGAAAACCTGGCAGACTGCGACGCATCGGCGTCGCGATTGGTTAAAACCCCATTCAAACAATATGGGTGAATATAACCACCATTGTTTACCTCCGCAATTTCATCATCGAAATTGGGTGAAGTATTCTTTTCGTGCCTAGACTAGAACGTGGCAATCAAGAAACTGCTGAAGCAACCTCCTCGCCTCCAAGCTGTCAGAAAGCAGACCCTCCCCAGTGTGATGTCTTCATGTACCATGTAATTCAGTGCTTGATCAACTCATCACTCCAGTAGGTGCCCTCTCATCAAATGGCCCCCAAAACAGCCCCAAGCAAGTCACTTAACCATTTGATAGCCAGTGGAGTCTGGTTTTGGCGCTTGAAAAGGAACGCGGAAACCCTGTTCCCCCAGCCCGGTCCTGGAACCCAAGCCTTCTTAAATAATGGAAAAAAACGCAGAGCGCTGGTTTTGTGGTTTGTGTCTAGCTGAACACTGCATGAAGCGAAAAGAACGTAGCCTTCTTGTTGCCAAAGAGCCCAATGCAATAGCTCTTGAAAAGAGAATGGGCATTACATGACTAGACTTAGGCCCAGTTGTAGAATATATAATATATATTCTATTGTTTGCTTCCCTTTGAGTCACTGGTAAAATGTAAAATGTATCCTAAGTATAACCCAGATTATGCCTTTCTGAAGAGCTCCCCCTTGAAGCAAAAGCTAGTAACAAGTTTCAACACTGCCATTCAGGGTACTCGCACTCCTGCTCGGCTGAGAAGGCCAACCATCCATTGAAATCGGTCGTGCATAAATTGAAGCGTCGATCCAAGGTTCTCAATGAGCACGGTTGTGGATGCCGCCATTGCTACCAATAAGAGCATAGAGCACCTGAAACTGTTTCAGTGGTGAGCAAGCTTGAGCAAGGTACATGACGGCGCACCCGCACTCAACACAAGATGCCTGGCCATGGGCAAATTAGAGCTCGCCACGCTATGCTCGGGTGGGACTCAAACCCCAAGGGAGTCAGATATGATCTCTGACTCGTTCCCTTGTTTATGGCCACGTAGCTACTGCAGCAGATAGCCCAAATTGTTGTCAAGGCATCATACTTGCCCTCCAGAATCAGCGCCAAGGCAACACTTAGCTGCGCATCAGCGTGACAAGCCACTGCAAAGTCATGATGAGGTAAGACTGAGGCAAGCGGCGGTGTTTTTTGCAGGCTGGTTTGGCAGGAAAACCAAAAGGACACCACAATTTTTGCCCCCCGCCCCCGACTTTGACGAACATCGAAGCGATTCCTTTCCGATTTGCAGCCCAGAAGCCAAAAGCCACCGGTGTGTTCAGGTCCATGCAGCTTTTTTTTCCGAGATTTGTTCCCCTTCCTGGTTGAAACGTGCCCTTTTGACCCAGACTTCAAACCATCCCAACTATCCCCCCACCCCCCCCACCCCCCCGGGAAAACAGGGGGACGAAAGCGTCCCAACACCACGGCGCACAAAAAATGTGGTCATATTCCCTTCTGTAAACCATATGTAGTTTTAAAAAACTTTTTTAAACAAAAAGTTGGAGGAGACCCCAAGAAACTCATTTAACATCAGCTGAAATGGATGTGTCTTGTTTTATGAGACCCAGACATGCGGTTTTCTTTTTGGTCACACCCAAATGGTGATGTCGACAGTCCTAGAAGCAACCCTATCCCGGGGATGGCGCAGAAGACGTCGCACTGGCCCTGCGGGTAGTAGTTGGGGGCCTGCGAGCTCGAACACAGATCAGCTAACCCGCAGAGACGCTTCTTGTTGGTGCCAAAAAGCCAAAGATGAACAGAACCGACAAAGGCTTTAAAAACCCAAACCGTGCCAAGGACTGAAGGATAATACAACGGCCGAAATAGTTAAAATCGTGTTGTGGGGTATGAAAAAAACATACTTACTCATGATTGCAGTAGATGAGCAATCTGTTGGCCCCGTTCACTGCCTGTTTCAAGGAAAACAGGGAAACCACCCCGTGGCCTTTGAAGGCTTCCCAAAGAAAAAAGCACACACCCAATCCGGCGACCGTTTCGATTGGTTTCACCCCTGCTTCTGCCGCCCCCAACCTCCAATCCACACCGCAAAAGGGCAAGCTGATATGCACAGAGGAGCGGTTCCACCGGCCTAGGTTATAACCACGGATGTTGGGGAAACTGAGGCTGGCCCTCGCAGAACCATGGTTGTAACCTACTAAGTCCGAACACCCCATGTACCTAAAGGGACATCCCCCAAAAACAGTGGCTATAAGTAGGTACATGCCTAAAACCTTGCTTGTGTATATGGCTGTGAGATATGCACGTTTGCGGGAATGTAGGACCTCAGAAAAGGATAATGTCCCTAAATGCGGGCTCTCAAAATGTGCTGTTGTTTTTGCCCGGGGCTCAACTCCGTTCGGCGCCTCCTGTAGTGTTGATTTCGTAAGTCAATGATGAAAGATCGTGAACAAGCGCGATGTAAAGGGGCAAAACAATCAGAATGGGGCTTGGGGTACCATAAAACCAAATAAAATGTTGTCCTCCAACAGACAGGGAAAACAGGCACCCCTGCAGGTCTGGGTTCTGGGTAATTACATCAGAATAGTTCGCACTTGTGCCTGAAGCAAGGTGTGGTTGTTTTTTCGGGAGCTCGGGGGTTCTGGCGGTTGCGTTGCGATGCGTGAAAAGGGTCTTAAGCAAAGCCGCGGTTTGCAACGGGGAGGAGATCAGCCCAAACTTCAAAGAGCGACTTGCATAACGGCATGGTCAACCCCGGACTGAAAAAGAAGGTCTCCAATCCGTGGTAAACCGGGGTTGTCCAAAACATAGGCTGAAAAAAGAGGGTTTGGAGCCATTCGGCGGTCTGTTTCAATGAATCGCGAGGGCCTCTTGATATTCGCACCCAAGAGCACTGAGCGGACTGTCCTGACTGTACCATGCCTCTCCCCGAATCGCTTCGTCCACTTACCCGCTTTCCGGGAACTTCTTAGACTTCGACCCTGGAGACCGCAAAGGGCCTGGATCTTCCTTACCGATCTTCAGAGAGAGAAGACCAGAAAAAAAGAAGACCCTCCGCTTTGGAGAGTTTTGGTCCTCATTTTTGGGGCCGGAGAAACTTGTCGACTGCTTCGGGTTTCTGAAGTCTAGGGACTAGGGGTAGGGTGACCCTAGAGTGGGAGGGGTCTGCATGGGTCACCCGTAAGGTCAGATCAGCTGCCGAACCCTTCAGCTCGGGATCCGGCGCATTCGCTGCAGCTGGTACCCTGCCACCCTTCCCGGCAGCCTGGCGATTGACCCACGCGTAGGTCGAAACAGCAAGGCCGGGGGAGTTTGTTTGAGTTGTTTATTGGTGTCCCTTTAAACCAAGCTGAAAAGAGTAAAACAAAAAACAAAAAAACACGACGCACTACACACACAGGAACACATCTAGCACGGAGGATTGCCCTGGCCTTTCTGCACCAAAAACGAGTAGACGCGACTGAAGACCACGATAAACGCATCGACATCATAAGGGCGTGCGCTTTTTTGAGGCCAGCGTGTTCACGTTTTAAAGGGAAACGAAAAGGGAAAACACCAGTTTTGGGCTTCGCCTATTTTCGCCATGCCCATTTGTTCAGCTCAAGGTTGAAGGGGGTGGGACCCTCAATCATGTCCGGAGTCCGACCACGAAAGGGGGAAAGGAACTGCCATGAGAGCAACCACAACCCCTTCGTAGGTTCCTCAGTTGGAATATTCAATGTGTTTTGGGTAGGAGATACTCCATACTTTCAAGAGCGGCCTTTCTCACATGAAATCCACAAAAGAGAAGTTTGCCTGTCTTAGAGTCCCGAAAGATACCAGGACCCCCAATGGAGCCTGTGACCAACAAGCGGAACTTACAGGTGTAGTTTAATACCCCATTCTTCCTGGTACATTGTGAAGACCATTTTTCAGTCAGCTGCCACCAGTTGACTCATGCCGTTCAAAGAAATCCAAAATTTTGGGGGCCGGATACCACGATTCCCATCCTGGGGCCTTAAATGGACATAACAAAGTGTTTCGGCTTTCACGGCAAAGGGATTCAAGCCTGACTCGTCCACAGCGTATGCCGGATTTTCCGGCAAAGCACGCTCAATGTCAAAAAGGTTGAAGAAACATTCTTTCCAACAGATGTACGCAACCAACGCCAGTTCGTACTGCGCCTGGTTAGGGCGTGGCATTGGTCACATACTCCCTGCAACGTGCAACTACCTGCCTAATTTCCATATGGCTATGAAGTTAGGAGTTGGAACCATCTAAATAATGTCCACTAACTAAAGTTTGTTTGTGTAAGGTCCAAAGAAGGGACCAAGGAAAAACTAGGTTACTGTCGGAGAGGGACAAACCAATTTGTTCTCTAAACCTTATCTACTAGGGTGAGTGGAATCATTAGGGACGTAGGGCGGGGTCCTTTCCCCAAGGGCCTTAAAATGTGATATGCAGAACCCCCTAAACTGTCGCAAAGCCTAGCAATGACCCCCGACGCAGACCCCCTCACCTTCCAATGGACAACCCGAGGCGACAAAAAAACAATCGGGACCGTGTCAGGGCTTTCTGTCAGCTTTCTTTTGAGCAGTGGTCGATCTCCCACCACACCCCCAACCCTCCAACCGGATGTGCTGAATTTCTTCCATTTGCCTGTTTGGTGCTATGAAAATTGGCATACATTTACACGCCGTGACCTTCCTTGAAACCCACACGGGAAAACGCAACAAACACAGCCCAAGATGCAAGAAACCCTCTTGCCGAGTATTCGGAGATGACGGGGTGTCTTGTTTGCTGGACCTCCAGGACGTGGAAATCATGATGCCTTTTTCTTAGCAATTGGTTGTACTAAACTGACCGCCCCCTTCCCCCCTCAAGCAAAAAGGAAAAGGGTAAAACACAACTGGGCGACGTGTGTTCACTTGATGTTTCAGGTACAACCCTCCAAATTAACAGACAGACCCACCTCACTGGTCTTCGTTTTTTTCTCAAAGGCGTGGACACGTTGGGGATACCCTCTTCCACTTTCTGAGGCGGACCTAAACCCAGGGGTTCCCTCAAAGAGCCAAAAGTCGAATAACGTCAAAAAACGGAACCCCATGGAACCTAAGAAGCCCCCTATTCCAAACGCACACCTTCTTTGGGGGGCATACTTTTGCGTACTGGGACTTAGTAGGGAATGACCCATGTTGGGAATGAATCTAGGGATTCCCTTAAAGGAAACCATAGGGAATGGTTTTCTCGGGGTCGTTCCATTTCTCATTCTCTGCCTATCAAAGCAGCAAGGCCCTTTGGTGGTCTGGATTGGTGTCTTTGCATCCCGGGTTCTTGTTGGGAAATGTGGAAAAAAGCAAAACGGGCTTAACATGGCAGTTATTAAGCAGAAAAACATGCTTGCTGAACATGTGAAAACAGGCTCTTCTTCGAAAATTGTGTTGAATCCCAGTTTCTGGTCTTTGAATGATGTGAAAACCAAACAGCAGCTTCGCCAAGTTCTTCAGACCCAGGCAAAGAGAAGGGAAACCTCCGAGCTCGGCCAAATTCGCCGGTGCGGCTGCAAGCTCCACTGGTGAAGTCGCCTCGGACGCCGGTTGACAAGTGGGCCGTCTTCTCTTGAGGGTACCGCTTTGTTTCTTTGTGGCTTTAAAGGGAAGCCCAACAAGAAGCCGTCCCCCCCAAAAACACACACACACACACCCAGTGGTGACTGGTGAAAGTGACAATGCTCAAATGGCCCAAAAGCATCTATCTTGTTGGGGACACTGGCAACCCAGTGTCAAAGCAAAAAGGACTCTCTGGCCCCCGACCCGCGGACTCTTCCCATCTTATCTGGACGCAGAAATCGTCTTAGGGAGCCTTTTCCGCAGAAATAATTCGCAGCGACTTCCGAGCGACTTCCGATCACGAGCTCCGCTTCCCTCGTTCGTTTGGATCCGGTTTGGTTCCGGTAGTTTCCTTCCCGTCATTTGCCTCACCGAACCGATCCAAACCACCAAGTCGGGGTTACCCACGACCGGGGGCCACAAAACGAAAGTCTTCAGCCCTTCGATCGTTAGCTTCCATGGGACCCACATGGGTGTGTCTCAAATTGGGGCAAGCCCCAAAACGGATTTCGGTTGCTATGTTGGCTCCCAGAAAAACAAAAACACAAAGAAAAGAAGAAAAACAACCCACACGAAAAAGATAATTTCATCATTCTCTAGGAACAACATGCTCAAATTGCAACCCCGCTGGACCAAATATCCGTGGCGATCGGCTCCGAAAAGGGCGGTTCATCCACCAGAGAGCGGTCTTCATTCATGTGGGCAAATCAATCAATAGACTTCACCTGGCGAGAGTATCATCATGAGTGACGTCGCAAACCTATTGAAGTTCTTATGAGTTGCCCAGGAATCCACCCCAACTGGCACAACTTGGGAGGACGGGTCAACAGTCGCACCCTTTTTGAGTGAGTCTCTAGGTGAGGGACCGCTGAAAATGAGATTTGCCTTGAGTTTCAACGGGTCCCAAAACCGAGTTGAAGCAAAGACAAACACCGGGGTCCTTCTTATATGTCCCTGTTCGACAAGGAGACTCATCTCAGCATGGCCCGAAAGCAAGAGTGATGTTCGAAGTACTGATGGACAAAACCCTGCACCAGTGGTATGTGGCATGTGCTTCATCCCGGTACTCCAAATTTGGTTTCACCTATGTCTCTACCGATCTCCTAGCTCCCCGAGGCGAAGGCAAATTTGGATACCCCCAGCTCAACGGCTCCCTTTGGCACGAGTTCATCCATCCCACCTGGTGCCGTTTCTTGTCGCTCGCCCCGAGGCGAGCGGAATTCTCTCACGAGCCCACCCCAAAACTGGGATGAACAAAGCCCGGTTGCATCCGACTCGACCTTCGACCCGGACGGGACCGACGGGACCCACAGAAACGCCACAGCCACGCCGCGCGCTTCCTCCGAGCTCCGAGTCCCGAGGGCTCGGCAGGAGCTGGTGCCCAGCGCTCCGCACTCGCACTGGCGCTCGCACTTGGGGCCCCAGAAGCCCTCGCGGCAGAAGCAGAAGCCCAAGTCGCAGGACCTGAGGTCGTGGGCGTGCGGGGAGCCAAGTGGCCAAGAATCTAGGAGTAGCTTCCCCGTTCTTTCCAGGCATCCTTCTCTCTAGAAAACCACCAAAAAACCACGGGGAAATGGTTGGTTTTTTTAAAAAGAACTATGGCCGAAAAGAATGGGGAATCTTCCCCTAGAAAGTCGCCTGTTTTTGGGGTACCCGTATTTGGAGACAAACCCCATTTGAGAAAAGGCGCCCTACCCCCCGAATCTCCAAATACCCCCCTCACACACAAGCTGGCATTTACCATACTCAATACACTGAACAAAACGTATACTCGGATTATATAAGCCATCTCTTTGCGGTCGGCATCATCAATATGACCCTCTAAATTGTAGTTTTAAGGGGAAAACACTTCCAACTGTAACTTTGAGACCCTCTAAACATGTTCCCTTCAATGGACCCAGAAATATTCGCTCCAAACAGCGGGGGAAATTGGACTGGTAGGGCTCCCATCAGCTCTGGGCGGCCGGCACAGTGCTCTCCTCCTCGCAATCTCCGCAGGAGCGTTCCTCGAAGTAGGCACGCCCCGCTTGGAAATATGGTGAAGCATGGGTTGAGGGTGGGCCGAGGGTAGGTTTAGGATAGGTTGATGGTAGCTTGGGGGTTGGTTTGGAGTTGGCTTAGGTGGGTTGGGCTTAGGGTGGTGCAGAGTGGGTTCAGGGTAGGTTGAGGGTAGGTTTGGGAGAGGTTGAGGGTTGGTTTAGGAGGGTTTAGGGTGGTTTTAGGGTAGGTTTAGGATGGTTCAGGGTAGGTTTAGAGCTGGTTTAGCATGGGCTGCGGCTGGGTTTAGGGTGGGTTGAGGGTAAAGGATAGGTTAAGGATGTAGACTTTAGGGTGGGTTGCGGGTGCTCTGCTTTGCAGGTTGCAAGGACCAAAAGCCCTTCAAAAAAAAGCATGGGGGCTCTCCTCCAAAACACAGGTTTTCCAGCTGAGAAGCCTACAAACATAAATGTGGGTGACCTGAAGCAGCCCTGTGGATGGACAAAATCCAGGCACTTGGGAATAGTGGTCATTTCCGCTATTCATAGGGCTGTATTCCGGCTGGGGCGAAGTGGATTTTTGCGCATCCACAGTGCCAATCAGACTCACCCTGTCATTTCTTGCGGGTTTTACCTTGAACAGAAAGGGTTGCATGGCCCTGTCTCGCTTGCCGTAACTCAATCGTCAACTCGCAAACCAGAGGCTCAGACCACTACCTCAACACCCACCAAAAATAACATGTTGCTTGATGCGGGTCAATACCTATTGAACAATCAAACATCAAACTATATGTATAGGTTGTTTAAAATATAAGAGGACACCGGAGTTCACTAATCCCACCAACAAAATGGTCCCCGAAGAAAGGGTCCCCTTGCTTTGATACCATACAATTCATTAAACCTACACATAATCTGTGCAACCTTTCGGAGTTGGTGCCCAAGAGCCACGTTTAGCACATTGGGGCGGTTTGATCCAGCAAGCATCAGTAGCTCCTTCCTCGGCCCACATCTGAGCGGAGAAAAAATAATCTGTTCTGAGTCTGTGGCCTGTTCAGTCCAAACGGGAACCCCAGTTAAAAGGGGACTCTGGTGCCCTTCAATGCATTGCCCACAGCTTTTCCTTGGGCTGGAAAACTGACCCCGGCACAAAGGAAGCGGACAATCAAGTGCTCCAACCAAAACATCATACATGCAGTCGTCACGCCTCCTAAAAACCCTTCTAATTGGCTGTATGTCGGAATGAGGGGAGCCACACAATGGTGGTTTTCCTCTTGGCTTCCCGAATTCAACCATTATAAAAGGCATACCCTAAAAAGACCGAAAGAGAGAAAGAGTGGGAGAGAGAGACACAGACAGACGCTCAGAGACACACACACACACACACACACAGAGACACCCGACGGACACACATTTTCGAGGGGGTAGAGACGGAAGAGGTCCTGGGCCCTCGGGCGCAATTCTCCCCGTAGAAGCTTTCAAGGCACTCGCAGCCATCACCTGAAGCTGTTGGTCACCAGAGGAACAAACGAGCGAGCCACCTCCTTTGGGCTTCAGAGCCGCGTTTTCGATCCGGTTTTGGGGGCACCCGTAATTTGACAAAGACAGTTTGGGGCCAAGGCTCATCAAAGGTCTGGTAGGAGTGAGCTGGGAAATCCAAGGAAAAGCAGCTGTCGCTACCAACCTCCAGCCAAAACCTGAAAACTACCAGTCATGACCAGGGACCAACAAATCACGTAATGCCATGTCGGCAAATCGTGAAATGCATTTCGGCATTCGTCAAGGGCCTGAGCGAAAGGTGGCCAGCTGCTCCCGAAATTTGGTTGGGTCCTGATAGAACCAACTAGAGGCGGTAAGGCGACATACCTCCTGTTCTCCGGGGTGACCCTGGCTCGATTCGCTTCAAGCCAAAGGCCGAAGAGCTTTTGTTGTGCTGGCGTGTCTCGGCTTGGTTGGCTTGGTACCGTGGATGGACGAAAACCATTTCGCACCACCAAAGAAGCCATGGAAACCGTTGTTTGTTGGTATTTACAAGGGAATCATCACTCAGTTGTTCAGTGACCATGGAAACAGCTTTTTGGGGAGGACCTTTTTTAGTGGGGCAGCCACCAAAAAAAAGGGGGGGAAAAGGGTGCCACTGAACAACTGAGATCATTCCAGGGTTTCCCAGGTGGCGCGAAATGGATTTTGCCATGCACAGTATCAGCTGGGCCCCTGAGCCGGGGCCCCAGCCGCAAATGCCCCGCGCGCTGCAGTTGCCGCAGGAGGCGTTGCTGGCGCTGGGCTCGTCCTCGATCGAAAGGTTTGCTTTTTCGCCCACAGAAACAGAAAAAAAAGGGGAAACAAAAACAGTCAGTAGTGAAACTGATTTCCTTTAAATCCCAAAAAAGAGAAGACACAAGATAAACTCTTCAGCAAATGGACGTTGTCCGTTGATCAGTTGGAGGTTGGTCAATAACAATAGGGGTGGCTCGTCTCTTTTGGAGGGTACCTGCTTTTTGGTGGTTTTGAAAGGGAAGCCAAGGGGAAAACCACCATTTACGAGGTCCCCCGGAAAAAAAGAAAAACACACCACAATTCCGGTCGGCCAGCCAAGATGATGGGTAACGTTTCCCGACGGTCAACCTTTCGATCGGTGAAACACCTAGCCAACAGGTAGGAGACTCCCCAATTGGCCACAATTGGGGCAAGCATGTGCGAACTTGTTTCCGGAAGTAAAAATAATGACAAAACCTCAAGGGGGGCAATGAAACTACAATGAAACTTCCCGAAATCCAGGAGTTTTCGGATGTTTCTGAAGGGAATCCAAAAGGAAACTAACCGTTGTTGAAAGTCCATATGTGATGTCTCAAAATAGGGGAACCCCCAAAAAGTGGTTACCCTTTGGGTTCCACTTGAGACCACCCAATTAAGGTATCCTCAAACAAGGCTCGCCCATACTTCGTGTACTTGCGCAGGTCTACGTCCATTTCGACCTTCCAATGTTGGACTTCCTTTCCCACGACCAACGGATCCCAAAGACTCGGGGACAGTGCTTGAGCCATCAAAGCCTCGTACCAAAATGGTCTACTCAACACTGTCCAAAGAATTAAACTGGCAGATACTTCACTTTGCCCGAAAATATGCTTGTTGCTCACTTGAAGTTTTGGACATGGCAGGACATGCCCTTGGAGGGTTGGGGTCTTTCAATGGGGCACGGAATCCCATCGCACGCACCTCATTTTGCGGACAAGGCCACGCAAAACTCTCCATCCCATCGTACATCGCACTTGCACACGCCGTCGTCGCAAATACCATGACCTCAGCGTGCAACGCATGTGTCAAAATCAGGAACACCTGTTGAGGCGGAAGATCAAGGAATCAAGGGGAACTGAGAAATAGCCAATATATTTACAATTCATATGATTCGAAACCCAACTTTTGGCAGGGTACCAGGTTGTGACACTGATCAGTCAGGCATGGACTCATGTCCAAGGGCTTGCCACCTGAGCGGCTCCAAAGATTGCAATGCGATGTCGATAGCTTGTTCCATGGCCGTCAGTTGCTTACCCCCCCACTCCAAATACCCCAGCTTTTTGTAGTCAGAAAAAATGTCAAAGGACAAAGGCCCCACGACAAAGAACACGTACTTGCCATGAAAACCGTGTCCATGAAAAATGGCTGTTCAGAATATAGCACCCCAAGGGTCATAACCCCTCAAATGCACACCCCCCGGGCCTCCAATGGAGAACCCCGACCCCTTAGGTGCCCTTGAAACAACCAGTTGTTTGTGCCCAAAAACAACGAGAGCCTTAGGGCAACTGAACAAAAATGCGGGTACTTGAAGGCCACCGTGAAGGCCACCGAGAATATCTGGTTCCAAAAAAAAAAAACTCCAAGGCGCCGGCCGTTGCACGAGCAGTCGCAGTGCTCTCCAAAGTACCAGAGGTCACATTGGCACTGCCCGCGCCTTGGAGCTTCGCATTTCCGGGCCGTGGCGTGGGGTGGGTCTGGGGTAGCTTGGGGTGGGTTTGAGGTTTTGGAGATATGGGTATGGCTCAAAAACCGGAACTCCAAAATGGGTTGCGCTGGTAAGTGGAAACATAGACCATCATAGACCAAAACCTGACCCTAGCTCTTTAATTTTGAGCCACTGCCATATGGGAGACCATCTTACTGGCTGTTTGGAGGCCCTATGTGAGCGCCCCTCTGGTTTCTGCCCAAAACACAAGTCTTCCATGGGTTCAGTTGGTAGATAGTTTATTCCAGCCATCCCAACTGGGTCGAGGTGGGTTTGGTCCATCGCGACTCGACCTTTCCTTTGGGCAACCCCTTTCCAAACATGGGCTTGTTCGGGGGCCGGTTTTTTTCGCCTCCAAACCCTTCCAGTTCGCTTCCATGTTGGAAGCCACTCTTTTTGCAGGTCCCATGTGTTTCGCCCTTGGAGATCTAGATTTCCATCCAACACATGTCGGGTGTCAGGCTATAAAGACCTTCGGGTTGTGGGCTGAGGGTGAGAGATTGAGACCCTGAAACCAAAACACAGAAGCCAGGGTCCCATCGAAATGGGTCCAACCCAAATCACACCCCACACCTCTTGCGAGATTGGCCGGCTCGGGGAACAGCTTGGCATGCATCCTGCAGGCAGAACTGGCGCTTTTAAGTCCATACATGGCTCCAATAATGACCATGGGAAGCAAAGAGCTCTCTCTCCTGGTGGTTTCTTCAGGACAACCTCTCAAAACGGGGGAAAGGAAGCAACCGCCTGGGTCAAAGCTCTGACCCATCCGTGGCCCCCCGGCTGGGTGCAGCTTCCCGAGCCGGAGCAGGTGTCGTTGCGGTCGCAGAAGGTATCGCAGAGGCCTGGCGCTGGACACCAGCGGGCCCTGGCCCTGGCCCATCTGGCCCCACGTCGTCGATCAGCCTCCCACAGAGGTTGGTGGTTTGGAGCCCGGTGGTTTCGAGAATTTCCGGGGTGGGCGTCCTATCCTTTTGCAGGAACCAGGGCTTCAATTCCCTAGTCCTACCAAACAAACACAGACACGGACACAGACACAGACACACTTCAAGTAATACGCAACAACTAAGTGGCTACCGATTTGGGACAAACGTCAGCTCAAAACACGTGGAGCCCTTCAAATTCCCATCTTTTCCCTGTCCAGTTTCCCATGGCAAACCTTTGGGCCATTTGGGACGCAAGCTTTGGAAAACGAGCCCTTCGGAGTGCCAATCCTTTTCGTTGAGCAATCAAGGCGTGCCGGAGGGTGATACCACAGAAAAGGGGCCCATGTTTGTTTTATCCCGCACATTAGGAGGGGGGTGTTCGGGGAACCTAAAGGAGCCCCTCAAAAAGCGAGGACAAACAATTGCTGGACAGACCCGTCGTCCAAGTTTGCGCAGAGCTGGGTATTGTCATTCAAGGCACTTTCCACTGATGGTTGCTTCTCTGAAAGAAAGCCAAGGCGGTTCCAACCCAACCTGGAAAACATGGCTGGACAGAGGGGGTCTATGTTAAGGGGCTCCAAAAACTGTGGGCCTTTTGGTTCCCAAAAGGAAATTACAAAGCCAATGCACCCGCCAAAGAAAAAGGGCCGCGCCCCTCTGGGGAGGTTCCCCCTGAGGTACAAATCCTCGCGGGGCAGGCCGTCGGCTCTGGAGCGGTAGTAGCCTGGCCGAAGGCGAAGGGAGGTCTGAACCTCCGGACGGGGGTGCCCTCGGTGTGTGAAGTAACCATGCCAAGGGGTCAAGCCACCCTCACTCCCCTCACATCGCGAGCTAGCTGCCGAATGCGAAGTTGTAGTTGTGTTAAGGATTTTCCCCCTAGATTCACCCAGCAAGAAATCATGTTCAGGGGAACCCCCATAGCGTTTCACAGGGGAAACCCCCAGAGAAAAACTCTTAATGGGAAAACTAGGTCCCAAGGCATCACCAAAGACCTGCATTGAAAGGGGGGGGGTTAGGGACCTCCATTTGTTTGGTTTTGGATCTCAAGTTCCTTTTTGAGGACCGTGGCTTAGGACAACCAAAAAGGAAAACCAAAAAGGACGGGCACTGCTACATGTACAGGGCCGTGAAGCGGGTGCTGGAGCGGCAGGCGCATGCTCTACCGGGGCGAGACGAGGCAGACCCTGCCGCCCATCGGAGAGTGAAGGCGCTTTGACGCCGCGGACGTGCAGCCGGGGCTGTTCTGGTGCGAGGACCTGCGCGAGGCGCGGCGGCAGCTTATAGCCGTCGGCAAGAGCTTAAGGTGGCCGCTGAGGCGGAGCTGCCGGAGGAGCACGAGGTGCTGCAGAGGTGGTGCGAGGCGCTGGGGCAGGAGTACCGGGCTGGCCGGGCTGGCGCACGATCTTTCTAAGCTGCTCAAGGCAAAACGAGAGGTGCCCGGCGCGGGAGCAGAAGGCAACTGCCACAGCGAGAAGACGCTGAGAGAGAGCGCAGCCCACCAGCCTGGAGAGCTGCGTGTCATGGAGCAGTCCCCTTGTCTTGAGGCGCAGGCGTGTCAGAGATGGACGTGGTGCGCTGGCTGCAGGCGCAACGGGCTGGCCAACGCCCCCTTCTCCCTGCCGAACTTGTGCCCCGTGGACGGCGTGCTGCGGCCTGCCTCAATTTGTTGCCGTACGTGGGGCCCGGCTGGTACGGATGAACGAGGCCTGGCCCAAAGGCGAAAAGCACATGGCCAAGCTTAGCGTGAACGCGATGATCGCGCAGCACGGAGGTCTACAGCGTGCGCAGCAGCAGCAAGCTGGACGGGTGCAGACTTCTCTCAGGCCTTCGCCTACGAAGGGGGCACGGTGTGGGACGCCCGGAGGCTGCTGAGCAACGGCACCTACCGCCCCATCCACAACGCGTCCTGAGCACTGCATGGTGGCCAAGGCCCGGCGCATCCTGGACGCGCCGCCGCGCTACCTTGCGCAGGTGAAGTGCTGACGCAGCCCGAAGCGCTTCACGGAGCCGCGCTCAAGGCGCTGCGCCACCCGGACGGCACGGTCTACCGCGTAGAAGAGACGAAACCGTTGCTGGACAGCAGCAGGGCGCCGCGCATGGAGGCGGAGCGTCCCAAACAACGAGGTGGAACGGGGTGGACGACCCTGTCAACACTTGCCTGGCGCAACTCCCTGCTGCTCACGGGCCTGCCGGGCACCGGAAAGACGCATCTGGCCCGGAACTGTTGCGAGGCTGCAAGAGGCGAGGCGGTGCACCTGGTGTCCAAGACGCACTGCTCCGCGCAGAACCTGGGGCTGGGGGCGCAGACGGCCGACCACTAGGTGCGCAGGTACGTGCGCGGGGGCAGCGCGCAAAAGCTGGACTGGCTGGTGGTGGTGGAGGAGACGCAGCTGGACATGGCGCTCTGGGCGGACCTGGCCTGCGTGGGGCTGAACGCCGACGTGAAGTTTCTGCTGCTGGGCGACTTCCGACAGCTGCCAGCCGTGCTGGACTCTGGGCCGGCAACAGGAAACCGCCAATTTGAAGGGCCCCCTATTCTGAGAGACAAACCCATATGTTTCCTTTCTTCCCATGCACCCATTGCTCGAGGACTCACTTTTCCAAGCAGGTGTTGCATGTAATGTAGGGAGCGGACCTGGAGTTCAAGACCTGCCAAACATCGGCAACTTTGCCCTTGAGTGAACAGAAGTGGGTGTTTACTTTGCTTCTTGGGCTTTCTGGGTTTCACTCAGCTTCACAAGGGATCCCTCCCCTGAAGGCCTGACTACTTGGAGACGAATTCGTGGCGTGGATTGGGTTTTCCCTAGGGTTCAACCCCCACTTCAAAACAACGCTCACCCCAATTTAGATTATGAATCCGCTTAGGTAAAACAATGATGAACCATGATGAAACTGCTTAGGTAAGACCAGGGGTATATTCACCTCCATTGTTTGAATGGTTGCAACTGAATCCCAGCACATGAACCACAGATACTGGACGCCTGCATCGCACATCTCGCAGTTCGTGCCGTTGTGCAGGTCCACACACGTGCCTCGAGCCGAGCCAACCGCCGAGAAGTTCCCAGTACCATTTTTTGGTGTGGGTTTAAAGCGCCACCAAGGGAAACCAACCCATTTGGGGATCCCTTCATCTTAAAAAGGTAAAGGATTTTGCAGGCATGTATACAGCGAATAAAAACATCTGTGTATATATATATATATATGAGCTTGTAACGCAGAAAAACTACCTTATGCAATCGCCATACAACCTCCATACCTCCAAAGCTACCTGAACATGTCCTTGGACAGAAGTCCAAACTTTCGGTTTGCCACTAAAGTTGTCTTCCCAAAAGTTGACAGCAAAAGTGCAGAAACAGGGGAAGCGAGCTGTTCAACTGACTAGAAAGTAGGACATAACCAGGGGTACAAGGGATGCCGCATTTGCCCCAGCTCCAACCATGCTTATAAGTTGCGCTTAAGTGGGTGAAACATCCAAGTATTCCAACTGCCAGCCAGAATAGCCAAGAGAAAGGAGACCAATGTACTCTGGGCTTCAGCCCAAGGGTTCGCCGGACATCTTAGGACAGCAGCAAAACACCTAGGCAACTGAGAAACCTATGCGAGACTCGGGCGGAGTCTCCGAGTAAGCACGCAGGAAATTGCAAACGGGAGACCAACGAAATCCGTTTTGTGGCGGCAGGCATGGGTTTTGTAAGTTTTTACAGGGGTTCTGAAGAAAATCCAGCCAACAAACATTGTCAGCCCTGTTTTAACAGGTGTTTCCTCAAGTGATCCCCACCAAGGTTTCAAGCGCGCTCAACACCTTTGGTCTCCCTGTCCGAAGTCACCAGGGGATACAAAAACAACCGACATCCACCTCCAAAGGCCCTGGCAGCTGCCGTCGCCCTGGGCGCCATCTGCACCTTATGAGCCAAACTGAGCCAAAGTGAGGAATCCAAACCCGGCTGTAACATGGGCCTACCCAAACCAGAGTAAAGAATCTGCAAAGGCGGCCACCCATTTCTAACTAAAATCGTCCATTCATTGCTGCCCTCCAACTACCCTGGCTTTGATTGTGGCTCCAAGCGTGAGAATCCATCGCCTTCTGCGAAGCTCGGCTCTTCGAACTCTTTAGGCCAAAAACTGGCGATAAAATGGACGGAGGGCGGGAACCAAAGGCTCCCCAAAACCAAAGTTCCCCGATTTGCGCATTCAGCCGAGCCCACAAACCCTCACAATAACCTGCCTGAAAATTGAAGTCAACATATCGTCGAAAAACGGTGAGTCACAATCCGAGATTGGTTTGGGACTACCCACCACCCATGTTGCGACCTGACTGAATGGGTGGTTTGGACCAGGTTCTGCGAACAAAATCACTCATGAATGTGTGCTTGGTGGCCAAACTTGATTGTCATGGAATTTCCCAAGAGAATGACCCCTGACCATTGATCTACGCGCGGCACATTCCCTGAGTTGAGTGTTCAAACCATTTCAGGTTAAAGCCAAGGGACGGCTAACCCTAGCTCAGGGTCCCAATTATATCCAGCTTTACAACATTGCGTCTGTCTTGTGTTGGTACCCTTTTTGGGGTTGGTTTTAAAGGGAAGCCACAAGCAAAACCACAATTTTGGGGGCCGAAAAAGACACGCCCATTTTAAAACCTACTTACGTGGGTTGAACATCCTTTGCACTCTGTGAGAAAAGGCGAGTGACTCGTTCGTCTGAGCGTCAGGCATGAGACCGTGCCGGGGTAGACACAGGTGCAGGGATGGCGACCTTTGTTGCGCGCGACAGCTTCCCTTGGCGTCGTTTTGAGGGTGCCAGTCTTGGGGTGAGAGAACGGGGGCCACCCAAATTTTGGGGCAGTCTCATTTAGAGCAGGGGGCCATTTTGGTCCATATCTTGGTTGTCAACGACCATAGATAGAAAGGGTATACTTGGATGTCCAAACCGGTTAGCAAGTCGGATACAACCATGGCCATAACGGGACCAACCCCAGTTTCGCCACATATATCCAGGCTTGTAACTCGCTTCCTGGTTTGAACATCCAACTACCCAAAAGGTTCAGTTGGCCACCCTCCTGACCAGGGACAAGTCAATGACATGGGTGTTCAGAATAGGAGAGCATCCCAAATTCCAAATGCTGTTTTTCCATTGGTTTTTACCTTTAAACCACCTCACAAGCTTCAAAGAACGCAGAGATCCAGCTTCATCGGGGTCCCGAGCAGTTCTCGCCGTGCCAGCCATCCTGACACTTGCAAGCCTCAGTGCGCCGATTACGGAGCCAGCCACGGGCTCCCGGTTCGGGGCTCGGGGCTCGGGGCTCGGGGTTCGGCTTGTGGGGGCAAAAAGTTTGCTGACCTCAACCCCCTGGCCCCTTTGAAGGAGAAACCGAAAGAAGGTTGAAGGTTGCTTCAGCGATAGTGGTTAAGAGAAGCTTACGCAAAATGGCTGACATGGGGCTCTCAGAAACAAGGTGAGGCAACCGATTTGCTCCAGAGTAGAATATTGGTCCCCGAAGGACGGACGGCTGCCACGGACTGCATCTCGACGGGAAATCGCCGAGGCCAGGCCGGCCACCTCGAGCAGCCTTAGGGAGCAGCCAATGCTCCACGCTGCCAGCGCCGGTTCCTTGCCGCACAGATGTGACGCGTGCTCATGCCTGAGCCGGTTGCTGTTGCACCTTGCCCGCAACCCGCGCAGTCAAAGCTTACTACTAGCTAGCTCAAAGTTAGTATCACATGAGCAGACTCGGAGCCAAGTTCGTGTACGGCCAGACGAAAACATTGAAGTACACTGTCTTGTTTCAAAAAAGTCGCCAATTGCGCAATGGATCAGTACCACACACCCCGTTTTGGGGGTTGCGCACAAAGGACATCAACAAATGTTCTACCCCGGTGGGGAAAAAACGCAGCCCTCATCCTGGCAGGGTGATGTGTCTTTCTTGTGGAGAAGCGGTCCAGGGGCTTTTGACGTGCGCTTGAAAGGAATCTCTCCCCCTTCCCTGCGCGGCGGAAGGGTTTGTTATTTTCCCAGGTTCGGCAGGCATTTAAAAAGAGAAAGAAAGAAAAAGAAAAAAAACATTCTGAGAACCACTGGAGACGAACCCAACCTCCCCCGCCCCATCCCGGCCGCGGAAAAAAAAAGGAACTATAAACTGAAAAGACAAACGAAGTGACCCCCACCCCAACACACAACCAAGCCGCGTGGAATCTCCACAAACTCGCTGGGCTCCCCTACCACCGGCGGCTCGCCTCCCTGCACATGTTGTGCTTCAGCTTGGACCCACCGCAAAAGCGAACATCCATGTTGGGTCTTTCAAAATAGGATGAAGGATTAAAATCACCATTTTTGGGATTGAAGCCACCATTTGGATCTTTTAGGAAGAAAGCCACCATATTAGGGGTCTCATATTTTGCGAAACGCTGAGGCATGGAGTCAGACAGTCAAAGCAGATAGTCAGGGAAGCCAAATGGCTGTTGAATATGGAGGGTTGATCCAAACTCGAAATCCCTCAAAAGCCGCGACAAAAGGGACTCCTCTCATACCCCCAGCAAAATCTCCTGTACCCCCTCTTGATCCTGAAAAGCTCAAAAAGGTTTTTTTTCGTGGTAGGGGTCGCTACGGGTTCATTGGGTCCGGGGTCATGAGCGTCTGGCTTGAGTTTGAAGGGAGAATCATTTCTGACAAGGATACCGTGGATGGACAAAATCCACTTCGCACCATTTGGGATGGATGAAATCCTATGGGAAAACCGCTACTGGTGCCTGAGATAGATTCTATCCATACAGTGGGTAGCGCAAGGAAAGGGAAGGTACCGCCTGCGCCCCACGGGTGTTGACGGGTATGATGATGTCCAATGATGTCATCCCCTCACTACAAAAACGGCGGTATTTGTCACTGGAAAGAAAGGTTTTCAAGTATACAACTCAAAAAAGGGTGGGTTGGAACCTATTTGGAGCAGGAAGAAGAGAAGGTAGCCATACCCTCCAGACCTTTGCCCTTAAGGAAAGCTACAGCAAGGCCACCGAGCTTCCCTGGAAAGTGGATCCGTCTCCCAAGCTAGGTGACTCCTCCACCTGGCATGAGGAAACCCATCAACCAAAAGCTGCTCTGTTGGGAGAGGAAAAATCTGACCTTTGCTGGTGGAGGCCGACTGGTGGCAAGCACACCCCCTCGTGAGGACAGCTTTTCAGTCGTCTCTCTACCCTACCCTTGGAGGCCTACCCTTTCATCCTGGAGAAGTGCTGAAGGGTCCATTCTGGGCTTACCCCTACCCGACCCCACAACCAGCTCTAAGGCGGATTGGGACTGCTTGATTCGGCCCTATGAACGAAGAATCGAAAAGAACTTCAAAAGGACCTGGCACCCTTTGAGTGGTTGCCCCACCCATTTTGGGGAGAGAGACCCAACCCGGAGTCATGGCAGCGTCCCTGGCCCGTGCGAGTGATGCGGAGCCGTTGCTTTATGGGCGGAAAATAGCACATGGCATAGGGATGGTCTCAAAATAGGCATTGTTCTTCCTTGCATCAAGATGAATCTTCAACCAGAAAATGGAAACCCACCAGGATACAAATGAACCCTAGTTTTTTTGAGAAACACCCAACCGTGATGGTGCCAAGTGTATGGGAATCTACAACGGCACGCCCAAAACCTCTGGTCGGGGAAGTCCCAAGCTTTGATCATCGGAATGGGAAACCTCGTCAAACTCCTGCATTTGAGGCGTTGCGACGCGTTCCTGCGACAGGGACCTAGCAATGTCTAGCATACTCACGAAATTTGGCAAAGGGTTGAAGGGCGCGTACACCAAAGCCCGGCAAATTCATGCCCAATGCTCGGCCCACTTCCAAAAATGTCGAAAGCTGAGGTTTGCCAAGCACTGAAGTATGTGGACCCCCTTTCTTGACAGGTGTCCTGCGTTGCTTCACTTTTCACCAAAACCAAACACGTATCCTCAAAAGCACGCCCACACACACACACAGACACGCGTGTCCAGGAACTCAGGGAGCGAGGGGCGAACGCCTACCCACTTCCCATCTCCGGAGCCTGACCGCTGGCGTCGGCCATGTCTGCCGTCAGCACGTTGGAGATCTGCCGGAATCGAAAGACTGCGGCCCAACCTACCTGGACCCCCAAAAACATGCCCATCTCTTTTTAGTTGGTATGACGTCACATGTCAGCCCCTGACTAAACATGGAAGTATTCACCATGGAACACTAGTTAGGTGTTTCAAATAGTTGGGTGACGTATGGCTATAACCTACTCACTAAGCTGGTTGAACACAAACTATTGGATGGACATCGCGACCAAAAGCAATCCAGCACCTTTCAACTACTGATACGTCCCACGCCCGAACCGCAAGTAAGGTCCAAAAGGCAACCGTGGCTTTGCGATTGGGGGAGGCGGGGGGGGTGGACAGCAATCGCTGCATCTGACGCCAATCCGATTTTCGTTGGAAACCCAAAGAGGGAACCCAACCTCACCAAACAACCTACAAGTTAAGATGGGAAAAGCAAGGTATATCAAGCTCGCAACATTCCTGGCGGATTGCCTCTGCACAGCTGCGCTTGCTTGGTTGCTGTCTAGTTTGTTGCTTTTCTTCCATCGGCATCCAATTTCGCCAAACAACTCCACCGGTCCCAAACCGCACAAATGCACGGCGCTCTCCCTTACCGCAGGACCCCCCAAACTGTCCCGCGTTTTTGTAGGTCCTCCCCTCGCTTCGCCTCCATTGGACCCCGAAGGGGGTGGCACATGGGAGCCAGGGCAATACAGCTAGCAGCGCACATGAGCTGTCAAGGAAAAGCTGGTTGCTCGCTATAAGTACGCTAAAGGGAAACAAGAACCTGCCAAAAATCCTAGCTTGTCTCACACCAGTCAACCACCTCAGAAAAAACATGACAGGTTGAGGTCTGTTCCTTGTTTCTCGGGTTTCCAAGTCTAAGGCTCTGAGGCTCTCGCGCAGTGCCCCTGCCCGCAATCTGGGCCTGAACGCGTGGCGGCTTCTTGGCAGTTGGTTTCCCCAGTTTTTGTTTTTTGTTGTTGTTTCCCTTTCCCCAAAATGGATTGCAATGATCCACGAACTTAGGCCCCCTCCCCCCCCACCAATATCTATGGCTAGATACATTATTGGCTATATGAGTTTCAGGGCAACCCCAAATTCGCAAACTGATGGAGCCACGGAAGACACTCCTCTTAAAAAAACAGCTGCAATCAACTCTAGAAGCAAACTTTGCCCACATGTGCCAAACGAAAGGAGCTGTTATCAAGGGAGTCCCATCACACCCAGCTGTGTGGAATAAGGGGCCCCCAAAACTGGGAGGAGGCTGGGGCCCAGAAAGAAGTGTTAGGGAGCTATGGAGGACGGGGGAACTCCGCAATTCAGGGTCGAAAAGTTGGAAGAATTTTGGATTCTAGGCGGGCACACCAGACTGGGCTGCTAAAACAAGCTGGTCCGCAGAACTCAATCCTGCGTCATTCACCTGCGGTGCCAAGCTTCTGCAAGCACTCTGACTCTGCCACCTCAACCGACTGGATATCCGGAGGTCCAGTACAATGGCTAAAGATCCAGCCGGATCCGAAAAACACGTATCCGCCAAAGCTAGATCCACAGTTTCTCACTTGCGCACAAGCTTGGCCCACAAAAGCCACCCAACTTCTTCTTTGCCACTAAAACGGTTCAAGCCCAAAGAAGTATATAAAGTCCCAAACGGAACTCGATCGGAAGCGAGGCATCTCTGGACTCAACCCCCGGCCGAAAGCTGACCGAAAGGATCGGGCGCGCACGTCGCACGTCGGGCGCCGGGCAACGCTGGACCAAGCGCTTCGTGAGGTTCACGTCACACTGCTGGGACCCAAAGTAGACCTACGGCAAACCAGGGCGCTGGAAAGCCGAGAGTTTGTGAATCCCAGAAAGGGGGGGATTCGGGGAGAGGGGTCTAAAGCCGAAGCAAGACCATCTCAGGGGTTACTTGCATGTGAAAAACCAACGTCAGGTAGGTTACAACCATACGTAGAAACTCTCTCGGCTGAAATTTCAGCCGGAATCTAACATGTATCTAATTTCAGCCGAAGTCACAAAAAATTGCCGGAATCGGCAAAAACCGCTGGAATTAGACCGCTGAGGCTCAGCCGCCAGAATGGACTCAAGCTTCTATTCGGAAAGTCTCGCCGGAATTGTGGGAAGTTTCGCCGGAATTGCAGAAAGTTGGGCGACACAAGCCTCCTACAAAACAGCGCAACAAGTATGATTAAATTGCCAGTTGAAGAATGGCTGAAATGCTAAAAATTGGCCGGAAATGCAAAAAGGTTACTCTCTGTTTTTCTCGAAAAAGGCTACTACTTCGGGGCATTTTGATAACTAGGGACAAGGGCATTTGCGCAAAGCCCCCTTGCAACCTTGGTCCCAACCAGCCAGCTTACCATGTGGTTTGAACACCTAATCCCCTGGCTTCCATCTTCTAGCCCCATTCACAAACCGATAGGCACATTTCTTGCTAACAGAATCGAGTCCGCCAAAGCGGACGAAACAACAAACAATACGACACGAGTCACAATCATCCCGGTACACAAATGGTGGACCCAGAACCATGTAAAGAACTTAGAAGGCGGCCGCAGCTATTTGTGGTTGGGATTGTCCCTTACTAACCTGCACTTACCCGGGCTTTGATTGTGGCTCACATGGTGTCCACAGACTCGCAAAGAAGGTTCCCTGTGGCGAACCACATGGAACCTGCATCCTATACTGCTGTCAAATGATGCCAGACCCTAACTGGAAATGAGGTATTTACCATGCAAAACCTGGCTCTTCAAAATATACCCTTCGAAAAGCGGGTATTTGAAGGATTGCATAAATTAACCACTGCTTATGGCTTGCCATGAGAAACACCTGGCCTTGGTTGGTGATCATCCAAGGACAACAGAAACACATAGCTAGTACACCCCAGCCTTTTGGCAGATGTCTGAAAGATGTATCATCCGTTTTGACCGCCCCCCCTTTTTTCCCCCGCTTTGTTGGGTGTCTGCAATCAGAATCCCGGTGACAAACCACCCCGTCCCCCGGAGACTCAGGGGACCCAAGTCATCCGGCCCGGCGAAGCTGGCTGAATCTAACCGCTGCTTGCCTGACTGCGATGAGTGGGGAACAGGCTTTGGGAATGAACCGGAATTCTGATTGTTACAAGGAAAGAAACCACCAGGGATGGTGGGGGTCATTCCATTCCCTCATTCCCTGTCAATACCAGCAAGTGGGTGTCATGTTTAAGTTGGGCCAACCCGGGCCTCCATTCGTGTAAGGGAGTTGAACCCTAGCATGAAGAAAACGGATCGAAACTAAAACCTATGTGTCGAAATAGGGGCACCTGGCAAATGGGTGATGGGTGTCCCTTTTGTTTCCCTGCAACCAACTCTTTTGAGCACCAGAAGCGGGTTCTTGGAGAGGGAAGAGACTAAATGAGGAATAAACTAGAAGGCCAAGGCGTGCTTGAAAAGCAACCAAGGTCCAAGGCGGTGTTCGAACCGGGCCTGTGGGATCCGAAGAAATCCTATGAGTCAGACGTAGAACCACCCCCCCCCCCGCCCGCCCCGCCCGATCCACCGATCGATCCCCCGACCTCGGGTAGGTCTGGGGACATCCCGTCCCAGCCGGCCACGATGATGCGGACCAACGGCACCTACGACAGCACCTCTCAGCCTGGTTTGGAGCTGGGGAAACCCATCTACAGACAAGAACCAAAGGGTATTTTTTAGAGGGGACGGAAGGCGTTTGCCTGCCCTGAAAAGAGTGGATGCTTAAGCTAATACCACTCGAACTGGGTGTCCTCTGAGAAAGATTTGGTGACCTACGTGGTTTGAACATCGCATTTGATGCTTGGGAACTGCTGGCTTGGATGTTGCAACGCACCAAACCAAACACCAAGAGGCTTCGGCCCAAGAGAACGCCGGCCCCGGAGAAAAAAAAAAAAAAACTCTACTCTTGGGACCTCAAGATTGCAAATTCTGTCCAAAGCCCTGTATGTGGAGATCCTGACCCTTCCGTCTGGAGGAGTCCATGACTAGGTAACTGTGATTTTGAATCAAAGAACCGAAATCTGAATCAGGAATTGGATCGCCAAGAGGACCTACGTCAAGGATTTGAGCTCGTTTTACCCATGAAACAGGCAGGACACGATTGCTGAACTCGGTTTTCTTTCCACCGCAAATGTATCCTTTTCAGGAGCTGACATCATTCGATAGACTTGGTAATCGGAGATTGCCCCTCCCCCCCTCTTTTTTTGGGTTACTTGAGAAACCTGGTTTTCAACAGTTCTTAATCCCCCCGCCCCGTTTGGGGATGACGAAACTCATACCCTAAAAAAGGGCGGCAGTTTGGAGAGTACGGGGCAATGCGAGGGGGCGGAATAAGTACGAACACGATTTTCTCATGATGACTTGACTCGGTTGCTTTCTGCTCCCCTGCTAAAAGTTTATCTTTTAGTGGTTTAATGGAAAACCCATTAGTTGGCAAAAAGCTAAAGTCCTAAAATCCAAGCAAAATGCAACAACGTCGATTCAGCTTGTTTTTCCACCCTCTTACCGCAGGCGGTACTGGGATTGGCGGATTGGTCCCCTTACCCTCTCAGGCCTCTTCCTCAAGGGTTTGCCCATGCAAGGGCGCGACCTCGGCCGGCTTCCGGGTGGTGAAACCACTTACGCTAAGGACATAAGAGGAACCCCGGGCGTAGCTATATCCATGGTAAGCTTAGTTAGATGGTTGGCTTCCCCACCATCTGAAACCAGCAGGAAACTCTGCAAGTTGGGCGCCAAAACCAGATTGGCTTCCTGGAGGCATTTGCTTTTTTGCGGGTTTCTTGGGCAAGCTCCTCAGGCCCGACAAAGCCATGAATCTAAGAATTCTTAGTTGGTCCCGGCGCGCTGTTGCTGAACCCCCAAATGCATCACGGGCGAGTAGGGCGAAACATCAGAATTCTTGAGCAGCCCTGCGTGGGTCATACTCAAACCTACCTCCTGCCCCCAAATACCTGGTTTTCTCAAAAGATATCTTAAAGAAGCCCATTTTCCTCGAGAAATACCTCCTACTTTAGTTTAGGGTCTTGACATCAGATGAGAGTTAGCATCATACTAAAGAGTGGGTATTGGGAGGGGGTAAAGGAGCCTACCCAACTCGCGCTGGATGTCACCTGCTCCGCGATCTCGGTCCAAAAGCAGCATCTGCGCTCGGGAAAAGGGGACCTACCCGGGAAGCGGGGTTTCACCTGATCAACTCTTAGCTCTACTCAGAAGGGGTATAAAGGTTTATGGCCTTGCGTACTGGAACAATTGGGAAACCAGGAACCAGCTACTAAAATTGCCCGGCGTAGGAGCTGCTCACTTGACGCTTCCTCTCGACTGCTCAAAGTAGAAGTTGGCCATTTTGAGGGAAACTGCAAACGGGACTGCCCGATTCCTCTCCCAGCTGCGCTAGCTTACCTGCTTTTGCTAAGGGCATATTTCGCAGAATCTGGCTTTCCATGCAACATGCTGCAAAATACCCTCTCCCCGGTTTGGTCGGTTGACAAAATCATACCCGAAAACCAGTTACGGGCCTTGGGCGTTTGTACTCGCTTGGGCTTGTTCCAGGCCTCCACAACAGATGGGGTGCTCCTCCTTGCAAAGCTGTAGACACAACCTGGCCAGAGCGCCCTAGGGCTTTCGTTCCAGGCTCCAGAGCAGCCAAGAAAACAATCAAGCAAACCAGTCACCTCCCCGGTCTCCCTTTAATGTTCTTTATTTTAATCAAGCTAAAGGGCACAAAGGTGCCTGCTTAAGCATATGCATCCGTTTGACCCCTTGAGCGGAGGGTTGCTATACACAAAACGCCCCCTGGTGCTACAAAACCACAACACTCTGGAACAAACTTCGTGACAGGTATTCCATCCAGCACACCTCGGGTTTCTCGAAACCTACAAAAACACCTCGGGAGGCGGGGGGTATCGAGCTTGGTCCGAATGACGTCAACCTCAGAGCGGCCTGGCTTTCATTGTGGTTCGTTGATCCCTTGCGCAAAAGTTGCACGTTTAGTGGTGCCGGGCATCAATCGAAAGGCTAACCTTGCTCAATGTCGAAAGTAAAAAACAAACAACTTTCTATGCATCCTTGTTAAACTCTGAAAGGTCTCACGCTCACTTCCTGAGTGGCTTGGCCAAAAGACGTCCAGACTTGTTGGTTGCCACGAAAATGGTCCAAGCCCAACTAGTTCAAAGCTAAAAACGGGACTCCATCGGAAGTGAGTAAAGCCCTGAGCTAGCCTGAGGAAGCCTGTGGCTGGGAAGCGCCCCGCCAGGATCCCTCCTTTATGCCAGGCTTCAAGTTTGGTCTTGGACCCCTTCAAACCGTTTTGCTGGTTGCGGACATGACGTCATGGTCCAACTGCGTGACACTCAACACCAATCGCCCTGAGGGGAGGTCAAATAAAGTTGTACCAAAAGGAGCAAGACAAAGATCCTGCTTGGATCTTCAACCAACTTAGTAAGTCGCTGATAACCATGGGCACAACTGGGGTAGCTGGGGCCAATCCCTTTTTAATGAACCTTTATTCTAAGATACGTACCGAGTGGTAAAGTATGATTCTACTCACAAACAAGGTCTGACAGCAACCGGCCAGGTGTGCCCTCGCCCTCGCCGTCGTCCTCGCCTGGCGATGTGGGCCATGGCCATGGTTTTGTTAGGAACCCTGACGTCTGCCGAAAAAGACCACTAGTAACGGGTCCCACGTAGGGGGCCTTTACCACGTGCGGGCAAGTCGGAAACCGGTTGGTGGCTTCCCTTTAACGCACCAAGGGGTGGCGCTGATTCTGGTTCCGTTTCTGGGAGGTATGGAAGTCTGGGCTGGCTTCCCTTTTAAGCTACCAAGACGGTGACATTGATAGTGGTGAAATAATTGGGGCATCCGTTTCCAGGGCACGGAGCGAGGACCCTTTGGAGCCGCGAAGAAGCAGCAAAAGAAGAAGAAGAAGAGGAAGGGAGCCCGGATCCAAGTGTTCACCCGTCCTCTCAATATGTGTCACCAACAATAGTGAGCCGGATTCACACAAGGGGACCCGATCCAAATCAACCAGGGTTTACTAATCCGGCGTCAACAATTAAAGAACCGCAAGTGATGGTTTCTCTCGGGGTCATTCCCTTCTTCCCCCGCCTATCGAACCAGTAGGTAAATCGTGAAGCGTGTCAGAAATTCTGTGGACGGACAGAACCCACTTCGGCACCACCTGGGTGGGTCATCCCAGTTTTCATCCGGCATCCAGCCGATCTGGTGCAGGATTTTGTCCACAGTACGTTGAAACAGTACTGGGTTCTCCTCTATTTGTTTCTTATATTTCAGGGTAGACTAAATATGAAGCAGAATCTGAACATATATTTCTTTGTGTACCTACAAAACGGGGTTGAATAAATTTTCCTTGAGGCCTAATGTGTATATAGGTCCCTGCACTCACCCCTTGGTCCTGAAAGCAACCATGTTGGGTCCAAGTCTGGCCAAGCGTCATTAAACACCTCCAGGACCAGAAACAGAACCCAAAAACCGTTTTTGTTTCTTTCCCAAAAACCGAACCAAAATCCACCGTCCCCCCGCTGATTCCTGGCTCCCAACCCGCCACTTCTCCCCCGGACGCGACCTCCGCAGGAGGACTCGATGCCGTTCAGCCGCACCGTGACGCGGCCCAGGATCTCAAGCCGGGGAAGCCGGGTCGAAAAGGAAAAAAGGAACCGCTCCCCCAGCGCCAAAAATTTCGATTTCGGGGGCCTGGAGAAAAAAGACACAAAAAAATAGAAGCAAAGGTCTCCTGGTCCAAAAGATGGGTGCCAAAAGAAGTCCCCAAACTGTTTGGTGGCCACAAAATGGTGGTCTCCAAAGGTTTTTCAAGTGATAGAACGGCTGACTCTCTTCCATCTAGGTTGGTGTGCAAAGAAAAACGGGATTCCTGACGATTTTCCCGAACCCCCCGGCCCCCCTCCACATTTTTATATATTTTTTAACGTCCTAGTCCGACCCCAAAATGTACCATGATTAGACTTAGGCCCACTTATAGAATGTATATTCTATTGGTTGCTTCCCTTTGAGCAACTGGTAAAATGTAAAATGTATCCTAAGTCTAACCCAGGTACAGAATCCCTTTGCAAAAAAAGCTTGGAGACCGCGGACCTCTGCGAACTGCAGTAGCTTTGGGGGGTACATGTGCTCAGCTTTCCTCAATTGGTGGCTTGGATTAGTGGCTTGGATTGGTCCCCCAACCGCCAATCCAAATCACCACCTACGGGCTACCGTGTATCAGCAAATACTACAACTCCACAACATATGAGAAACGTGTATATACAATATGTTATCTTGATACCCCATTCTCCACATACCCGCTTCTTTCAGGGTATATTTTGGAGATCCCGGTTTTCCACGGTAAAAACATCAGGGTTGACCTCATACCCTATTTGGAGTAGGGGGTAACGTCCTAAAGAGAAGGTGGTTGCCAAGTTGACTCTATGCCTCCATACGCGCCGCCGCCACTTTTTGAGGGGGTTTCAGGCCTACCCGCCTTCCTTGGAGTATTGGGTGTTTGGGTTGGGCCTGCCGATGGCTTTGGACGAAGGAACGAATTTAGAGGGTCTCAAAGATACTATTGGAAGTGGAAGTGTTTTCCCTTCAAAACTGTTAATTAGAGGGTAATTTTGATGATGTCGACCACAAGGGATGGCTGTATTGAATATGGTAAGTAACTGCTTGTATGTGTGCTACAGATTCCCTTGACGAACAGGAAGCAGGCCATGTGCGGGCCCCTCTGTTCAACAAACCTGCCACCGCAAGCTAAATTGGATGTTTGTGGGCTGACAGTGGCCATGGTTGCCTGCTCATGGGCTGGTTGATAGAAAGTTGTGTTTTGGTCTGAGTCCCTTGGCGGTATATTTGGGACACGCACCGAAGGTGTAAAGGGCAGGATGCACCATATCTTTCCTGACGTCATCCAAAGGGTAGTGCGCAAAAAGCCACCAAATTCAGAAATATACACAAACCAATCAACTCCTCCTTGAAGGGATGTCAACCTATCACAAAGGGGGCGGATATCTACCTTGAGGATCCTTGAGGAATAAACCCCGATGTCCCGTGGATCTTGGGGGAGAAAAAAGGACCGGGATCTGGCAACCTAGTCGCGGCAAGGGTGTTCCACTGCCCCCAAGCAACAGGAAAAACCAACCGAACACCGAAAGGAAGCCCGCTGACATAGGCAAGCATTTGGTCTCTAAGATCGTTTCCATTACCCGGTTACCCCCAAACCAAGGGGGCTGTCAAATTTGGGTATACACCACCAGATTAGGTATGATGTTGAATTGGGAACCTTTGAGCATTGCCATATAGACGCTATATAAAGGGCATGTGTTCTCCATATGTTTTGGGGGATACTGGACCATCAGCTCAGAGATGTCAAATATCATGTTGCACTACTTGTCACTTGTGCATGCATGATGTACACTACCCGACTGCAGGCCTTGAGTCTACCAGGAAAAGAGTGCATGCTGGCTAACTACATTTGTGTTTGTGACAACAGAAACAACACTTGCACTTGCAGTAAAGTACCAACGTATTTTAACGTGGTAGCGGAGCTGAGATCCTAAACATAGGGGAGCTCCAGTAACAGCAGTAAGTACTACAACTGCACAGGCAACCACATGCCCAACTACTACGACATGTCAGGAGAACCAGCAGCAGCACCAGCACAACCAACTACAGGAGCAGACAACGGGCCCACAGCAGAGGAGACAATAGGAGCCACAACTACGGGAACAACACAGGAGCAGGAAGACGTCCAAAGGCTACACAAATACAAACTGCCACCACCGTTCTTCACTGGTGACTACTCACAGTACGAAGAGTGGCTGTTCAAACTACAAGCATACCTCGGACTCATCGACCGAGACTTCGACATGGTGCTACAACTAGCACAAGCAGCTACAAGACAAATTGAAGATGCAGACATCAGAGCCCACATACGCGACCCTACACAGGCAGCAAAAGCAGTAGACCTCTCACGAGGTCTACACTACATCCTCACCAACATCTGCCAAGGTGCAGCAGCTACAGTGGTGAGACAAAACCGCTACAATGCCAATGGATGTGAAACACTACGGCTTTTGCACAACAGGTTCAGCCTACCAGTAGGAACACGCAGTGTTGGCTACCTCACCAAACTACTGGAACCTACATTCAATGAAGCACAATTTGAAGAACAATTCCTACAGTGGGAGTATGACATCAACCGCTACGAGAAAGACAACGGCACAGCACTACCAGATGGAGTGAAGATTGCAATACTACTCAACAAGACTAAAGGAGCACTTCAACAACATCTCCAACTACGCGCTGGACAGATCACGAACTACAACGAGATCAGAGTTGTGATCCTGGACTACTACAAAACCATATCTGCATTCTCAAGAGCGAGCTCAGCAGTTGGCACAAACTACAATGGTGGAACAGCACCAATGGACGTGGACAACATTTGGAGAAAAGGAAGAAACTACAAAGGCAAAGGCAAATATGGAGGCAAAGGACACTACAAAGGAAACAAAGGAAAAGGCAAGTACAGAAGCAAAGGCCACTACAAAGGATTCGACAAAGGCAGCAAAGGAAACTACAACAAAGGAGGATACAACAAGAGCAAAGGAAAAGGCTACTCAGGGTCCAAAGGATATGGATCAAGCAAAGGCTACAAAGGCCAAGGAAACTACAGCAAATCAAAAGGGAAAGGAAACAACAACTACACAACATGCCATCGATGTGGCAAGCCCGGCCACTGGGCACAAGACTGCAGAGTGCCAGTATGGCACATAGGAGAAGGAGAAGAACTACATCCAATAGAAAATGAACAAGCAGATCATGACAACAATGAAGAACTACCTCAGGATGTGAACGACACCTGGGACTGGTACTACGAAGGAGAAGAAGGACAACACGAGGTGAACTACATGGAGGAGAACTGGAACGACTACGACTATGACAACAGCTGGGATTGGAATGACAACAGCTATGAGGACACAGCAAACTACATTGGAGGCATCAACGAGTCACACCTCACCATTGGACACATCAGACAAGCAAACTCACGACTACACAAGCACAAATCCAAATCACTACTTGGCAAGAGAACAACACACACAACATCATGGAACGACCACAGCAAGAGCTTTCAACAATTCCTACAAGAAGACAACACACAGCCACACTTTGACATAGCAGCAGCAAGACAACCACAAAGGAACAAGAAGATTGAGGACACTATCACACACTACATCATGTATTCCAACTTCAAGTCATACCACCACCTGTTGATCGACTCAGGAGCATCTACACATGTTTGCCCGAAGGACTACGCACCAGACCTACCGCTACGACCTTGTGGAGAATCGGTTCCACAACTCTACACGGTTACAAACAAGAAGATTCCTGTCTACGGCATCAAGTACGTTCCCTACAAGCAGGACAACTTCAGGATCATGATACCCTACTACGTTTGTGATGTGAAGTATCCAATCCTCAGTGCATCAAGACTACTTGATAGAGGATATGGACTTGACTTCACTCCACGACACTGCACCATCACACATGGACAACAACAAGCACACCTCATAAGACACTCAGGACTTTTTTACCTACGAGCAGAGAAGATCGACATCCCTACTGGATTCGACATCTACCCAATGACTACATACAATGGAAAATCCATTGCTGTGATTCAACCTACAGAGAAAGCAGTACAACAACAAGAACAAATCGCACCACTCACCCACACAGACCAAGGACTACGACAGATCCTTGGTGGAAACACTGACTACTGGAAACTTGATGGTGACTACGCCATCAGAGTACACAAACGACCACGCAAAGCATTATTCACACCACACAACAGCGGTTGCCCAATACCTGAAGGAGAACTAGATGATTGGCGACTAACCATCATCAACAGACAAGGGCAAGAGCAAGAACAACTACAAGAGAACCCAACACAACTTTCCAAGCAAGAACTACAACGAAGACTAGAAGGTGACAACTGGACTGGAGAAACCAGATTCAGAAGAAAGATAACACCTACACGCAGAGCAACATCAAAGACAACACCAACAAGGCAGAGCTCACAACCACAACGGCTAATGGACACACCACCAACCAGATCAAAGATCCAACTACGAGCACCACAAAAGATATGGAGACCTAAAGCAGCACCTTCTACAAATCTTGACACCACACAACCAAAGGAGACAATCCACAGACCACTCACAGCACAGGAGGACAACCAAGACTACTGGGAAAGACAAGGTGAACACTGGATAAGACACCACACAACACTTAGAACAACCCTATTCACTCCAACAGATGGACCAGGACATCCACCAATCAACACACTTGAACCTCACAGAACTACAATCACTCACAACAACTTTGGAGAAGTTTCACAACGCAAAGATGACTGGACAGTCATGGGCAACGCAGCACTACCATTTCAATGGAAAGGAACAACAAGGTTCACCGTGAAGAAAGACTACGAGTACATCCAAGAGAACCACGATGAGGAACAACAACACGAGCATCATGAAGCACACAGAGCAATAGGACTACGACAACCTCAGCAGCCCACTCCACAACAAATAGCAGAACACAACTTGACACACCTACCATACAGAAA